AGGAGGCCTAGGGAACCTATTGAGCCTTGGGCAGCAGATCAGTACCCATCCCAAGTATACACACGGACTTTGGACTCCCATAGAACAATGTGAGGTGCACTCTCACCCTGAACTCTTGGGGAAGGGTCTAGGCCCTGCCCTATATGAAATGACAGACTATGGACACCCCCATGGAGGGCCTCACCCTCCCTGGGGGAATGAGGGGATAACGGGGGGGGGTTGGGGGGATGGCACGGGAGGAGGGGAGGGAATGGGAGCGGGACCTGGAACTGTTGTGAAGCAACCTCGTTTCTTATCTAAATTTAAACTGGAAAAAAAAGAAAGTTATTTGAATGCATGTTAAAAGAAAAAAAGAAAAAAAGACCTTAAAATGTATAGAAGTACACAGATTATTTATGTCAAAGTCCTATAGAGGTTGCTGTTTTTATTTGACTTTGCTTTAAAAAAAAAAAAACAATGGTTTTAAATGTCCATTCCATGCTGATAAATCTTTCACAGATAATAAAAGAATATATTGAATTAATGTCGGTATGATTCACTATAAATTTTGAGAGATGTGTATTTGTCTTCAGTTTTATAGTTCAGCTGGATATGTCCTTAGTTTGTTTCCACTAACTAGACACAATGATTGACTAGTGCCACCTCTATTGCAATAGTCTAGCTATTGGTATACATTTTTACTTAAATTATATTTGTGACAAGCTTGTTTCTAACTTAAATAAAAAATAAATATAAAAATTATATTTGTGGTTATTTTGTGCATCTGATTCTACCTTCCTGGCCAATTGCATATGAGAAATTTGAAATATGACCTGCAAAAAACTGAAAATAATTTAAATATAAAAATCTTTCAAGTTCTTTTTTTAATGTCAATCTCCCAGAACGGATTGCCAACATAAAACAAAATTGGGCACAAAATCATGTTGCCAACATAAGATAAAGCCAAACTGAAAAAAGAATCAACAATTCATACAAATAAAATTCCTCAACCACATGCTGCCTATCTTGGGGGAAGTTAGAGACAGGCTGTTGAAGTGGTCCAGCTGCACAGCAGTTCTTTCCATTTTAAAGTCCTTTGCAAAACCTTTGGGAGTTACATCATTCTAATAAGAAAGGAATATTCCCACTAAGGAGCAAAAGGGGTAGATTAAGACTTTTCAAAGTGCTGATTAAAAAAGAAAGTAACTTTAAACATAAACAAAATGCTTATTAAGTTAAAACAAGCTAGCTCTCATGGCATAATTTAAAACCATTATCAAATACTTTATCCCTGATTGCAGGTTGCCTGCCAGTTCTGGACAAGCTGCTCAGACACTCTTCACTCAGGCTGCCCATGGGACAATTTATGCTTCTCCTGCACCTGTGCTTAATGAGCAGCATTTTTGCAGCCATGGCTGTTTTTTGGAGAAAAATAAGGATGCATTTCATGCAAAAACAAAAATAAAACAACAAAACTATACACACACATACACACACAAAGACAGTACACAGACATAAATACAGAGACAAAGAGCACACAGACACAGAGATAGATAGACACACACACATACACATACACAGACAGACAGACAGACAGACACACACACACACACACACACACACACACACACACACACACACAAACCCCCCAAACTCAAAATGAACAAAAAATGACTGTAATTTATGGCCATCCAACCTATCTATAGAAAATCAGGAAATTTATGAACATGCTATAAGATCTGGAAGCTGAGTTTCAAGGTGACCCAGCCAAAGGCTTCCCCAGGCAGGACTGAGAGACTGATTAACAGCAGGATAAAGTGCAAAGATTTTCAGAAAAAAACAGCCATTGTCACCCGGCTATATCTTTTGAAGTCCAGATCTTCTTATCAGGGATTCCCCTCTCCCAGTAGGCAAGCAATTTGGTCAGTAGGGACACTGCTGATAATGTTTACTAGTCTTAAACAAACCCACGTTTTCACTTGGAAAGTAAAAATTTACCCTCAACTTATCCTGTAAATTGTTTTTAGTTTCAATCCTGAATGAATGTATCTGATAAATCATCTTTGCTCTTCACCAAGCTTCATCTCCAGTGTTCAACTTGAAAGAAGTCAATCTCCTTCAGTTCTGTACCACACATGCTCCTACTCATCTCCTTCCAACAGCAAAACACAGATGTGCGCGCTCCCTTTTCTATGGTGAAAATTTAAATGGTCAGAAACGCTGGGAAAATCCTGTTACTAGGGCAATTACAGGAGGAAGCAGGGCACATGCTTCATGGTTGGTTGTGTCTCACCTCTACACTGAAGGCCAACCTCCTTCTAGAAAAACTAAGAAATGAGGCCTCTTTGTGCATGCTGTTGCAACCTAGGATCAAGGTTTTGAAACAAAATCTGGAAATGCTAAAAGTACTACAAACACAGAAATAGTCCTGAAACAAACAAAACTCCCAACTTTCCTGAGGCATCATTTGTCTAATTTTGAGGAGAGAGAAAGAGAGATATTCCCTAGACGGTTGTGAATAGTCATGGTAATATGGGTGTTGTTCATGTGGGTGTTGGAAATGGAACCTGGGTCCTCTAGAAGACCAGCCAGTGCTGAAGCTATCTCTACAGTTCACCACCCCAAGTGTAGTCTTTAAGACTTAACTATCTCCAAATTGGAGATAACTTTGACCGAGGAAGGATACTGTGGCAAGGCAGGTTTATCTTAACTAAGAAAAAGTCTCCGCCTCCCAAATTAAAAACAAAACACGATTTTCAAGTAAAAGGGTGAAGTCCTAAGAATTCCTATAATATTCAGTCAAATATTATTCCATTTTTGCTTGTAAGCCACTAGAGATATTTCTATGAAACTGAAAGAGAAAACTTTCTTCTGAAATGTAGAGAGGGTCCCCTGCAAGGCTCTCATAGATATATTATTCTAAAGTATTTTGAGTACAGTAAATATACCAAACTATCATATTTTTGTGGCAAAATTCTTTTCTAACCGCTTATTTACTTCCTCTAGAACCTACATATTTACAGAGAGACTTTCCTACAGAGTTATCTTGCAAGTATCCTGATTTCCAAGTATGCTTCCCCCCTGGAGGGAATGTTTCCCAGAAGTTCACTGTTTTACAAGGAGCCCTTTTATATTTGAAAGAGAAAACTGTTTTGTCAAGGGATGATGAGAAATTAAAAAAAACTAACCCAGACAGGATTCTAAATTTGGGGCAATCTATGGCACTCCTTCAACTCCGAGTGTTTGTCAGAAAGATCCTCAACAGTTATTTTACACCACTTATAAGAAACTGGTATCCGCTGTGGTTTTCTTGTTTTTAGTTCTTTACATCAATAAAAATAAATGTTAGTTTTGTGTCTTTAATGTGTTGAAGATTTTATAGAGCATACAGTTCAAATTCTCCTTACGGCAGTTACCCAAGGCAGAACTTTTGGCGAAAACAAGAACCTGGTAGAAATAACATATTTTGCTGGTAGCTTTATGTTCTCAGAGCAAACGAGCCCTCGTGCCTAACCGAACAAGAAAGCCAAGTTTGGGGTAAGGATCTGCTACTTTGAAAATTGTTGGCTCCTTGTTTTTGAAGCCCTTCAAAAGCAACTGAGCTTGAGTATGTCTGGAAGAGAGAGAGAGAGCGAGAGGGAGAGACAGAGAGAGACAGATAAAGACAGAGACAGAGAGATAGAGAGAGGCAGAGACAGAGAGAGAGAGAGAGAGAGAGAGAGAGAGAGAGAGAGAGAGAGAGAGAGAGAGAGAGAGAGAGAGAGAGAGAGAGAGAGAGAGCCAATGTTTAGAACTGCTGACTGCAGGGGGGTTGTCTCCGGTCCCCTTTACAACCTCAAGAGTGTAGAATGTTCAGAGAATTTTCAGTGGAACTTTATACATCCTTGAAGCAAATAACAATTAAAATAGTTTTAAAAATCTGGCGGCGGAGGAGGGGGGTGGATAGCGGAATTCTTCCGTAACAGTGAAGTCTACAAAAAAGAAAATGACCACGCAAAGGGGTTGGGGGAAGGCTGGAGGAAGGCAAGACCTAAAGGCTTTTCTGCCCATCCCCGCTCTTTTACAGAGGCCACCTAGGATTCTACTCTGCAAATGGCCCAGTGAACGTGGCATGGACGGGAAAGTTTTTCCCTCCCCTTCTCTCCTAAAGGAAACGGGCACTCCATTCCCGGAGAGGAAAACTTTGCTTTAGGGCTTAGAAACTGTTGCTTCATCTTTGCAGAGAAACTTGGTCCTGTGAGTTTGCCTGCCATCTGCCGAGCTCCACGGAGAGCCCCCGGGGCTGTAGAAGCTCAGGCAAGGCTCACCTTGGCCACGCGTTCACTCTCTCCCAGCCGGCTCTTGTTCGAAATCAGGTAGGTTTTGCGTGGTGGAGCTGGGGTCTGAGGCCAACAGCGCAAAGCAAAAGGGGACCCTAGGCGGCGCACAGGAGACTCAGGAGAAGCACCCAGAAGCAGTCGCCCCACCCCGGGGTTACAAAAGTGAAGTCTGGATTCCTACAGCCACAAGGTGGTGGTCACTTTATGACTTTTTCCGTTCCCCACAAAATACACTCCGGTGAAGACAGACTTTTCTCAGAGGTGATGTAATGTTCTCAAACACCACCACAGTCACCAATTAAAAAAAAAAAAAAAGAGGAAAAAGAGGGGGCAAGCCTTGTCATCCCAGGCTTCACGTAGCCCCAGCTCCTCCCTCCCTCCCCTCCGGGTCTATCTCACTTTACAGTCGTTTCCCATCCCTACCCCCAATCTTTCTCCAAAAAGTTTGACGACCGCAAAGGAAGCCAAAGGGGGAAAAAAAAAGTTCTCTAGCCCCAGACCTGGCGGGAGATCAGCATCTCTTTTGTTCGGGGCGAACCCACCGTCCCCCGTGACGTCACTCGCACTCCGGGCCAATCGGAGCGCGGTCGGCGGCGGCTGCGGCGGCAGGAGGGGTGGGGGGAGCCGGGCCCGTCCCTCCTCCCCAGCCCGCAGGGCCTCGTGGGGGGCGGGAGGGGCCTGTCCCATATAAGCCCCGACTCTTGGGGCTCAGCCGCCCGCACCCGCTGCGCTGCGCTAGGGGAGGAGAGGGACCCCGGGCGTGAGCGGGACCTGCGGCCACAACTTCTGGTCCTCTCCCGCTCTCTTTCCAGTCTCTGTTCCCCATCTTCTTACAGGCGCCCGCTCCTCCGGACTTTTCCCCCGGCAGGCTGCGAAGGGACCCACACTTCGGGGCCACTTGCCTCCTGGGGAGGGCGACTCTCCTCCCATCCACTCAAGATGCTCAGGGGTCCGGGACCCGGGCGGCTGCTGCTGCTGGCCGTCCTGTGCCTGGGGACAGCGGTGCGCTGCACCGAAGCCGGGAAGAGCAAGAGGCAGACTCAGCAAATCGTGCAGCCTCAGTCCCCGGTGGCTGTCAGTCAAAGCAAGCGTGAGTACCGACAGTCTGGCTGAAACCGGCCGGCTGCAGGGACCGGTCAGTCCTCAGCGCCCGCTGAAGTTGTAGGGAAAGTTTTGCGCGCGCGCGTGCCTGGGCGAGCGTGTGTGAGTGCGCGCTTTACTGAGAGAAACCAGCTGTGGACACAAAAGGCTTAGGTTTGAACAAGCTGGTTGGGGGTGGAGAAGATCCTGCAGTGGCGGCGGGGATCGTATGGTCTTACCCCCCCCCCCCCCCAATGCGCTAACCGATTCTACACCTTCAGATTGCCCTGCCAGGAGCCAAAACTTGTGGTGAAAGAGAAAAGTGACAGGAATTTAGACATTCTTACATCTGAGATTAGTGTGGTCCCCACTGCTCCTTATTTTCTTTATTACTAAGTAGTTGGTAAAATATTTTCTAAATGGAGATGAGCAAAGAATATCTAAATAGTTTCTGACCAACTTGAAAGAGTTGGCTCAGCGCTCCTGTTGGGCTACCTCAGGATTCTTCACCAAGAATAAGGATTGGACTTTCTCTTGGAGTTTTTCAGAGACACACCCTTCTTTTACTAGGGCTAGAGGAAATTTTAAAAGTTTCCCCTCCTCATTTTTTAGTTAGTCTCACACTGTAGCCTAAGCTAGCCCGATATTCTCCTTGTGCTCAACTTGAGCAATTCTCCTGCCTCAGTTTCCACAGAGCTGGGGTTACAGGCAGGGTCAGCAGCACACCCAACTTAGTTTTCTTGTCTTTTTTTTTTCTTTTTGCTAAGGCTCTCACATGTTTTAAAAGTAATTTCTATTATTTGCCTATCATAATGTTTCCACACTGCTGATGTACTTCTTCTGGCCAGATGGACATAACATCATTGTATAATTTTTAACCAAGTTAAAAGATAAGAAAAGATACGTAAATACCCACCTACATAAATAATGCTTAAATCTTTGGATAGCTTGTTTCCACATCCGTATTTTAGTGGAATATTGCTTTTAAGAGATTTTTGTGTTCATTCAGTCTTGCCAATTCAGTTGACAAAATTCAGTAATTTTGTGCGGGAAATAAAGGAGGAGGGTTGAAATTATAATAACCTTTCCCTTCAATTCTTCACAGCTGGTTGTTTTGACAATGGGAAACACTACCAGATAAACCAACAGTGGGAACGCACCTACCTAGGCAATGCCTTGGTTTGTACCTGCTATGGAGGAAGCCGAGGTTTTAACTGTGAGAGTAAACCTGAACGTAAGTGGAAGGCAGTAGTCTGGTCACTGGCAAAAAAATGATGCTTACTTATTAAAGTTAACTTTCAATAAAAACAATTTTCCTCTCCCTCCCCCCTCCCCACCCCTGTAGAATTGCCAGTAATTCCCTCTCTGTCAAACCTCTGGTATTGGCTTTCCGCATGCTCCTCTTACCTCTAAAACAAATGTATTCCAAACTAGTTTCCAAAACCTTCATTTTATTCTCTCAAAGAATTTGATTAGAAAAATGAAAGGTTTTGCCTGCCTTCCTTCAAAAAGAAAACTCACGGAAGTTTGCTTATAAAAGTTTCATTTGTTAGAAAGTTATCTCAGATCTTTGGCTCTCACATTATGGGCCCGAGAACTGCTTTGAAGCGCCTGTGTTGTAAAGTGATTTGTTAGCTGCAGTTCAATGAGAAACCACCACCACTTCTGAGACTTTGGAGGACCTTGATACTTTTCTTGTGAATCACAGCGGTCCCTCCAGAGAAGCTGCTCTGGCTACAGGGGAAGCATGTCAGTCAGGCTGACAAAGGCCGGCGCATGCTGAGAGGAAGGCAACCTTCAAACTGTGTGCCTCCCGCATGGCCCTTGAATTGATTTCCCCAGTGTGAGGTTGGAATTTGAAATCTTTCCTTTGCTACTCAGCTGGTCCTAGGGTGTGGCTTCTTCCTGAGAATTCTTTACCTTGTAAAGAGAGAACAAATTGCAGAGCTTGCCAAAGGCCAAGAACTATGGTTTCATTAAATCGTAACTTGAAATTTCTTAAGTATCATCTCAGTTGCACGTTGTGGTGCTATCTGTGAACTAGAAGAGGGGTGTCTCCTTCAGATGGATGGGAGGGATAGACAAGCTTCTGCGTGTGTGAGGCTCACATGGGCTTCTTCTTCTTCACAGCTGAAGAGACTTGCTTTGACAAATACACCGGGAACACTTACAAAGTGGGTGACACTTATGAGCGCCCTAAAGATTCCATGATCTGGGACTGTACCTGCATCGGGGCTGGGCGCGGGAGGATCAGCTGTACCATTGCAAGTAAGAAAGGCACTCTGTGATGTGGAGGGCCCACAGATATGTATTTCTCTGTCCTGTCCCTGCCGTTTTCTGTTGCCCGTGACTGAATATTTCTTGCTTTGGGATTTACCCAAGTGGTCCTATCCAGGTGGTAACCCATCTACTTCTTGTACCTAAGCAGAAGAAGAAGGGTCTAATGGAGATTGTGTGTGTGTGTGTGTGTGTGTGTCTGTGTGTGTGTGTGTGTGTCTGTGTGTCTGTGTGCAGGCACGTGCTCATATGCCCATGCCTGTGTGCACTCGAGAGAGAGCCCGAGCTTGTGTGTGTGTACAGTGGAACCAGGTAGATCTCTTGGTTCTTTTCAATAAGGCTTGCCCAGAGGATCTACTTATTTTATATCACCTGGGCATCTTCAAGCCAGATTGTGATCATCTGCAGTGATGAACCAGCCACACTTCTGTTCTTTGCCGTGCCGTCTGGTTCTTTATGATGAATAGGTTAGACTTACGGAGCTGATCTTTCTGTTCTCAAATACGCAGTGTATTTCCAAGGAACTTTGGGTGCTGGGCTTCATGAACTCTGTAGCTAAGGCAATCTTTCCAGTATGACTCACTGGGTTGCCGATACTTTCTATAAATAAGGCATTTTAAAAAATAGCTTTTAAATATAAGTCCTATGGCCAAAAGAACCAGTCATATACCCAACCAATATTCCCAAGACTTAATGTTAGGGTTTTTCCAAGTTTCTTAGCAAAACCTGAGAGTCAATAGCTCACAGTGTTTAGAATTCTGTAGACAATCCAGCCATTGGACTTAACAGCCTGAGAAAGTATCAGGGCTTCCACACTCGTGAGTATGTGTGTTTGCTTTCCTCCAGAGTGGTATTTATGTTCTAGAGGAAAATACAGTCTATCCCTACGCCCAGGAAATTGGAATGCTGTGCCATATAGCATATTTACTGTATAAGAGGAGGCTATTCCTCCCAGTCCTTTTCTGTCTTGAGAACAAACTATCTGTAACCTCTCTGGGGGATCCATTATTTATGACCCCTTTGCCATTCAGATTTCTCTGTGGCTTCCCTTTGTGCTCTTGCAGTTCACCCAAAGTGAGCAGCTGTGTTGTTAGCCTTTCTCCTGCCTGTGACAGGACAGCTGTTCTCAGGTTGAGGGGGTCTCATGTGAGCCCACATAAGTACCTCTCTCATATGTAGCACAAGATCACCACCTCCTTTAATTCTCTGTGTGTATCACTTTCTCGTCTTGTATCTGGAACAGATCGCTGCCATGAAGGGGGTCAGTCCTACAAGATTGGTGACAAGTGGAGGAGGCCACATGAGACTGGTGGTTACATGTTAGAGTGTTTGTGTCTGGGAAATGGCAAAGGAGAGTGGACCTGTAAACCTATAGGTAAGTGGCTTGTAGGGATGGCTGTGGGCAAGGGACAGGGTGGGGTGGGGTGCAGAGCTGTGATGTGTGGAGCCCAAATCACTGGGGAAGAATTACAATGGAAAGATCAGCGAAATGTTATAGAATGTTAGAGGATTCCCAGTCTTAACGAAATCATATCCTGAAGTACAAACCATAGAGAAATCTTAATTTTGTTTCACAGGCCTGAGATAGAGTTAAAATATTTAGGAAGGCGTAATTTCTTTTGTTTATCTCTGATGCTGTCTCCTTGGTGAAGACTTGTTATTTAAAGGTGGAAAAGTGACACTTTTGACACATTTCTTGTTGGAACGCATTGGACTAAAACACAGCGTGGCGTGTGATTCTAGTCACACCTTGGTAATTCCTTTAAAAACAAAACATGCTCTTTTTGTCTCAGCCTCATTTGTACTCTGTGAATACAAGTTTTTGATTCTGCTTCCTAGTTCTCCAAATCATAGTTGTTGGATTTCAAATTTGTTTTCTCTTTGCTTTTTATGGAAGTCTAAAAATGAAATGGCTTTCTTCTCATTCTATTTAAGTCATTTGTGATTCAGATTGAGATTTGGTTTAGGGACACAGCTTAGTGATAGAGTACTTGCTGGGTTCAGTCCCCAATACCGCATTAATGAATTTAAGATTTTTTTTAAAAATTGGGATTTTTGCACAGCATCCTCCCACGGGGTACATACATTGATTCTTCCCACTTGAAATGTTAGTGAGAAGCTTGGGAACTGGCAGCAAATGCGGTCTATGTACTCATTAGGGGAACAGAGTTTGCCTGCCAACTGGCCCTGGGCTTCCTTTTGCTTTGGCTACATGCTATGTGCTTAGCTGCAGGGTGTGCCTTCTTTTCTGAACAGAGTGCTACTTAAAAAAAAAAGTGGCTGGATTTTTGCTTACACACTACACTTAGAATTACAGGGAGATGCTATAATTTTAAATAGCTTTTTTTTCTTCCCCTCCCTCTCTCTTTCTGTTTTCTGATTTCTTCTACAGCCGAGAAATGTTTTGATCATGCTGCTGGGACTTCCTATGTCGTGGGCGAGACCTGGGAAAAACCCTACCAAGGCTGGATGATGGTGGACTGTACTTGTCTGGGCGAAGGCAGTGGGCGCATCACCTGTACCTCCAGAAGTAGGTTTTAGCTCTTTTCTGTTGAAAATACGGCCTGCCGTTGGCTTCTGGATTCCTAGAGAGAGTTGTAGTGCTATGTCACTTGGAGGAGACCCAACACACAATATGCTTCGGCAACTTTAAGATATCCAGAAAAACTGTAAAACCAACACATTCTTCTTCAGAGAACACTAAATAAGTAGAAAAAGCAATTCTCCATTCAATGCTATCTTACGCAGCCAACTAGTAAAAAGAGCCTTAGTGTTTATTCAAGTGCTGAATGGTTCATCTTAGACCTGGAGATTATCACTGAGGTATTTTCCTAGTACTAAGGACAATTAAATCCCTAAAGTAGCATGAAAATTAATCCTTTGACATGGGGAAGCTATTGTCATGGAAATAAAAGGCTCTAAAAGTTCAGATTTCCTTCTACGCTTGAAGTTTAAGTAAGGTTTATTTACAAAACAAAAACCCAGTGAAAATGAGAAGTGTTCAGTGTCACCCTTCTAATGGGAATGTGGAATCAATTTCTGTGTGTTCACTTACTGGGCTAACACACTGTTTAAATTATAACTCATCTTTGCTCTTGAGCTACAATATGAAGGGTCTCACTTCTTTGTGAATTAGATACTGCTGTAAGTGCTGAGTTAGGAAAGAAAAAAAATCAACCATTGATGTAGGCAAACACATCCACACACAGGAACAGAGGTCAAACGAAGGTCTTTGCTGGTTGGTACTTTCCATCAAGACCCCAGCTAACAGTGTTGTCACACCTGCACCTTTCCAGCACTGTTTTCAGTGTCTTTGTTGACACTCTTCATGCTGTACTTTGTAAGTGACTAAGTATCAGCAAACTTTGCCCATCTCTCGAGTTCTCTGGAGGCTGGGCTATTTATTGTTCAATTAATATTTCCCTCCCTCTGCCCCCTTATACAAAGTGAGTGCTTATAAAATGTCATTGAACAGATGATTTTATCAGAAGAGTTTTAAGTGATCAGTAAAAGTTTGAATTAGATTTCTTTCTAAAATTGCTTATTTTGTGTGTGGAGGTGGAAGGCACACATGCCAGTGTGTGCACGGAGAGGTCAAAGGACAATTTGGAAGAATTGATTCTCTCCACCAAGCAGGGTCCAGTGAGCTCAGGTTGTTAGGTTTGGTGCCAAGTCCCTTTACCCACTGAGCCATTTCAGTGACCCAGAATTAGACGTCTAATTTGTCTTAAGCTAAAACATTGCTACAGAGGTCTCGGAAGACTGAAGATCATCACATTTTTAAATGCTAAAGATCTAATGAACCAATAAGTTTGGAGGAAATATATTTTGTATGTTGTATTTTTGTTTAGCAAATTTGATCTTGGGTGGTATTCTTAATTAACTACTTTAAGCTAAATAAATAAAACACATTCAAGATATTTAGATTTGATTTTACATTCATTTTAAAACCGTGCTTCAGCAAATTCCAAGGCTGTTGTTAGTTTGAAATTCTACAGATGGAACTTTGAACACAGAGGCAGCAATTAAGACTTCAGTACAATCTTAGAAGGGGCACTAAGGATGCCTGAGGCCAGTTTTTTTTTTTTCAGTAATAAAGGATAGCATCCTTAACTCCAGAGCAGATCTTTTTTTTTAAAGATTTATTTATTACATATACACCAGATCGAATTGTAGATGGTTGTGAGCCACCATGTGGTTGCTGGGAATTGAACTCAAGACCTCTGGAAGAGCAGTCAGTGCTCTTAACCTCTGAGCCATCTCTCCAGCCCCCAGAGCAGATCTTTTAACCATAGGATAAAGGGTCATTTTTGTTGGTGAATTTTATACTTTGATGATGATGATAATGACATAAAGTCTTCTGAAGCCCTGGCTGGCCTAGAACTTCCTGTGTTGCTAAGAAAGACCTTGAACTCTTAATCCTCCTGCCTCTACCTCCCAGGTATTGGGTGTAGAGAGGTGGTGACTTTGTTTGTGACTTTTAAAACAGGTATTTTAGGGTAGGGCAAGAAAAGAGAACCTTCTAGCCAAAGAAAGTGTTGTTCCACAGAATGTCCTTTACATAACAAGTGGAGGAAGGTATGCTTTAATCACCTCCTTCCTGGCTTCCCTGGGGCAGCTGGACGAGTCCCTTTGAGAATGACCTGCCTCCCTAGTGTGTCTAGAGTTGTATGGAGAGTTGGATATTAGAAGGAGGGCCATACGCAATAATTACCAGGAGAGAGTCTGGAAGACACTGAGGAGTGAAAGACTAGTAGAATGCCAGAGATTGAATTGTGTCCAAGAAGCAATGTAAAAAGTCTTCAAAAAAATTTTTTAATCAATGAAAGACACCAAACAAGTTTTTTTGGCAAATTGAAGAGGTGGGACCCTACTATAACAAACGTATCTGATTTTAATATCTGCAGCAGCACTAGGTAGGGACACGTTACACCAACACCCACTTACAAGCATTCAACTACAGTATTGGTGTTTTTGTATGAGTGACTGCATGCCTGTCGGTTACTACCTGAATTCTACACTCAATGCTTGCTGCTTTTCTGAAACAGACCGGTGCAATGATCAGGACACCCGGACATCCTATAGAATTGGAGACACATGGAGCAAGAAGGACAACCGAGGAAACCTGCTCCAGTGCGTCTGCACAGGCAACGGCAGAGGGGAATGGAAGTGCGAGCGGCACGCTCTCCAGAGCACTTCAGCTGGTGAGGCGCCGGGACTGGGGAGTAGCTTGACACACCATCTGAAGATGATTTATAGCATTCCAACTGAGAAGCTGAGATCCTTTACATAATTTTGTTTAAAGCTGGTTTGTCATTCTATGGAATAAAAATGGGTCTTGGAGGTTGAGAAATGCATTTAGCACTACAAGGTAAAACAGAGGTTTGAAAATATATAAGACTCAGGTAATGGCTCCATCAGTACAGTGCTTTGTGCATGCAAAACAGAGTTCAGTGCCCAGAACCAACATACAAATCCAGGTGTGGTGGTGTTAGTGTCTGCACCAAGAAGGGGGAAGCAGGTGGGTGGGGGTCACTAGTTACCCAGCCCACCCTACGTGGCGAGGGTTCCAGGATCTTGAGGGATGCTGTCTTCCACGCGCAATGCTCCCCACACACATGTGCATGCATACACACATGCACCCTCACTCACATGCCTGAATAAATAGTGAATGAGTGTGTAACATGCACTCAGAATCCTCACAGCCCTGGGTTCAATTCCCAGCCCGCAAACAAACAGCAGCTATTGTATAGAATTTAAAATGACAAGTAAGTGAAAGATATTTGTATCACAAGTGTTTTGTCAGAGTCTGAAGAAGGTGTTGAGAGTGTTTGTGTAGAGTACTTGCCTACCGTGCGCGAAGCCCTGGGTTTGATCTCCATCACCAGATGTCATGGGGGTGTGGTGGTGCCTGTGATTCCAGGGATCAGGAATGTGATATCCTAACCTTGCTGTTTAGCCACTTAGCAATCAATCATTTAGCTAAGAGTAATTAGATTTTTTTCCTTTTGATGAATTTATCCTGACCTAATTAATTCTTATGAAAGTAAACAAGGTTAGATTTGATGATCTCTACATTATCTAATTATCATCAATAAAATAGCTATTGGCCAAAGACAGAACAGTTACAAGTGTCAGTCCACTGAACTATGTTAAGGATTAACTGGGAGTTAACTGGGATAAATAATACATGTTAACTATTTTTATGACATTATTAAATTATACTGAGGTATTTCATTATTAAAAGGCTTGAAAACAACTGTTAAACAAACAACCTATCCTTCGAGGGCCTTGTCTGAGGTATCTTTGGGTCCTAGTGTTAAGCTACGCTGAGGGTGATGCTCGATTCACTCCAGTAGTCATTCCCCCACCAGCTCTGCTGCTGCTGCGGGCTCTGGCCTCAGAGACAGATTTCTTAAAGTTCGAAGAGAAGAAAGCACATTCTGTCATGTTACTGTCCGAGAAAACTTATGAGGACCGATTGGGTTTTAGGAACACACACACACACCCTAGGTAATTCTGCTGAGTAACAACCAGGAAGAGGGCTAACAGGAAACCCATGGCTATTCAGGGTACCCCCCCCATGAGCACAGTTTCAGACAGGGCAGGAAGTCGACTGGATTGGCAGAGTCTCTTGGGAAGAGGAAGGCCCAGACACTGTGTTTGACAGCTGTGAGGCAGGAAGCAGGAGGCAGACCGTATCAGGTGAAGGGAGGACAGGGGCATGGATGGCATCTAGGAATAATGTCAGGTCAGTTGATTGAAACTTAGAACCTGGAAGGGAATGGCTAGCAGCCAGGCAGGAGAGGAGCTATGGAGGAGTGTGGAGTTCGCAGATGAGGTGCTTCCTGACATGACTGAAGGTTCATTGAAGATTACTGCTGTGTTGTGTGGCAGAGTACTGTTTGTCACTTGGATAATCTTATTCTGGGGGCTCAGGTGAGATCATCTTATGGATCGCTTCTTGGGATGAATGCAAAAGCAGAAACTCAGAATGGGAGGGACATTTCATTCGAGTTCCAGGTCAGACCAAGGCTCTGGACCCCGGTTTTGTTTGTTTGTTTTTTGCTTTTTTTTTTCTTTTCCAAGACAGGCTTTCTCTATTTAGCTGTCGCTGTCCTGGAACTCGCTCTATAGACCAGACTGGCCTTGAACTCACAGAGGTCCACCTAGCTCTGCCTACCGAGTGCTGGGATTAAAGGTGCCACCATCACCACCTCCTGGCTGACTCTGGACTCCTTGATTTCTCTCTTTGAGTTTTGTAAGTTTTCCTTCTCTTGCTCTTAGGATCTGGCTCCCCCACAGATGTCCGAACAGCAGTTTACCAACCCCAGACTCACCTGCAGCCCGCTCCATATGGCCACTGTGTCACCGACAGCGGTGTGGTCTACTCGGTGGGGATGCAGTGGCTGAAGTCACAGGGAAACAAGCAGATGTTGTGCACTTGCCTGGGCAATGGAGTCAGCTGCCAGGAGACAGGTAGGCACCATCTCTATGCAGTAGCACCTTAGAACTTATGTTTAGCTTATACCGTATCTTTGCTTGTAAGAAAATGTAAAACAATAAAACCCAGATAAAAATCACAGTGGTTGACATTTTCTTCCAGTGTTTTTACTTTGGGTTTTTTTTCCTATCATGAGGATCAAACTGCTTTGTGTTATCTGTATTTGCCAGAAGTGATGCTGTGATGCTGTAAGAGCACTGGTTTTCTGAATAGCTGCTAGTGATCTGTACTTCGAGTTTTGAATTTGGAATTATAGATGTCTTTCAAAAACTCACAGCCTCTTCTGGGTTACAAGAACATCTATCTCTTGATTCCCACACCCCCCCCCCCAGAATACCCTTGTATACTATTTCTTCTGGTATGAGTATAATCATAAATCTCTCTGTCATCTTTGAACTGTAATTAATAGAGCTTTACAAATGGAGAAACTGAGTCATGGCAGCAGAGGTGGCTCCCAGGAACATTAACAGAGGAACTCTGGCCCATGGCTCTATCCTAAATAATAATACATTTTGATTGCCACGTACCAGATGACTCTTGCTTTGTTTCTTTAGCGGCACAAACTCAGCCTCTGTGTAAATTAGAAATTTGCCCCCTCTGGGGTGTGGTGGGGTAGCGGTGGAAAACAATTGTACTGACCGAGACCCTGGTTATGCTTGTAGCTGTGACCCAGACTTATGGCGGCAATTCAAATGGGGAGCCCTGTGTCCTCCCATTCACCTACAATGGTAGGACCTTCTACTCCTGCACGGCGGAAGGGCGGCAAGATGGACACCTGTGGTGCAGCACAACTTCAAACTATGAGAAAGACCAGAAGTATTCTTTCTGTACAGACCATGCCGGTGAGTATCCTAGGAGAAACCAGAGCAGGGAGGAGAAGCCCTTCCATTTGCCAGCAGTCAATCATTAATTGTGAGGCTGCACAAGAAACGCCGCTTTGATCTGTTTGGACCCAGAGACACAGCTAATTCCACAGCAGAGGCCCTTTTCCGTGTCCCTTAGCACCACTGGGGAAATGCCACCAAGGAAAAAAGCTCTGTGGTTTGATTATTTTGACACATAGGGATTATGATGTGATTAAAGACACTTGAGGGTTGAAATCAGTGAATGATCCCACAGAGCCGATGAACACACAGGATAAATGTCAAGGGTGCCTCTACTTATCTTCTGTTTAGAGCCATATTTTACACAAAGCTATCATTTAATCTCTTTTCCTTCTTGGCTGGGGAAAACGAGAGAACATGAGATTTAAATCTATTTTGGAAGTGAAGATGAAAATCCACTAAGGAGCTTAGGACTATACTATCAGATACCTTTTCTCCCGTGATAGGCCCTCTGGGAATTAGCAACCAGAACCTGGCTTTGTCTAAGTCTTTGGTAGTCTATCCTTGCTGTGCCCACCAAAGCTCAGCTGTAATTTTCCCGTTTGTGTGTTGTCCCCGGCAGTTTTGGTTCAGACTCGAGGCGGAAATTCCAATGGTGCCTTGTGCCACTTCCCCTTCCTGTACAACAACCGCAATTACACTGACTGTACTTCTGAGGGCAGGAGGGACAACATGAAATGGTGTGGAACAACCCAGAACTATGACGTTGACCAGAAGTTTGGATTCTGCCCTATGGCTGGTAAGATGAAGCCCTGTAACTTATGCATCTGTAGCAGACTGTTGATGCTGATTCCTCCATTTCTCCCTAAGACAATTTGGAAGAGTATGATGCACATATATATTATATCTTATGTTTGCATGTTGAGAAAACCATCAATAGCAATGCTTATTGATATGCTTTTAAAATCCTGTTGACAAGATTTAATGTCAAGAACTAAACACAATACCAACTACTTTTAAAATTTTATAAGTCTTCAAACATAAATTCACAAAAATGTACTTTAAAGCAATCTGACTCGTTGTCACAGACTAATAGTTATTGACACAGGGCTGGTTGGACTGACACCCAAGTTACTAAGAACCAAAGTGATCAAAGTAAGTCAGATTATTTTCTGACAAGTATAGAACGGCCCCCAATTTACCTAAATAAAGAAAGAGGATTTGAGTATTCGTTATTTTGCTTTTAAGTTTTGAAAGTCCTTTGAAAGACATTTGATTTTCCAGTTGTAGAACCAGGAACCTGAGTGTCATGCGTGGTCAGAGGCAAGGAAACAATTGACACTTCATTTTTCTCATTTCAGGAAAAGATGACGTTGGGTTTAAGAGGGAAAGTCACTTTTCCATGGGATTTTATTTATGTTCAATTTTCCTTTGAACTAGAGTGAGCTGAAATATGTGAAGTCACAAGGCTGTATTAAATCCAGCCTTCCAGACAATGAGAACCAGTTGGATGCGTGTACAAGATTTTCCTAGTCTAATATTCTCCAGTCCTTACAGTATTTCTCCCCAGTCCCCTGGGAACTAGTCTAGAGAGTTCAACTCTCCACCTTCACCCAGCAGCATGCATGCCTTCTTCCCAAATGAGAATCCTTAGAATCATCAAACAAGACCAATAACTTCCTATGCCTACCCATTTGTATCACGTGATCATTTATTTCTTGATCCATTCCAAACAGCCCACGAGGAGATCTGCACAACCAACGAAGGGGTCATGTATCGCATTGGGGATCAGTGGGATAAGCAGCATGATTTGGGCCACATGATGAGGTGCACATGTGTTGGTAACGGCCGTGGAGAATGGTCCTGCATCCCCTACTCTCAGCTTCGAGGTACGCTGCTGTGTTGGTGAGCAAGGGTACAGAGACTGGGTGAAAACTTGTACTGCCAAAAACAGAAGGAAGCCTGTAGTGCCACGCTTTTTCCATGCACTCACTGTGTTGGAGAAATTTCTTGTTTCCAGCAGCTGGTTGAGAAAAGCTGGCGAGAGAGTTGAGTTGTTAGTTCTAGGGCTTGGGAAGCAGTCCCAGCGTGTAAGTACTTATGTTGAGCCAAAAGGGCGAGTTCCTAAGGGAGAGCATCAGCATTTGATCCTCTTAGCTCTAGATTATGCCTGTGTTTATGTCTAGAGAAGGCAAGATCACTTTTTTCCTTTTTTTTTTCTTGTTTTGTGGGGGAGGGGAGGGTTTCTCTGTGTAGCCCTGGCTGTCCTGGTACTCACAGAGACCCACCTGCCTCTGCCTCCCAAGTGTTGGGATTAAAAATGTGCACCCCTACTACCCAGCAGCCTTTAGGCCAGTCTTATGGAGGCATTTTCTCAACTGAGATTCTCTCATCCCAGATATGTCTAGGTTTGTGTCGAGTTGACAAAAACCAACCACCAGTACACCCTCCTCTCCATTCTAGAAGCCAGACCACATTATAGTATATGATGTACAAATTTCAAAAATTTAAATAATTTAAATAAAATCATCAACTAAATGAGAATGTTAGAGGAACTAAGGCATGTATTTGTTGCAAAATTAGTTTCTTCACAGGAAGCTATAGTTTACCAGGGCTTTTAGTTTAATGGACTGTAACCCATGACAATTATAAGTCTATTAGATGGAACAAGATGGAAGTAAAAATTATGTCATTAAACTTAAAAGAAAAAGGCGTATTCTATGCCAGCAGAAAAGATATTTTAGCAGGTTAATCCAGCACTAGAACCTAATGCTTTGATAAATTATGATTTCTTCTATTCCATCTGTTAAAGTTCATCACCCATCTAACTGTCCCCTGAGCAGATCAGTGCATTGTTGATGACATCACTTACAACGTAAACGACACATTCCACAAGCGTCACGAGGAGGGGCACATGCTCAACTGCACCTGCTTCGGTCAGGGCCGGGGCAGATGGAAGTGTGATCCTATTGGTAAGTGGCTACCTGTGACTGCATAGTTGTCACCACGGAGCATGGTTAGCCAGCTGTGGGTAAGGACAGCTAGTTGATGTAACCAGATTATGTTCACTCTGCACGCAACGCAGTGGTCTGCAGAGAGCTTAGCCAGGTGTGTTTTCATCATGAGCTGGCGTGCAGCTTGTCTTGCCACTCATCTTTTTTGTTGCTGTTGCTCAGTTTGATGACAAGGGTAGCTTTTCTTTGGTTGACCGAAGTTAGCTTTTTGGCTCTGAATCATAAAATGGAACTTTCTTTTACTGACTGTGGAAACGTGGGTAAAGGGCTAAGCCGGTAAACACCTCCCTTCAAAATAATACTCCATCTTTTGGCTCCCTGTATAATACATGGGACTGTGCTAACGGTGAAGGTTCAACCTTAGACATAGCCCTATTCCAAAAATCCAAAGTTTAAGATAATCAGTTCATATTCCTTTACTGAAGGAGGCAGGTTGCTTACTGAGACAACAAATTGATCCCAGCCGTTTGTTTGGCCTCAGATTGCAAAGCTGAGAGAGAGATCCCAAGAGGTTTGCTTTGAAGTTGTTCGTGTTTAAAACTTAGCTCATTAATGCAAAACTAGCTCCTGAATTTTGAAGAAGTATATAAAATGAAATCTTGCAAAGTTCTTTCTTGCCATTCAAACAGCAAGTCAGTTATTTTGGTATCTAATTTAAAAAAATTTTTTTGGCTTTTTTGAGACAGGGTTTCTCTGTATTGTTTCAGAGCCTGTCCTGGAACTCACTCAGTACACCAGGCTGGCCTCAAACTCAGAGAGATCTGCTTGCCTCCGCCTCCCAAGTGCTGGGATTAAAGGCGTGCACCACCAACGCCCGGCCTAATTTAAAATTTTAAATTGACATCTAATTTTTCAATTAATATTCAGATTATGAATATATTCCAATATGCACATTTTAGATTTTACTAGTAGTTTTCCTGTAAGGTAAATTATTTGAACAAGATATTATTTTGGAGTTGAGGAAATGGCTACACAGACACACACACATACACACACACACACACACACACACACACACACACGTGCGCTCGTACACTCACATGCACATGTGCACACATCACGCGCATACCCAATACCACATACACCCGTACATGTACAACTATTATTTTAACTGTATTTGTAAGAATTACAAGTTTTTATTAATATTTTAAGAATATACTCTATCACACTACAATGACGTTGTCTAGGGCTGTTTTAATCTTTTCCTTGCATATATTCCAGACCAGTGCCAAGACTCAGAGAGCCGGACATTTTACCAGATTGGTGATTCCTGGGAGAAGTTTGTGCATGGTGTCAGATACCAGTGCTACTGCTATGGTCGTGGTATTGGGGAGTGGCATTGTCAACCTCTGCAGACATACGCAGGTAAGCAGGTCTGAGACTGACATGACCTGTGGTCATGATAACATGACAGCACCAGCCCTTACTAAGCCCAAATTGAAGGACTTTCTCTATGCCATCTTTTTTCATTTTAATCTTCAGTATTTTTTATTTATTTTCCTTTTTTCACCCTTCATCAGAGGCTATGAAAAAGTATATGCTATCATCTACACTGTAGAGTAATCCATTGGTGAAAACATTGCAGTTAATTTTATCTCATCCCTCTCTTTCTCTCTCTCTCTCTCTCTTTGTGTGTGTGTGTGTGTGTGTGTGTGTGTGTGTGTGTGTGTGTGTGTGTGTAAATAGAAACCATAAAGTACTCCGGAAGTGAAAAGGAATTTTTCATTTTGTTTCATAAGGAGAAGTCACGTAAACGGAGGCTAGGAAGTACAGTAAGAGCTATGAATTTGTTCCCTGCCATCTTTAACCCTTCATATGTTAAATTTCATTTGTTTATGAGATGCAATGTGGAGCCAAGTATCTGGAGCCAAGAGCTGAGTAACTTGGTCGACGCCACCCACACAGTTCAAGTACCCCAAAATACTTATTACTGTTTTGTTGTCATACCATTCTTAAATATGTTTTGGGGAAAACATATTTAAAAATCATTGAATGACTATGATGAGACATTGAATTTATGATATGGACCATTTCAGCAAAGTCTCCTAGATAGCCACTGATTATTTATTTAGTTTAGTTTATTATGTCCTCTGAGTATGTGTGGCAAAGGCAGTGTGCCATGGCACGCAGGTGAAGGTCAGAGACAACTTTGTGAAGTCCTCTCTTCACCTTTCTTTATACGACTTCTGGGAACTCACGTCTCCAGCCATCTTGCTGGCACTAATTTTAGACATGAAACGTGGCCTGAATCCAGAAAGATGTGGGGTGAGATAACAATCTGCATGTAATAGAAATTATAATAATAAGATAGCTCCACAGGAGTTCAGGTTAAATTAATCTGCATAAGGGAGTCACCATCATGGGAGCCAAAGGCAGAGCTAGCATGTGAGCAAGCTTTGGGTCCTAGGTCTGAGTGTGCTGTGAGAGACACTAGTTAGCTTCATTCTTTCTTCTCATCTGTGCAAAGAGAACTAGCTTACTCACTGGTAAAATGCCTTCCTGTGCTTCACACTACCAGGAAGCTATCCCGAAGGCCACTCCAGCACCCGTGCGCTGTTCTTATGAGCCTGCAGCATCCTCCTCTGCCCAGCCCTTTTGTCAGCGTTAGGACAGGTGACTGACTGCTTGCACAGTTTTGTGGCTCAGAGTGACCTGTCTCTTAGCACGTATTTCTTGTTGGATTTAGGTTTGAGTCTCTTAACATTTTTAAAAATTTAATGTCATTGCTTTGTTTTTGCATTTTGAGTCTCATCCAGTCCAGGGTTGCTTCAAACTTATTATGTAGCCAACGAGAATCTTGAACTCCGTCTCCTAAATGCTGGAATTACAAGCGTGCTTTACTATGTACCTGGTCAGTTTAATACAGCGTAAGATCTGATTACAAATATACTATACATTCAGAAAATACGTACTTAGGAGGGTTGAATGTTTAAAAGATACAAGCCAAGAATAGCTTAATTTTGTTTTTTCGGTTGGTTTTGGCAGGGCAATTTTTTGAAATTTGTTTCCTTTTGAGACCTTTTCTTTGAAAATAAGGCCACCCACATAGTCGTCCCGCCAGCATTGAGGTAGCCCAGTTGGATGTGAAAGATTCACCTAGTTGGAGTTAGACCTGCTGACTTTGTACCTAGTCTCTAAAAGGGGCAACATCAAAAGCCCATTGAACACAGAAGAGATTTCAGGGTGCGGAGATGAGTGCTCGACCTCAGAGCTTATCTCCCTGTCGGCTTTGCTCAGTGGCTCATGCCTGGCCAGTGAGGCTCCAAGAGTGTAGGAATCATTTTAAAAAAAAAAACCCACAGGTGGTTGAAAGATTGTGTCTGAGCCTTGACCTGTTTGCTCTTCCTACTGAGTGGGTAGAGTTGTTCAAACTAACAAAGATAAGAGGAATTTGGTTTGTCAATAAGCAACCAGAAAAGCATAGCTCTCAGCAAATTAAGTAGAGAAAAAATGGTTCCAGTAAAAAAAAAATCATGAATGTTTAACTTCTCCAGGGTCACCATTATCGGAAATCACTCATTCTGACCTTATTTTCAAAGTGCATAACATGCCATCCTACGAGTGAAGAGTTCACAGTGGGAATTTCTCGTAGATGGCCAGAAAAGTCCATTGGAAAAACTTACCAGTATCAGAAGGATTATAAAAACATTTCCATCTAAATAGTATAAATGACAGCCAGGCTCTTAACTTTCCCGTCTCTAATCATATGTGGTAGTGTACATTGTAGGGATGAGCAGGAATTTAATTGACCTAAAAAAATAACTCAGACATTTTCTTTTTCATTCCTGCACAAAATGCTCTGAATCTCACTTGCTGTTGAGGGCAGTCCCTTAAAGGTGACCCAGGTCATGAGTTTACAGGGCTGGAGAGCAGGATAACTCAGTGGTCAAGAGTACATGACTCTTCGTGCAGATCAGTTTGATTCCAAGCACTCACAATGGACAGTACAGATCTCACTTTTCTGTCCTCTGCCAGCACCTGTAGTCTCATATAGATATCTCGCCCACAAGGGCATTTTAGAAATTAGATTAAAATTCAAAATACTAGAATTCCAGGCCTGTGCTAGAAATCCGAGAAAGGAAACCGAAGCTTCGGTAGCGCTGCTTCACTTGGAGTAACCATGGCAACCATCTTTCTTTCCCTCCCTTTCTCGTCTTCCTCCTATCATGCTTGTGCATACGAGTATGATTTTAGTGGGCAGTAAATGTCATTTGTATTGTCTTAATAGGCTTACTTATCTGGGAGACTTAATCACCACATATTTTCCCACTTCAAATTCACTACTGACACACTGAATAAAATGCACGTGAAATGCCTCTCTACCCGAGAGATTATAGTGAAATTACTCTAAAAGATCAGTATTTAACAACTTTATGCAAATTGCCACAACTCATATATGGTCAAACGTCTCTTTTTACTGATTTCTGTGGAACTTCTTTAAACAGTGTTTGAAAATTTGTTTTTTAGTATGTGTTTGCAAGTCTCTTCATGCATAGAAGGGATGATTCCAGAAGGCCATGGAAATGACGTTTATTAATTTGAATGAGTGATCAACCTGTGTGATGTGTGGAGCTTATGCCTCTTTAGGATGCAAAGCCGAGAATTTTACATGTGACTCTTGACATTCTCCTGTGGCATTGAGTAAAATTAAGATTCAATGAATATTCGTTAGTCTTCAACAAACTGAGTTATTCCCAGTGTGGAAGTGAATAGGTTATTCTAAAAGTTTTGGAGGTCACACAAGTATGTAAGTTACATATTGGTTCTTCTAAAGAAAACTGTTTTCAAAGAATTTAGAAGCTAACCTCATAATTAAAACTAAAAGTCAATATATTATTTCCCAAGAACATTTAGAAAACTGCTAATAGTGTAGAGTACTTTAATAACATGTAGAACTTTGTCTGTTTCACAGAATGCCAGTGAGAAATTCTTACCTTAAAGTTTTTATAAAGACTTTGTACAGATGACCTTTGACCAACAAAGAACAGAGAACTGAGAAGTTAAATTTCCATTCTGTAAACATTTTTTAACAAAATTTCATTATTATCCTGAATGGAATCTACTATATTAAAAATGATTCCCTTCTCTTGTTTTGCCTTTTTTTATATGAAAGAACTGAATCCGTCCTAAATTTTGTTAGTAACAGTCATATCAAGATGTGAAAATACTGAATTTTCAATATATGCTTCTAAATGTTATTTCACTTGGTAATTCCTTTAAAAAACAAAACAAAAAATGTGATCTCTTAACAATTTAACCCACAGTGATCTTAGAGTATATATAGTTCTTAAGTAAAAGGAAACTAGATCTCTTTGTCCAAATGGAGAGAAGGCTTAGCTGGATGGGGGAACGAACCCTGGTCTTTAATTATTACCTTTGTCTGTTTGTCCAGGATTCAACCCTATTTAGAAATGTTTGCTTTCCGTCATGTCATACGGCCTTGGGAATGTTCTTCCTTCTTAATAGATCCATCTGTGCTGAAAGCCTCCACGAGTCAGTTTGTCTTAGACGAGCCTGAGTAAAATCAGCATATGACGTCTGCATTCTGAACTACATTATTCATGTTATGGAAATTTCACAATTGTTTCTCAATTCTTATTTGAAAGCAATCTGTGAGATAGTGGAATAGTTTTTGTTTCCTTTATTAGGGAAAAAATCTAATTGTGTTTCTTATGGAAAAGGCAATAATTACCAGGTAGAATCAGACCTGTTTCTAATGTCAATATGTAAAAGGTTTAGCTAAATGTAGTCATTTTCATTATGCCCATATTTCCTGAGAAGTCAATAGTCTTTAAGGATGGACATCCATGTATAGGAAACTTTAAGAACAGATATGGTGAAGAAATCACACGTTTTCATTTCAGGCACAACTGGTCCTGTCCAAGTGATTATCACAGAGACGCCCAGCCAACCCAATTCCCACCCCATTCAGTGGAATGCACCGGAGCCTTCTCACATCACCAAGTACATTCTTAGGTGGAGACCTGTGAGTATTAGCTCAGAAGGCTCGGGCTGTGGGACTCCTGACCTTTCTGGGTTGGGATGTGGTGCTCTGTGGGTTTGTTTCTGCTTCTGAGTCAACAGATCTGATCCCTTGTCAGACAGTATTTGTATTTTCTTGGTGTCTAGCCAATCTGTGGTTACTAGAATCAGCATGTCGATTTTAGGTTCCTTTGGATGCCCAGAAGAAATTAGGTCTTTGTGTTAGGAAGGTCTTAGAAGTCGTAATGCTTCTTATTCAATGAAATTTTGGTATGCTTTGCAACTCCATTAAAGGTTAAGATTGCATTTTCAAATTATTTCCAGAGTTTGAAGACCAGCTGAATGAATGTCGTTCTTTTGACTAAATTCAACTGGACTTTGGTCCTGTAAAGTTATTAGACAGAAGGGAATGAGGTAATGAGAGAAAGGAGTGCAGGGAAAGGATTATAGTTGGTTCCTGGAAGGAAATGAACTCTAGAGTTTTCTAGCCATCTAGATGCTGAAACCATTCTAAGGAGGTTATTAGTCTATTAAATTTTGATGTCTCTTTTCCTCTAGACGTGCCCTCTCCAAAGTTCCTGACATAATTTGAAAAACACTATTTTAGAAAGGAGAAAAATATACTTTCTCAAATCAAATCTGTCCAAGTGTAAATAATCCAAGACAATACAAAACATTTGACTCGTGACATCAAATCATGCAGCTGAATTTAAACTCTTTGGGTACAGCCCATGTTGTTGAGATCACTCTTTTTCTTCACTTGCACCGTGTTGTTCGGAGTCTTAAGTAGTCAGCCACCAACTTAACATCTGGCAATGTCAATTAAGCAGTGGGTTTTGTTTTCCTCTTCAGTATCTCCCATCTCCTTCATCTTTTCACTTTACCACCATTTTTGTTTACTTTGAACTTAACTCTGAAGTGTTTGTACAAAGGCACTATAAAAGGGACATTGACAGATAGGCACGAAATATGTATTGAGTTGAAAGATCTTCACATTTGATTCAATTCTTTGAGTATTTTTTGTTTGGGTTTTGCTGTGTTTTCTTTTGAGATATGTCTCATTAGGCCAAGACGTGTTTCATATTCCTATATAGCTGAACATCTTGAACTGCCTCTGCCTGTTGAGTGCTTAGAGTGGTTCATCTCCCTCTCTTTATGTGGTGCCAGAAGTTGAACTCAGGCCTTTGGCCATACCAGGCAAACACTATCAACTGAGCCATACCCATAGTTCTCTTGGAAATTTTAACAAAGAATTCCTGATGTTTTTGTTTTTTTGTTTTTATGTAGGCAATTTGAGAGTTTACATTCTGATATTTTCTTCTGATGACCAAGAATGCTTACACTGTATAAGAGTTATTTTTTCCCCTAATTTCTAAGCTAACATAATGGCTAATTCCAATTTCAGCATATTTGAGCTAAAACTTAAATTTAAAGAGTACTTGGCTCACTTTCATTTATCTTCAAAACATAAACTGGCACTAGAACATTTGAAGTATGTACAAACTTGATTGGATAGCATTTTTTTAAAAAATCTCTGGGCATTGAACATGTATTTGATATTTAAACCGCTTTAGAATATTTACACTTAAAAGGCCTTCTTGTTTGAAGTCCGGGTGTTTTTTTTTTTTTCCTCCACACAATCTATTGCAATGAGTTTTGCGGTCCATGACATATTAATGAAGTTGGACAGGATATAAGAATGTAAACCGGAGGGAAAAGATTAAATAAACTGAATTATATTCTTCTGCAGTCTTTCCCAAAGTTGGCTAACCGCTCCTGATGGGTTGTTCATTTCCAAGGATGAGTCACACAACCAGACAAGTTGAATCTTGTTTGTTATGGCCTCAGGATCTGAGTCAAAGCAATATTATCCTTTGCAGTGTCTGTAAAACAAGACACTTGAACTGTACCCCACCAAGTTGAAAGACAGAGTGTGCGGCCTTTTCTCACTTCAGAGAGAAATGGATCTTTCTCTGAAGGTTGATAGATAACAGGTTGATAAGAAATGGGCTTACTGGAAAAACTGTGAGAGGCTGAATTGAGGATGCTAGTATTAAGTTATCCAATAATTGACCATTGGGAAGGTATTCAGCAGAACTATGTAACTCTGAACAACATCATTTAACTGTTTCTCCGCCTGTAAAGTGGGAGCAGTGATGCTGGTCACTTCTGGCAGGGAGATGAAGATGATTAGTGGGAGGAACAAGCAAAACACCCTGGCCACATGATAAGCTACCTGGCCCAGTAATTAATTAACGTCAGCAAACTCAGTAGAGGCCTCTCTGAATTGTGTTTCCCACCATTTTCTCCCAAAATGGAGCTCTAAGCTATAACCGTCTTTGAAGATTACAGGCCACCACCTTGGAATGTTTATCATCACCCACACTTGTGCCATGTATTCTTTTTAAATTGCCAGAAAACCTCTGTGGGCCGCTGGAAGGAAGCCACCATTCCAGGCCACCTCAATTCCTATACCATCAAAGGCCTGACCCCAGGTGTGATCTATGAGGGTCAGCTCATCAGCTTCCAGCAGTATGGGCACAAAGAAGTGACACGTTTTGACTTCACCACCAGTGCCAGCACGCCTGTGACCAGTATGTATCCAGCATCCATGGGGCTGTGCCATCCTTGGGGCTGTGTCCGTTGCTCAGACGCAGAGTCCCCGCAGAAAGTTCTCTCTTTCTCGGCTGCATCCTTTTGCGAATGACACCTGCGTTTTCCTTTTAACATCCTCCCAGCACAGAGAGGGTAAGCATTCTAGATACTCAAACTGGCTTGCATTCCCCCTTCCCCTAGGCAACACGGTGACAGGAGAGACTGCGCCCTTTTCTCCCGTTGTGGCAACTTCTGAGTCTGTGACTGAAATCACGGCCAGCAGCTTTGTGGTCTCATGGGTCTCAGCTTCCGACACTGTGTCAGGATTCCGGGTGGAGTATGAGCTGAGCGAGGAGGGAGACGAGCCACAGTACCTTGGTGAGTAGAATGTGTGACTGACTCAGTGCAAGTCGATAGCTACTTGGCTGGGAAGAATTTTGGTCTCTGGAACTACTCCACGGTTCAGACTGAGGACACTCCCCAACATTAAAGCAAGGAGAGGGGTGGTCCTCTCTGACCAGGCCAGGGTTCCCTGAGCACCTCACTTGTCTCTGGTGCTATTTATTTTTCATTTGTCCTCATAAGGGACGAGAATGAGACTTGCAGCTGGCAATGTTATCTTTTAGGCATGTATAGTTACCATCCTGTATGCTTTTTAAATATCCCAGTGATCAGGGAGCTTTTAAAAAGCTTACTTGTGTCATTGAGATGGTTCAGTGAATAAAGGCCCTCGCTCACCAACCTGACAACCTGGGTTCAGTCCCTGGGTGGAAGGAGAGGGTTGAGTCGCACAAGTTATTTGACTTCCAGTCCCCCACCACGTGTGCTGTGGCATGCATAACAGACTCCCCCGCCCCCAATAAATGTAATATTAAAAAGACACTGGACATACTTGTGGGAATGGGACCCAGATCAAAAAATGATCTACCTTCCAACCCCATCCCATCATCCTTCTACCCATGGCTATTACCCTCATTTCTAACAACAGCTGTGTTTACAAAAAAAAATCAAAAGCGGTTATTAAAAATTATATATCTTTAGGAGGAGAAATAGAAAATGAAAAGAACATACGTTGGGAACTGCAGGCTATTCACTAGTTTGCTCCTAGTCTTTCTCCCATGGATATAGAGTTCCCTAGAAGCCATCGAAGGTGGGTTTGCTCCGGCCACTAACCTTTCCCTTTATTTCAAAGATCTTCCAAGCACGGCCACTTCTGTGAACATCCCTGACCTGCTCCCAGGCAGGAAGTACATCGTCAATGTCTATCAGATATCTGAAGAGGGAAAGCAGAGCTTGATCCTGTCTACATCCCAGACGACGGGTATGTGTGCACTAAACCACGTTCAAAGACTTTTGATGTAGGGTGTGGTGGGTGATTCGATACATATGTGCAATGCCAGGTTTGGGAGGAGGAGGCTGTTCCAGGCTAGCGTACATTACAAGACACTAAAAAGAACTTTTTAGAGATGTTTTAATTTTACTATAAAGCATGGGCTTATAGGGATACTGACTGGCTTCTTCTTCTGTCAGCACCTGATGCCCCTCCAGACCCTACTGTGGACCAGGTTGATGACACATCAATTGTCGTTCGGTGGAGCAGACCCCAGGCACCCATCACAGGTCATCTTTGGCTTTGGTGTTTAGCTTGGATATATAGATGTGGAAGGAGAAAATTCTGACTACATTGGCATCACCTTTAAGTCTCCCATTTAAGTGATTAGATGTTTGTGTGTGTGTGTGTGTGTGTGTGTGTGTGTGTGTGGTGTGTGGTATGTGTGTGTGTTGTGTCCACTTCAAATCTTCCAGGGTTATTTCATTATGAATTGTTTTCCCTCAAATTCATTTATCACCCCTGACACATGCACATATGACCCGTGAAGCCAGCCCTGTGGCTCACTGAAGCAGTTTCCAGGGCTTGCAGAGGTAGATTGCTCCTGCAAACCTTGTGTTCACGGTTGAAGAGGCTGAGTTGCTGTTTCGCCTTTATCAGTGAAGGTCCCAAAAGGTGCAGCCAGTGCTCAGGCTATGTCATTAGTTGCCTCCCCATCCACAGCTCCAAGAAGAGAAATTGGCATGCTATCTCACCTAGTGGCTTCACTAATTGGCATTTATTAAGCATTTCTGTCTTCAAGGATATTTATTGTTAAAGAATTTGTATCACTGTTCTTATCTCTGCTTGTCAGTCATTGTCATAGGAAATGATAACCCTGAAAGAATCTTGCAGAGAGCCATTAGAAAGGAGAGATATATTGTCTAGCCTTGGCTTCAGGAGTCTATATATCTAGACACTTTTCTCCTAAACCTGCAGGGTACAGAATCGTCTATTCACCGTCAGTAGAAGGCAGCAGCACAGAACTCAACCTTCCTGAAACCGCCAACTCCGTCACCCTCAGTGACCTACAGCCCGGTGTGCAGTACAACATCACCATCTATGCAGTGGAGGAAAACCAAGAGAGCACGCCTGTGTTCATTCAACAAGAGACTACCGGCACCCCACGATCTGGTAACTTCAAAATACCACCTCTCCTGCTGTCTGACCTTTTAGGACTGACCAGACAGCTGCTCTAACCTTGCAGAGGAAGATAAAGCCTACATGGATTATATTCATTCCCTTAGCCTCCAGGGAGGACTGAGATGTAAGTCACGTGAGTGACAGGTCCCTGAGAATGAGCCACTTTTTTCTCTGTCTTCAGTTTCAACATTCCCATCACCTTAATCAGCAGTTCTCAATCTTCCTAAAGCTGAGACCCTTTAAGACAGTTACTCATGTGGTGGTAATCCCAACCTAAAATTATTTTTGTTGCTAATTCATAACTAATTTTGCTGCTGTTATGAATCATAAATATTTGCATTTTCTGGTGGTCGTAGGTGACCCTGTGAAAGGGTTGTTCCACCCGAAAGGGGTTGCCGCCTACAGACTGAGTACTACTGACCTAAATACTGAAATGTCAACACTAGGAAGGAACTTACCAAAGACAACTATTAAGCTTTCTGGTTAAAAACTGGCAATATCTCATGTTTCCTAAGACACCTAAGAAGGACTTAATCTGTTCTCTTAACTACCATAAAGTGAGCCAGTTAAACAAATGCACCAGTTTTTCTTTAGGTTTCTTAAAGTGAAGGCATTTTAATTTTTGTGTATTTATTTTAACTTCTTGCTTTTATGCTATAAACTAATGCCTATCTATAGATAATAGATAAAGATTCCAACAGCAGTTAGACTAACCATGAATATCTATCTACCCATAAAATAAGTCTATTTTTTGGTTAAGATGGCAAACCCTCTATTGGCCAGGAACGAATGGGTCTAAGAAATGCCTCAGTTGTTCATGGTGTTGACTTTCAGCAACAACCTACGGTGGGAATTTTGAATGACACATTTCTCTTGTCTACTAGATAAGGTTCCCCCTCCCCGGGAACTCCAGTTTGTGGAAGTGACAGATGTGAAAGTCACCATCATGTGGACACCTCCTGATAGTCTGGTGACTGGCTACCGTGTTGATGTCCTCCCTGTCAACCTGCCTGGGGAACACGGGCAGAGGCTGCCTGTCAGCAGGAACACCTTTGCTGAAATCACCGGGCTGACCCCTGGGGTCACATACCAATTCAGCGTCTATGCTGTGAACCAAGGCAGGGAAAGCAAGCCTCTGACCGCACAACAGACCACCAGTATGTCCTGCTCCTTCCTGTCTGTCTTTTTGCCCCGCCTCCAAGCTCTACACCCTCAGTTATACTATCCTCTACAACATGCTACTCACTCCCGGGCTCTCAGCTTAGCAGTAATGAAATGTCCAGCTGGAAGGAATGTTGAAGGTGGAATGAAACTAGGGTCCTGAGGACGCTAACTCCAACATGCATACTACTTCCCACGTGCCTACCACATCCAACATGCATGCCACATCTAACATGCACAGCACTTCCCACGTGCATACAGCCGGGATGTATGAGGGAGAGCATTTAAGAGAATTAGGAAAGGTTTTCTTTGCTAATGAAGACATGGAGATGCAGTTGCAGGACCTATCTCTAGCACCACAGTGAGTTAATCATTTAAATAATAAATCCTAAGCATTTCGTGATAGTGGGCACCAAGTTATCTGTTCAGGTTCTTCACCAGCAAAATCTTATTAGGTCTTCTGTCTTTATTGAAATGTGCAAAGGAGAATGTCACTTCTCTTGGCTATGGGAAGAATCTTAAGGTCCTTTTCAGCCCTGTGTCTAGGAAGTGACAAAAGTGTCTCTAAACTGCCCCTTGGGTTCCAAAGCTCATGCTCTCTTATTATACTCGACTGTCTCTGGAAAGTTCCTAAAAGATGTTTTAACCTCCCAAGGGAAACCCAGCTAGCATCCTCAAAAAGAAAAGTGGCAATCTATGTGATTCTTTCTGGTGGTAAAAGTTCCCCACCATCCCACCCTGAGACTGGGGTCCTGCATGTCTGTTTTAGTTGCAATCAGAGGATTAGCATATTGCCTGCAGTAGGTACCAAGCTTTCCTTGTCCTGAGTCTGTTGGACTCACTCTCCCTCCCTTAAACTTTCTGGCATAAAGCAAATTGTGGGGTTTGCAAAGTGTTTGCTTTGCTTTAAAAAACAAAACAAAACAAAACTGTCACTATAGTTTAACTATAATTTCCAAGGGTGGTGGGTAAATCTTGCTGGGAAAATTAGTCTTCTCGGGGGAGATTCTGCATCAACCCGAGTTCTCAAGAGCCTCGGTTTCCAGGGATGTGGCTCTGACTCTAGTGTCAACCTCGGGTGAAAACATGGACTATTATTTAATAAAGGATTTCAGCGTGATAATCATTATCCAAGCACTTTTTGACACATTTCACCTTTTTTTTCCAGAACTCGATGCACCCACCAACCTCCAGTTTATCAACGAAAATGACAGAACTGTTTTGGTGACCTGGACCCCACCTCGGGCCCGGATAGCGGGCTACCGGCTGACAGTGGGTCCGACTCGAGGGGGCCAGACCAAGCAGTATAATGTGGGACCCTCAGCCGCCAAGTATCCCCTGAGAAATCTGCAGCCTGGATCTGAGTACACAGTGACCCTGGTGGCTGTGAAAGGCAACCAACAGAGCCCCAAAGCCACCGGAGTCTTCACTACCCGTAAGTTGACATCCAAATGCCTTTCTTTGGTGGAGCTGCGTGTTCTTAACTGTATTGACTTTTCCCATCCTCCCACTCTTTAGAAGTTAATTTAAAAACCATAGTGCATCATTTATGTGTACCCCGTAGACTGGCTGCTCTATTGATGTTTGTTCGTCAGAATAGGCATCACAGCCCATGGCCTTTATACTCTGGCTGATAAATGTTTTGAGTCCAGATTTTCTGGCTGGAGGAAGCAGTGTGTGAATTTGCAGGAATTTTCCAAGTTCCTTCTGTTCTCCTGGGTTAACAACTCTGTGAGACAGGAGGGCTCAGTAGATAAAGCGCATGCTGCTTACATGTGAGGACCCGAGTTTGGTTCCCCAGCACAGTCATAAAAAGTCAGATGCAGTGGTGCATACTTGTAATCCTAGCTTTGGGAAACAGAGACAAGAGGATCTGGAGAGGTATACAGTCAGCCTTGCTAGTCAGTAACTCCAGGTTCTCAAAATCTACCAGGTGTGGTGGCACATGCCTTTCATCTTAGCACTCAGGACGGGGAGGCAAAGGCAGGTTGTTCTCTGAGTTCGAGGCAGCCTGGTGTACATGGCGAGTTCCAGGGTAGTCAGGACTTTGTAGAGAGACACTGTCTCTCCTCTCTCTTTCTCTCTCTCTGTCTCTCTGTCTCTGTCTCTCTGTCTCTGTCTCTGTCTCTGTCTCTCTGTCTCTCTCTCTCTCTCTCACACACACACACACACACACACACACACAGACACGGTGGAGACTGATAGAATAAGTTCCTTGATGTTGATCTGTGACTTCCTCACACACTCCTGTAGAACACACATACATGCATACACAGCAAAAAAGAAAAATATTGACTAAATACATTCTGAATGTAATCAGAATATAATCAGTATCATACTATTCTGGACATCAAATGATAGTCATTTATGTAAACAAAAAAACACCCAGGGATTGAATGGACATCTGCAAATAGAATGAGAGGTTAAGCAAATTATTTCTTTGAGCGCCTGGACTGCTGCAGGCTACAGAACTTCACAGAGCTGAGACCTGGCTTCCTTCCTCTTCCCTAAACTGTAAATTCCACAGAGGAGAAAAAAAATATAAACAATATAAACATTTTTTGGCCATGGCTACCTTTTCCTCAACATTTTAGAGGAAATGGCCTTAAGTCTCTTATTTAGCTACATCCCAATAAAGGCCTGTATTCATAAGCTGTTTTCCTACTAAGTATACTCCATTTACATGACAAAGAATTACGAGTCTGTTTCTTTCGAAACATTTGCTTATTATTTTCTACTTGACATTTTGAGTTATGGGAGCACCTCACACAAGCATGCTTTTGCCATTTATTGCTGTGAACCCCTAGTTCACAACTTCCCAGGAGTTTTCAGCAAGTCTTCATTGCTTTTAAAACATGGCTTCTCAAAAGCATTAAAATGTAATCTAAGCCAGGTGTGGTGTCACACGCCTTTAACTCCAGCATTCAGTAGATAGATCTCTATGAGTTCAAGGCCAGCATGGTCTACATTAGCGAGATCCAGAAAAATCAGGACTATGTAGAGAGACCCTGCCCAAATAAACAAATAAATAAATAATCTAGAAAAACTTAGTTTGTAAATTACTATGGAATTTCTCAAAGAAGATTCCCTGTCACCTGTCCCCCACAGTAACCTATAGTTGACTACAAACTGTCTTGCAAGTATACATGAGTTTGAGCAATGAAGGCTTTTTCTTATGGCTTTGTTAGTCACAGGCAAATGAATTTGCTAATAGTTTGCAAGAGAATTGATTTTAAATTTTTGCTATTTCATGTTGCCTGGTTTTGACACAGTCTAAGATCCACTCTCATGAAGTTAATGCCTGTTTTTCTTGCAAATACCCATTTTTAAAAAAGATGTCCTTCAAGTGACTCAGTTTGGAGATGTCAGTGCACATAGCCTCTTAATAGATGGCTTCTGGGTGTAATAGTAGTAAAGTTTGTGTTAGCCAAAAATTAATTAACATACTTCATTGTACATAGTGTACTTTCCCAAAATGCTTGAGTAGATGAGTAATTGAAGAAAAAATAGTACAAAAAACCAACTCACATAGACTCAGACTTAAATCAACCAATGTAAAGAAGGGGTTACCCAAGTCCATTTGAACCACAAATGGTCTGTGGCTATAAACAGCAGCAGGGCCTAGGAACTTGAGTTTTGGGAGCTTTAGTAACTCTGAGAACTTTTAGTAACTTTCTGAGTTCTGCATCTCATGTTAAATTCTTAAGAGCAATCATGAGATACGTAGGGAGAATAAGCTATTTCTTGGGAGAATAACCCAGCCTTCTCCTGTATTGAGGGTGTATTTTTATTTCTCAAGAGCCAGATTGTTCCTCACCTAACAGTCCCTGCCAGAACCCATAATTAATACTTACAGGAGCATCCTTTGTTTGACATCAGTTTGTGGGTTTGTGGTTTAGTGATTTTCCTATAATGGTCTGCCTGGGCAAGACAGTATCATCTCAAACGTAGGTAGATTTAGCTGCCTGACTCTAGGATAGAAAATGCCTAGTCCAGGTGAAAGAAATTGGCCATTCTGAATTGATTTTGTTTGTTCACTTTGGTTTGTTTTTTCTGTTTTTCCAGACAGGGTTTGTCTGTATAGTTCTAGCTGTTCTGCTTTGTAGACCAGGCTGACCTTGAACTCAGAGATCTGTCTATATTTGCTTCCTCAGTGCTTGGAAGGGATTATTCTTTCTATATTATTTCTTGTGAGCAGTTACAAATGGTCACCCAGGACTGGCTCAGGCATTTTCGAACAGTTGGCAGCAGGCAACCTGGGCATGATTTCAGGTCACCAACCCGAATTACCTTAAATGCCATCAAAATAACATACTTTGAGCCGCCTACTGTAGCAGTGGGCCGTAAATGCAATACTTCAGTTCAGTCGTTACAGCATTCTCTCCTTAAGTCGGTGCATTCATATTTGACTTTTCCTTCCACTTCACATTTTTAAATAAACATTAAAAATGAGACAATAAATCCAAGCTGAGAAGATAAACATGGAAGAATTATAATATTGGCCCTGAATTCTTATGTCATACAAAAAAATATGGAGCTGAGTTGAGTGAAAGCTGAAAACATTTCCATCGTGTTTGGGGCTGGAGGTGGAGTGGAGTTGGAAGAGAATACTAAGCAAACTTTCATTGTAATTCTTGCTTCCAGTTGTTAGGTACCAAATGCCTGTAGCATCCATCGCATGTTTGAGGGATGGATCTTTGGAACATGTAGTGTCAGGATTTCTGATTGCATCTAAAAGTGATTTTCCACTATTGTGAAATAATTCGGCACGAAGCTACCCTTAGATTACACCTGTAGTTTCCTCTTTGTTCATAAGTATACAGAAAGAAAATGACTACTAGTTTGCAGCGAGCAGTTGCATGTTTTATAAGGGATTTGATGCTGATGAAAAGATGGCAGATCATAAAAACCAAGAAATGGAAAGGGACTTATTTTTGGTCACCTAGCCCGTTGTGTTACTCATGAGTGACAGGTCCTTGCCAGAAATTCAAGCCCCCAGAACAATGTTGGAGTTGCAGAATCACACACACCCCAACCCCCACCCCCATTGTTACCAGGGTGACTTGGTGTTACATGTTAGTGATTATGAAGCAGTGCTGTTTATGTCTTAGTTGATAAAGGAACCCAGGCTCCAGTCTCTGTCTACTTGCTGGTTAGACCAAAGTTGGTTAAAATGTTTGTTCATCTGCAGTCCTGGCCAACACCTATGAGCCTACGGTTTTGAACTTCATGTTGGTTACTTTACAGTGCAGCCTACGCGCTCCATTCCACCTTACAACACCGAGGTGACGGATACGACCATCGTGATCACCTGGACCCCCGCTCCAAGAATTGGCTTCAAGGTGAGTCACATGAGGTCTCTCATGAGGCAGCCCAAGGTACCTTCCCATGCTATTGCCTATGGAGAAAACAGCCACAGCCACGTTCTGGAGCCTTGGGTTTTGTTAAGCCCTATAATTATACTCCAGGGCCTTGTGAGAGCAAAGCCTTGGCTGCACTTTCTTTTTTCTTGGTCTGTTTTGCAAAGGAAGAAACCATTAGCATGGAACTATAGTGCTTGTTGTTTTGTTTTGTTTTCTGTCCTTTCCCCCAGGGAACTCCATTTTAAAAATAAAAATATAGGAAAACTTCATTTGATGTGTTGCTCTAAATGGGTGTCAAGAAGCTTACGAAAGCCAATTTGAGGAGATCAATTAAACTCAGAGTCACTTCAAAATCACATTTTTATCCAATCAGTCTCTTCTTAAGACGTGTTCAAAGCCCCGTGGGTGAATTTCTTAATAGGAGTTAAAATTGAGGTCTTCGTCTTAGATATCTGGAGTCATGTTCTTTAAAGTAATGATATCAGGGAAGCGATGAATACAAATGAATATATTTTAAAGAATCCCATCCTTTGGCATTCAGAGAATGAAAAAAAGAAATGTTTATTATGCCTGGGAATCAAAGCCTGATAGTTTAAAAGGAAGAAAAAAATAGATCGAAGGTCACTTCACTTTTTAGTATGCAAATAGCCATATTGATGACTATGCTAATCCAACAGAGGAGCTCTTTATGAAGACTGCCAATGCACCTTTTTAGTTTCCCTTAATAATGTCATTCAGCATTTTAGAAGCCACAGAAACTACAAAGTATTTCTCTTGAGTTAAATACTGTTTGATAATATTACCTAGGCTTTTGAAGTTATGAACACACTTCTTCATGGGAATGTGTTTTTCATTTCCAAGTGTCAAAGTGGCTGGTGGTAACTAGAAAGTTAACTGAGTGTGAGTAACTCATTAAAGAGAGAGCCTAGGGGATTTCTTCCTTGTGTACTGCTGGTATGTACCAGAAGGTTCTTTGTCAAAGAACTATAATGACATCTCTTTGGAACTTTCTATTATCAATGATCCTAGTACCAAAGGAAGACACTCTCCAGTTAATTGCAGAATAACTAAAGTGAGCCCCCAACTTGTTACCCATCCAATGAAAAGCACAGTGTGGATTTTTAAGGGAGTTCTCATTGTGTCAACCTCTTGGGAGTTCTGCAATATTCATCCTTCATGTTGACTTTGCTTTCCTCCATCCAGCTGGGTGTACGACCAAGCCAGGGAGGCGAAGCACCCCGAGAAGTGACTTCAGAATCTGGAAGCATCGTTGTGTCTGGCTTGACACCAGGCATAGAGTATACTTACACCATCCAGGTCCTGAGAGATGGCCAGGAGAGGGATGCACCAATTGTCAACAGAGTTGTGACGCGTAAGAACTGTGAAACTATTTACAAAGACTCAAAGCAGGCCGTGGCAGCACCTGCCTTTAATCCTGGTGCTTGGGAGGTGAAGAAGGAGGATCGGGAGTTCAAGGCCAGCCTCACCTACACCAAAAGTTGAAGGCCAAAGAGCTGGTTGTCATAATACACACCTCTAAGCCCAGCAATTTGGGATGTAGAAGGAGGCAGATATCAGAGAATTTGAGGCTAGCCTGGTCTATACAGTGAGTTCTAGGCCAACTGGGGCTTCACAGTGAGGGCCTGCCTCAAACAAAGGATACAAATTCCTCTAATTCTTCTCATACTAGTGCCACAGCTTGCTTATTTGAACAAAACAAGGGGAAGAGCCCATCCCCTATTTAAATCATTAGTGTCTTTAGAATTTGATGTAGTCGGTTTAGCTGGTGTCATGTAGTCCACAGCATTGAAAGTGTCCCTTCCATGTCAAAAGTCTTCCGAACAGGCAAGATGAAGCAATGTCAGTAGTGGTATAATAGCATTAATCTTAAAAAAAAACCAATCTTGTATCAGGGAGTCATGGACAACTGTGGTTTTTATACTTTACTGTCTATATTTTTAATGTTACTAAAGGGAAGGGATTAAAGAGAAGGGAAAAAAGGAAGGAGAGAAAGCGGGCAGTAAAGGAAACATTTCATAAACTAAATGTTTCGTGTTCCCTTTAACTTTTAAATTTTCTTCTCTATGTAGCCTTGTCTCCGCCAACGAACTTGCACCTGGAGGCAAACCCTGACACTGGAGTGCTTACGGTCTCCTGGGAGAGGAGTGTCACCCCAGGTGAGCTTTGTGGGGATCTGAGGGTACATGCACACGCGCTCTCCAGCAGAGTCCAGTCAGAGCAAAAGAGAAACCAGCTTCTCAGCTCTCCACGAGTGATGCAGCAGTTCATGAAACACAGGGTGTTCACAACATGTAAACATGTTCGCGTGTTTTCTTAAGTCACAGGAATGAGAGCAATCAAGTGTGAGGCTGTAGGGAAGAAGACAAATGTTTACACTGCAGAGAATTGTGAGGACTAGATGGAACCAAGATTTTGTTCAATACATTACAGGTTGGAGAGATGGCTCAGCAGTTGAAAGCACTGGCTCCTGGGTTCAATTCCCAGTACCCACAAGGCAGCTCACAACTGTCTGTAACTCCAGCTCCAGGAGATCTAACATCCTCACACAGGCATACGTGTAGGGAAAGCACCAATGCACAAAAAATATGTAATTAAAAAGAAACCCAAACAAATAGCTAACATCATACATAGCAAATCATTTCTCTGGTGTGAGTTACCATAAATCTCAGACTATTCACTGGAGTTTGACAAATCCCTTGGTATCTGAATGAGGCTGGCTCCCGATTCCCAGCAATTTTGAAATTTGTAGCTGCTCAGCTCTTTACATAAAATGGTGTTTTTGCTTGCATATAACCCACAGGTTGTTCCTGTACCATATCGTCTGTAGAATACTTGTAGCCTAATATGCTGCCAATGCTGTGGAAGTAGTTGTCCTCCTGGATTGTTTAGGGAACAATAACAAGAAAGCGTATACACAGTACAGACCCCAGTTATTTTCAGATGTTTTATCCATCCCAGTTCTGTGCACAGATGTGTAACCTATGGGTATGTGATTAATTGCACTACAAAATGTGAGAGAGGCGGGCTGGAGAGAAGGCTCAAGTGTGTAATAGCACTTGCCAGGCAAGCCTGAGGACATGAGTTCATCCCCAGCACCTACACAGAAAGCTGGGCACGGCTGCATGGGCACCTGCAATCCCTTTGTTGTGGGGAAAGGAAGGAGTAAGCAAGATTACTGGGGTTTGCTGACTGCCAGCCTGGCTCCAAGTTCAGCGAGAGACCCTGACTCCAGGGCTCTCTCCAGGGAGGAGTGATAGCAAATGAAGCTGTAAGCGGGTTCACACACACTGAAATGTATTTAGGACTGGTGAGGCGGTTTAGTGGGTGAAGATTCTTGCTGCCAAGTCTGAGTTGGTCCCCAGGACTCACATGATGGAAGGGAGGAAATGACTCCTGGAAGTTGCCCTGTGACCTCCACGGGCAAGTCATGGCACATGTGTATCAGTGCATAAGCACACAAAAAAGAATGCAATGATTCATGTACACACATATACACTCTACATAGATACATGTGATTTGGTAAAGGGGAGAGGGTCAGATAGAGCTCATCAGGGCCAGTGGCTTGCTGCCAAGCCTTACTGAGGTCAGTCCCTAGGACCCATGTGGTAGAACTTGAGAACTGCCAGACACATGCCATGGGGGTGTACAGCTTGTCCGCACACATGCACACACAGACTAAATAATTGTAACAAAAATAAGCAGGATTAATAGTAATAAAAAGTATCTGTAAAATTCTAAGATGTATAAAGTATAACACTATTCAAGGAGCATAATGCACCACAAGAATGTTAAACTTAGATATAATTCTATGATTAAATAATGAGCATGGGTGAGACGGTTGCTGAGACATCATGATACTCATTATTGAGAACATTCTAAATGAAAGAAAACCAATTGGAGCTGTACTTGATTGGAGAAATATCTAGTTTATTATCTAACGTTTTTAATTTTACTGGTATTGATAACATTTTTATAAAAGTGAAACTGTCACACCAACACTAAGACTGAGGCAGAAGGCTTAACATGAGTTCAAGGCTATAGTGAGTCTTTTTTTAAAAAATATTTTATTTATTTATTGTGTATACATTCTTCTGCATGTGTGCCAACAGAAGGCATCAGATCTCATTCAAGGTGGTTGTGAGCCACCATATGGTTGCTGGGAATTGAACTCAGGACCTCTGGAAGAACAGTCGGTGCTCTTAACCTCTGAGCCATCTCTCCAGCCCTATAGTGAGTCTTAATGCTAGGCCAGGTCACAGTGTGGGTCCTGCCTCAACAAAAACAAGATGAAACTGGCTCTGTATCTATGTATGTATATATATTATATACACATGTATGTATATGTACATACAATTTGAAAGTACCTTTGTATGATGTATGCATGTCTATACGCATTTTCATCCGTGTAAGCTCAGGTGGCATTGTGTGTATGAAATTCAGAGGCTGACCTTCAGTGAACATGACTGCCTTCCATCTTGTTTGAGATGAGGGGGAGGGGCAGGAGGATGGGTGGGTGAGGTGGGAGGAATCTGGGAACTCTCCTGTCTCCACTTCCCAGCTCTGTATAGCAGCAATGGATTGCAGACACATGCTATGGTGTCTGGCTTTATGTGGATTCTAGGGATCTGAACCTCAGGTCCTCATGGTTACATGGCAAATATCTTACCTTCTGAATGAAATTTTCTTACACAGTTTTTACCCTTGTTTTGGTAGATGTGTCAAGTGATTACCTATAAATGTGTGTGTTTTACAGTCACACAAAATAAAACTAGCTTAAAGTGTTCCTTTAAATCTCCCTTTGAAACGGACTGAATTTCACAGGAAGTTTCCTTCTCTGTGGCAATGCATTGTATGATGTGGCAGATAAGTTACTGGGGCTTGGAAACCCGAAGCTGACAAGTGCCTTGCTTCTGGGCAGCTGGCTCATTAATCTCTAGTCTCACTGGCCTGCCCATTCGGATGGTCTGTAGTAAAGCGAATGCCCCAAGTGTTAGTGATTTTCCATCCGGCTTCCCAGCACACACCACTTCAGTGTTCACCTTCTCCCCACCGACACGATACACCTTCATTTCCTTGTCCTTACTGAGTCAACATCGTCATGCTTTCTTCCAGCCTGGACCTGCAGAGCTCTGACCACAGCTAGGTTGATTGATCTCTCCTTCCCCTCAGCACCTTCACTGCCCTATTTTCATAATTCTGAGGTCGTCTATGCTTAATACTCCTTTTCAAGAATAAGCATCTATACTTCTGTTTTCCACCCCTCACCGCCCCCAGTTCTCTTCCTGGGAGTCCCATAGGTCCAAACCTTTATACTCTGAGGGAAATGTTCTTAGATGGAAATCAGTCACGTAGTAGCCAGAAGAAGTAAACTATTCTTCAGCTTTCCTGCAGGTCACCCATTAAGGAGACTCAGAATGGAGTGTGGAAAGAGACTGGAATTTGCAAATAGGGAAGTCTCGGGTCGTCACTTCTTTCTGAGATAGCCTCATCTTTGTTAAAGGTCCCATAAATCCATATTATAATAACGCATTTGCACGTATGTAGGGGTACTGTAAGATCATTCAGTGGATACAATGTAGAATGATCAAGTTTAGTGTTTCCATCTCAAACATTCAGTTCTATGAGCTGGAGACCCTCAGACTTGCCTAGTTATCTTGAAATACATCATAAATTGCTATGAGTTGGAGAACATTAAAACTAAATTCCTCCTTTCTGACTGTTGGTACAAGTTACTGCCCCGTCTCTTTCTCCCACCTGTTCCTCTATGGGTGCATCATTGGTGTATAGTTTTAATATACTCCGGACATAAATGTTGTATATGGTAACTTCCTCTCTGTTTGCTCCAGGCATTACTGGCTACAGAATAACCACAACCCCAAGTGGGCAGCAGGGAAGCACTCTGGAAGAAGTGGTCCATGCCGACCAGAGCTCCTGCACTTTTGAAAACCTGAATCCTGGCCTGGAGTACAATGTCAGTGTTTACGCTGTCAAAAATGACAAGGAAAGTGCCCCTATCTCTGATACCATCATCCCAGGTAATAGAAAAATAAGCTGTTATCCTCAGAGTGACAGTTTCAGTAGCAGTGGGTATTAGCATCTTAATCCCAGATAGCTGAGTGTGTCAGATATAGTTGGGATTTAATGCCAACTCTCAGTGCACGCTCCAATACCATGAAGCCAAAGCAACTGTTTGGACGAAGGCTTTGCTGTTGCCTCTGCTTCACTATCTGTGCTTCCCTGGGATGCTGTTTGTTGCCAAGGGTATGTGACGAGTGCAGCCACGGCATTAACTCTGTACTGTTTGCTCACATGGAAAGATTACTAAACAGTGTCGTGTGTCTGTATCCAGTGCTGACAGGCTAAAAGTAATGTGGTAAATGCATCCCATTGGGACATTTGTGCCTGATTTTACAGTCCATAGCCACCTCCAACAGTTATCTAGAAAACAGAAATGCACTTGGTTGACAATCCAATTCTTCATCTCGCAGCTTCAAATCCTTTTTAAGATTGGAAGCGGGGTGAAAAAGACAAAAGAAGTAAAGGCCAGTCCTGCAGGTCTTTCTTTGAAAAACACCGTCACAAAGGCCTGTCTAAGGATAGGTTCCTTGTTTGCCCCAAGTCTTTGGTAGAATGAAAGCACTGGGCACATGCTATTCCCCTCTGCAGTATTTTGGTATGCATTTATGAATACTAATTAAATTACATGAATTAAAATGTTGGCAGAGCCATGGGCTTAGGGCTGGCTGGCCTTGGCATGACCAGGCTTTTGAGTGACACCTTCATAACATAATGTTAATATGATGGCCACGATGCTGTCATGAATATTGAAAATGTAAAATTAATCAATTAACCAGCCAGTTTTTTTTTCTTTAGTCCTCCTACTTTGTAAGATTTTATTTTCTTTCGAAAGCTTTTAGATTCTTTTCTCTCAACATTGCCTGGTATCTCTTGTAGATATTATGTCTAAGTTCTGAGAACAGTTTTGACACTGTAAATGTGTTTACAATTTTTTTTAGCACTTAAGTTAAAACTGTACTGTTCAGGGACATTTTCTAAATGCAAGAAAGTCTCTAAAAGAATGTGGTAACCTGCCTTATTCTCCCAGGGAAGCAAATTCTTCATGATGTTTGGGAAGTCTTTTCAAATGATCTGAGACGCATTGCATATTACCATCATTGCATATTACCATCATTGCTTTACCGTTCTGTCAATTTTACTACTGGTCACCTGATGTACACTGCTTTATTTTTTGCCTCTACTTTCCTTTTGCCTCCTCTTTGCTTTGTAACTCAATAGAGGTGCCCCAGCTCACTGACCTAAGCTTTGTTGATATAACCGATTCAACCATCGGCCTGAGGTGGACCCCGCTAAACTCTTCCACCATTATTGGGTACCGCATCACAGTAGTTGCAACAGGAGAAGGTGTCCCTATTTTTGAAGATTTTGTGGACTCCTCAGTAGGATACTACACAGTTACAGGGCTGGAACCCGGCATTGACTATGACATCAGCGTTATCACTCTCATTAATGGCGGAGAGAGTGCCCCTACTACACTGACACAGCAAACGGGTGAATCTTGAAATCTTCTGTGTTTGAGACATGGATGGTGTTGCATGCTGCTCAGTCTCTCTGGTTAAATCTGGATGTTTCCAGTGAGAAGCCAAATTGGCCACAGAGATGAAGATGGGGCTAGTTCAGGGATAAGGAATACTTTAACCTAATTGAATGAAAGCATACATAAGTAGCCTCATGCACTTTCATTCAAACTACAAACAGAGGTAAAGCTAAGGAAATCTAGGTAGCTGATCTACAAAATACAAAGCTGGAAAATTTGTAGACCTTGTGTTGTTTAAAAAAAAATGAATGTTGTTTAAAAAAAAATGAATACCAAGCTCTATGGTGAGCATTGGTTAACTAAGATACACCTAAGTGTGTGACTGGGTGTCTCCTCTTACCTTTTGATAAGCTCTTTCATAGCTAATAAAACACCCATCAAAAATTAGGGTGGAAGGAAAGGAGGGTTTTCGAGGTAGGAAGGCATAAACCATAAGGCCTTCTAGATGGTGCTCTATGCAAGGTAAGGAAACTCCTCTTTAACTAGAGTCTGGAGACCAGCATGCAACATCGTAAAGGTTCTCTGGCCTGCATGGTAAGAAACATGCTGAGAACCAATGTGCATGAGTCCCCTCACTTGTAAGTAGAGTTCACTGCCTGGAATTATAGCAATGCAGTAGTTTGTAGATATCTCACTCCGGGAGATTGAGGGAGGGCCCCTTGTCTTTTTCGTCTGTATGCATGTGTTTCTTTGGAAAGTACTGCTATGTCTCTTTGCTGTGTGGCAACTTAAGCCTCTTCAGCCTGGGATAAAAATCTTTAGTGGTATTAATGCACTTTAAAAAAAAAGAAAGAAGACAAAACAAAAAAACCTATTTGAAAATAGGTTAAAATTATTAATATTCTTTAAAATGCATCAATGATGGCAGAAAGGTTAAAGGGGCCTAACAGTATTCTGTATAGTGTTTTGTTTTTTTAACAATAGTGTATCATGATTTAGATTAGATTTAGATTAGACTGTTTGCATGATATTGACTGTTTTCTTTTGTGCATGAATGAAGTTCGGGTTTTTACTTTTCCAGCTATTTCGTTAGCTCTGACTTTAAAATCGCATTAACTCAATATTCCTTCCTGTTTGAAATCAGCTGTCCCTCCTCCCACTGATCTTCGATTCACCAACATTGGTCCAGACACTATGCGTGTCACTTGGGCCCCACCTCCGTCCATCGAGCTAACCAACCTCTTGGTGCGCTACTCCCCTGTGAAGAACGAGGAGGACGTGGCGGAGCTGTCAATTTCACCTTCAGACAATGCAGTGGTTCTAACAAGTAAGCGCTCAAGCCTACATGTTTGGTAAATCCTTACCTGGAGCAGGACGGATGGATTCCGAATTCTCTCGGGGAAGCATCTAAGACAAGGAGGGCTGTAACAGAGCGGCACACTATCCTGGTTTAATAGGCAGCCCTGTAAATTGTGACAGATGCAGCGTTTCTGCTGGTGTGACAAACATTTGGTCTCTACAAATCACAGTGGAAAACACTGGCAGTGGAGTCCCAAGGCTTCCAATACATTCTACCCCTACATAAATACACACAAAAAAGTAAATAGCAAGCTAATTCTGTAACTAAGGAAAGGGTACAAAAGGTGGTGTCAGCGTGTCTATTTTACTGTCCTTTCTTGTATGATAGCATCAGCAGGTGATCTTAGAAACAGTGACTGCTTACTTGGGCAGGGGAGGAGGTTAGGTCAGGATTTTGTATGGGAAGAGGCAGTTTAGTTCATAATTCAAAAAACATCTGTTTTCAGAATTTCCCAGAAGGTTTAGAGTTCAGAAAACAACTGACATTAAATAGACTTTTTAAAAAATGTGCATTAGTGTTTTGCCATGGGAAGTTTCAGGCCCCCTGAAATTGGAATTACAGACAGTTGTGAGCTGCTTATGTGGGTGCTGAAAGTTTAACCCAGGTCCTCTGAAAAAGTAGCCAGAGCTCTTAACTGCTGAGCCATCTCTCCCGCCTCTTAAATAGACAATTTATAGAAATTGTCATTTCCCATTCCCTACCATTTAGGAAGAGATATTTTGTATTAAAGAAAGCAAGAGGTTGCAACATGGTGCTGTGCTTCGAATACACATGTTGTAATTTGTGTGAGGTTCCACATGAGAGGAAAATAGTTACATTTAGATATATTCCTTAGTAGTGACCAGAAAACAAACATCCTTTCTCATTCAGATGTATCCCAGAGAGTGAAATACAAGAAGGCCGCCAGGCAGACTTATCTTGCTTTCTCACTCATAGCCAGAGCATCCAGATCTGTGGCTTGATTGACTGTGGCCATGAGGCTGTCTCAGTCACTAGGTACCACCATCACCCAGTACACATGGGTGATGTTGGCTCCAGTTTAGCCAAACCCTGTCACATGTTTTTTTGTTTGTTTGGTTTTGTTGTTGTTGTTGTTGTTGTTGGTTTTTGTTTTTTTTGTTTTTGCTTTGTTTTTTTGAGACAGGGTTTCTCTGTATTGTTTTGGAGGCTGTCCTGGAACTCGCTCTGTAGACCACGCTGGCCTCGAAGTCACAGAGATCCCTCTGCCGAGTGCTGGGATTAAAGGCTTGCGCCACCAATGCCCGTCTTCCCTGTTACATGTTAATTGTGTGTCTTAAGACTCCTAATGCAATATGATCTTACAGTGACTCTCTCCCTCCTAGATAAGCCATTATATCCTATTTTAAACATTAAACAGTTTGGTGCAGTGTAGTGAGCCCTGGGGTACTGGATATGTTTATTGTCTTGAATACATTGATGGCCCCACAAGGACATGTGTCAAATTTTGTCCAACTGCACATTTAAATATATGCAACATTGCACAGCATGGAAGCCGCAGGCCTCCTTGTGATGCTGTTATGATGGTTAAATGTTAATGCACAGTCTCTCAGAAATTTTTATCAGTTACCCTTAGTAAATGCACTTTCAAGTAGATGAAAGAGATATTAATGCACCATATCTACACTTGACTGAATTACACTTATACAGGTGGAACTGAGGGTCTTAAGAGGCACAGGGAAAGGTGGCCCTTAACTACAGATGTTTCCATGCGTAGATGCTCACTTAGCTGCAAGTAGGCTATGGGACCGAATGCTTGGCTAGTTCATCAGATGGAGTAGTCCAGGGAGTGCTGTGGTTTCTCATGCTTTCAAGTTTAAAGCAAGTCCCACTTGCCTCTTTAGATCTCCTTCCTGGGACTGAATATTTAGTCAGTGTCTCCAGTGTCTATGAACAACACGAGAGCATCCCTCTTCAAGGAAGACAGAAAACAGGTGAGTCCTGCTGGCAACATGCTTATCAAGTAGCTCTCTAATGTTGTTGGAACATTACTTAAAATCTTTTCTTTTTGAGTTAGCACTGCGGTATCTTCATATGCTCTGTTAACCCTCCTCTTCGATTCCTCTCCCTGCTCCCCATGCCACTCCTCCTGGTCCCCTGTCTCCCTATGCTAATTAGTACAGCCCCTTTTTGCTCTCATGTCACCTTGTCACCTCTATTCTAAGACACTTTTTCACCCTTCCCTATTAAGGTATCCTTTTCTCTTCTACACTCCCTTTCCTAGTTTCATGACCTATGTTCTGCTTTGAGAGATACTCTGGCATCCATACATACATGACGCATATAAAATGTTTGAATGCTGTGCTAGCTGGGGTTACTATTGCTGGGATGAAATACCGTGATCAAAAGCAACTTGGGGAGGAAAGGGTTTATTTGGCTTACACTCCACATAGTAGTCCATCACTGAAGGAAGTCAGGACAAGAAGTCAAGCAGTGCTGGAACTTGGAAGCAGGAGCTGATGCGGAAGCCATGGAGGCATGCTACTTACTGGCTTGCTCCCTCAGGCTTGCTCAACCTGCTTTCTCAGGAACCACCGGCCCAGGGATGGCACCGCCCACAATGGGGTGGGCCCAGCCCTCCCCTGTCAACCATTAATAAAGAAAAAGCCCTATACAGGTTTGCCTTTACTCTGCTCTTTTTTTTTTTTCCAAATATGGAACGCTTCACGAATCTGTGTGTCAGCCTTGTGCAGGGCCCATGCTAATCTTCTCTGTTATACTCTGATCTTACAGAGGCATTTTCTTAATTGAGGTTCCTTCTTCTCAGATGACTTTAGTTTGTGTCAAATTGATATACTATCCAGTACAATGCCAATGCCCTTGAAAATATAACTACTCAAGTATTATACAGAAACCTACTATAATTACACATATACAAGTTTCCATTACTTAGAAGAAGAAAAAAATATGAATGAACATGAACTAATTGTTGTCAAAAGACACCAAACAACCACCAGTTCAGACATAAAGAAAGATGTTGTCTTTTGTTCCCCTCCTTGGGTGGAAAAAAAAACAGGTCTTGATTCTCCAACTGGTTTTGATTCTTCTGATATCACTGCCAACTCGTTCACTGTCCACTGGGTGGCCCCTCGAGCTCCCATCACCGGCTACATAATTCGCCATCATGCCGAGCAGTCTGTTGGAAGACCTAGACAAGACCGAGTGCCTCCCTCTCGGAATTCTATCACCCTCACCAACCTCAACCCTGGTACTGAGTACATTGTCAGCATCATTGCTGTTAATGGCAGAGAGGAGAGCTCCCCTCTGATTGGCCAGCAATCAACAGGTAATTTTGTTTGTTTTGTTTTTTTAATCTGCAAAGAAATTCCTTTGTATGGTTTGGTGTAGTGTGTAAAAAGTTTTCCTGTCACCTTAGTTGGCATCAGCAAAGAAAGGGCAGTGACAGGGCCAAGCATTGTGATACATCATGCTTTTGATCCCAGCACTTGGGAGGCAGAGGCAGGAGGATCTCTGAGTTGGAGGTCAACTTGGGACAGAGCAAGTCTAGAGCTATGCAGTCAGATCCCATCTCAATAAAGAGGGGAAGGAGGCAGTGACATTATGTGTGGCACCTGTATCTCCCTCTAAGAATACATTTTAAAAGATTCTTTTTTTTTAACTCTGATAAAATTTTACCGGGATTCACTTATTTATGTTTTGGTGTTTTTTGCCGGTCAGTTTTTTTATATTGTTTTGAGATAGTTTCATAGCCCATATTGACCCAGAACGGACTCCATAGCCCAGGCTTATCTAAGTATGATACTCCTGCCTGAACTTTTGAGTGCTGGAGTTACAGGCACAAGTTACTACTCCCAGCTTGGATATTTGTTAGCTTTTAGTAAAGTTTCATTCAAAAACATATTATGGTCCCAAAGTTACTGTAAACCTGATTTTCAATTGGGCTTAGTAGCACAGATCTGTAATCCTAGATACTCAGGGGGCTGGGGCAGGAAGATAGATAGGGCAAGGCCATTCTGGGCTGCTGTGAGTTCAGACTTAGCCTGTTTCAGTGAGACCTTGTCTCAAAATTCAAAGCTTTTAAATGAGGTGTTCTGGCTGTAGCGTATCGGTAGAGTACTTTGTCTGGCAGGAGTCAAGCCCTAGATTATACAGATGTCTGTATGTATATAGATTTATTTTCAGTGACAATGATTGGGAGACCTATTATGATAATCTATATCTTAGTTACCAGTAGAGGTATGTCTAATTGCTACCTCCAAATAGCACAAGGTTAATAGTGCATGGGTGAGTACCACTATAGTTTTTATAACTTTTCTGTGGTTTAAATTGTTTTCCAAAAAGAATGTTGCAGAAAAAGAATCCACGATTTTATCACAATTTGAACAATCTCCTTAGCCCCTTCCCTTGACTTCATAGTTTTTAATTCTGCTAATTTAGTGTCTTTATCATTATATGAAGGAAATGTAACAGTTATAATCAGGAAAAGAACAGAGAGTGACTCTGAGCTTTCTTTGGAAGTTATGGACGTAGAATATTTTCCTGTGATTTTTTTCTAGTTTCTGACATTCCGAGGGACCTGGAAGTCATTGCCTCCACCCCTACCAGCCTGCTGATCAGCTGGGAACCTCCTCCCGTCTCCGTACGCTATTACAGAATCACCTATGGAGAGACAGGTGTGATCATATTGTGCAATTTCACCCTGATGGGATCAGAGCCCGGGTGGGTAACTTGGAAACCTGGCAGCGGGTATGGGATTCAAATGCAAGCAGGACCATTGAGAAAACTTGGGAACTATGGATAATTGGTTGTCAAATGAAGTTTAAGTGTTGTCTATACACTACAGCTAGAGGTGGAAAGCAGAGATGAGGGGGAAAGTTTATACAGTCACAAATATTATCATTGGTAATTCTTATATTTTCTTCTCTGTGCTCTCTAAATTTAACAAATATTCTGTTAGCAGTTTTGAAAAGAATGCGGTTCATTAAATTTAAGGTTGAGTGGGCCACAGTCTTGCCCCCCTTTTCCATTTAAAAATTAATTAAAGGTTTAATTACAGCACTTCCTCCTTCCCTTTTCCTCTCCCAAACCCTCCCATGCCCTTCTCCCACCACTCCCTTTCACTTGCTTGGCCTCTTTTTTCTTACTGTTTTACACACACACACACACACACACACAGAGTGCCCATGCACTCCCACAAGAATGTATAAATACATCCTACTGAGTCTGTGTAGTGTTGCTTATGTATACATAATACTACTTGGTATTTTAAAATCAACTAGGAAGCTCATTCCTGGGAATTTCTTCACCTTTTGCCTGTTCATCTACAACTCAGTGGCATTTTAACCCAGGGATGTTAAAATGACATTAGCTTGGGAGTTCTCCCTATTTTTATATACTTACTGAGGCTTACTACATGCATAAATATACTTGCCAGTTCAGGCTGCGTTGCTGCGAGCAGTAGTGATTTACATACTGCTTTCAGTGTGTTAATAATATTGGAGTGATTCCTGGCTCCTCAAAGCTCCCACTGACCCCTTTCATACAGGCGGAAACAGCCCTGTCCAGGAGTTCACTGTGCCTGGCAGCAAGTCCACAGCCACCATCAACAACATTAAACCCGGAGCAGATTACACTATCACCCTGTACGCTATCACTGGCCGCGGGGACAGTCCAGCCAGCAGCAAGCCAGTTTCCATCAATTATCGAACAGGTACAAACTTCTTGTCTGGGAAGACACAGGGTTATTCATGAAGATGGTATCACAGTGTTCTCCCGAGGTGTTTTCTTCACCGTGAAGTTGATTTTCCTATAGTTTTGTGTGGTGCTAGGGATCAAACTCAGCATCTTATATTCGTTAGACAAGCACTCTCACTGAACCACACCTTCAAACCTGATTCATTTTCTTAATAAGACAAAACCTGTAGCTAGCAATACCTATTAACGACAGAATTTTGTGGCAAATGTACAAAGACCCTAAGAGCAGACAACTTTGTCTTGTGTTTTTAACTGCTACACTCCATGTATTAGCAGTAGACATCAGACAGAGAGAGTATTCATAAATACTCATAGAAGGTAGAGGACCAAGCCCTACCTGAGGTGAAGTGTTTTGTTTGTGGAATGAAATAATCATCTTGAAAATAGTTGTAATAGTGTCTAGATGCATGTTTTTCTTTTTTCAAGCTAATCTTACTTTTGTCAAAAGAAACATCTGCAATACATTAATAGAAATGAAAGATCATTTACATACACACTAGAGCTAAAGACAAGGGCTTGTCCAGTACTGCCCTCAAACACTGGGACCTCACTGGTTTTTTTTTTACTTATAGAAATCGACAAGCCATCCCAAATGCAAGTGACTGATGTTCAGGACAACAGCATTAGTGTCAGGTGGCTGCCTTCAAGTTCTCCTGTGACGGGTTACAGAGTGACCACCATTCCCAAAAATGGCCCAGGACCATCAAAAACTAAAACTGCTGGTCCAGGTAAGAAAACCCAGTGTGTCAAATCTAGCAGGATAAATCCAGTAAGAGCCCAGAAGGTCTTGTTTTCTCTTTTGTGTTTCAAGACAGGCTTTCTCTGTGTGGCTTTAGATCCTGTCCTGGCACTTATTCTATAGACCAGGCTGACCTTGAACTAACAGAGATCAGCCTGCCTCTGCTTCCCAAATTCTGGAATTAAAGGCGAGAGCTACCACTGCCCAGCCCCAGAGGGTTTCATTTTTAAGTGTTCTATGTGGCATGTGTTGTGGTGTTCCCATTCATAGACTGTTGCCATCTCACTTCACAGGGCAAGTTTTACTGCCCATATATTTCTGGTTTTGTTTTTCATACAGTTTTGTGTAGCTGTGTGGACACACACCAGGAAGAGAAGGATGGATTGACATTGCAGAGCCTTCTAGATCTGATGTTTGTATTAGATAAAACGACTTCCAAAGTTATGATCTCAAGGCAATTTCTTAAGGCCAATTTAATTTCTTTCATTTTTTTCCTTCAAGAATACCCTCATTAATTTTGGGGGTATCATGTTAAGTTGTAAAATTTATTCTTGAATATGATCTTACTGAAGTATGCCAAACCTTTTTTTTTTTTTTGAGATGGGGTCTCAAGAAGTCTGTGCTGTCCTTGAATGCACTGTGTAGCCAAGGGTGACCTTCCATTTCTGATTCTCTTGTCTGTACCTCCTAAGCGCTAGTACTAAGGTCATACAATTTACTGTGGCTCTGGGTTCCAAAGCCTGGCTTTGCTCATACGAGACAACACTCTACCAATTCAGCTGCATCCCCCAGCCCCAATATCTTAAACTTCTGTTACCAGTGCACAGGTTTTCCCAGGAGGAAAATGGGTATCTGACTTTCCCAAGACGGATAGGTGCTTCATGACTGTTGTACACATCTGCTTTTCATGACGCTATCGTGGAAGCGGCTTGGGTGGCTTTCCAAACCTGCAATTGCCTCTCCTTCCTTTGCAGATCAAACAGAAATGACTATTGAAGGCTTGCAACCCACAGTGGAATACGTGGTTAGTGTCTATGCTCAGAACCAGAACGGAGAAAGCCAGCCCCTCGTTCAAACTGCAGTAACCAGTACGTAACCAATGCTTGGTTTCTACTTCCAAAGTCATTTTGGTTTTTTTTTGAGGGGGGTGTCTAGATGCCCACTGCATGTCTTTTGCCATTATGTACAGGGAAAGGCAACATGCTGGCTGGTTCATAGGTTGAGATGAGCCCTTGGCAAACAGTTTTTTCCTTCCTGCCACATAGTGAGTTTTCAGGGAAAACCGTTGTTCGTGTGGCCACCAACAGCTGCTGTGCTTTCAGCCTCCTTTGCTCAAACAGCCTCAGCAAAATCTTAATTGCCTTCAGCAAACCTGTGGAGTATTTCTCTAGGACCGACTTTTTCTATGACTGGCTGGTAAAGTTGACACAAGTACCCCATGAAGCCGTAATGTTTGGAGGACTGTGGACTGCACCAGTGTTTTCCTAAAAAATACTTCATATGGCGGGGAGGGCAAAAAGAGAAGCCTTTGAGAAAGATTATCGCAGTCTAAATTGACCACTGAAAAATCAACTTTACCATTTCCAAGATATAGAAAATCCAGGTCTGTGAGACTAACATCACCTTGCAAAATCAAATCTTGATAGATTATCTTGAAATCAACAAAATATTCCTTTGTGGGGACTTTTGAGGGTGTCTACACACCTCACTCACCCTGTGTCTTAATAAGAAAGGTGACCCTAAATATTCTAAACCCCCCCCCACCAAAGGCTCTTAAGTAAATGTCAAGTAACTTTCTATTTTATAATAGTGTGATAATTGGAGTTTAATTCATCAAAGAAAATGGTATCTGCAGAACTGCTTTGCACGGTATAAAAATAGGCTTGTTTCACAACTTGGCTTTTCACATAACCTCTTACCATTAATTTGCCTAACAGACATTGATCGCCCTAAAGGACTGGCATTCACTGATGTGGATGTCGATTCCATCAAAATTGCTTGGGAAAGCCCACAGGGGCAAGTTTCCAGGTACAGGGTGACCTACTCAAGCCCTGAGGATGGAATCCATGAGCTTTTCCCTGCACCTGATGGTGAAGAAGACACTGCAGAGCTACAAGGCCTCAGGCCGGGTTCTGAGTACACAGTCAGTGTGGTTGCCTTGCACGATGATATGGAGAGCCAGCCCCTGATTGGAATCCAGTCCACAGGTATATCGTTAACTGCACCACTTGGGTGCTCATGGGAGCAGCGGCTTTACGCCTTGCTGACATTGTTCGTCACTGGGCTATTGATTCCCATGTTAGGGAGAGTAGGAAAATGCCCTCAAACCCTTAGGAAAGGCCCTCTTTACCGAGGAATGATAACACACAGTAAAAGTTAGGTGATGTTTCATTACCTGAGTCTAGTCAAAAGAAATTTGAAGTAGCTTAGCATATGCATGCAAATATGCTAAGTATATGTATATTTGAAGGCCATAAAGCAAGATGTCTGAAGATGATACTAAACTGTGGATTGTTTCCTAAGTGACACACACCTCTGTAGTTACCCTCCCTCTCCACACACGGAGGAAAGAAGTCTAGAATCATTGAGCTAACTCTGAGGAATGGCCCTAAACCGGGCATTTCCTTACAGCGTGATCTAAGAACGCATGGGTAAGCGCTTCCCTGGCCAGATAGCCTGTGCCGGTGTGTCATTTGCTTAAAGGTTTCTGATGCAAATGCACAGAACAGAGTCGCTAGGGCCAGTGCCTTCCTCCAATCATTTGTCCCCTTGTGCTTTACCCCTGAATCAGGGTTGGAATGCTCAAAGCGTGTAGAGGTGACAGTCTGTGTTACTGCTCTTTGCTTCTCTTTCCTGCCTCTATCGTCAACCAATTTTCTTCTTACGCCGCACCGCAGAGAATACTTCCAATTTAGCAGCCATATTTGCCATGGGGTCCAAATATAAAAGAGACAATAAAAACATAATTCCATCTCTTAGATGGAATACTCTGTGAAATCGTTTACCATACAAAGCTCAGGTTACATAGAAAAGGGGCCATTGCTCATCTATTTTCACACAAAAGAAAAAAAAAATCAATTCTAATGACCAATAAGGCAATTCAGTTCTTGGTTTTTGAAGGGGTGGGGAGATAAAACATTTTCAAACCCGAAGTCTATTAGAGTCCTGACATTTACCCAGGTGTTTCCAGCGACTCTGAGAATTGCTGGTAAAAAACACACTTCCCTCTGGTGTATCCCTTCTTATTACCTGTTTGTGCTGAATCGCTGCTGGGCCAGGAAGCCCACCCCCAGCCCCTACAAGAACAACCCACTCTACTTAAAATTCGCTTTATTTTCCCTTTTCCCCATTCCCTATAAGATAATCTTTTAACCAATGACCACCCTGACAGCTATTCCTGCTCCAACCAACCTGAAGTTCACTCAGGTGACACCCACCAGCTTCAGTGCCCAGTGGGTGGCACCCAATGTTCAGCTCACTGGATATCGAGTACGGGTGACCCCGAAGGAGAAGACTGGACCGATGAAGGAAATCAACCTTTCTCCAGACAGCTCGTCTGTGGTTGTATCCGGGCTCATGGTAAGATGTGAGCTTCCATCCCTGCAATAGGAAATAGGTCATTTCATTGCATCAGAGAGTAGAGGTGTAATTTCAATAAATCAAACATTCTTCCCTTATACCATCAAATAATTTTATTATAAATGTATACAATTACAATAGAATTCTTTAATGTTGAGCCAAGGTTTTCTAGGTGACTACTGGATTAGAATGGTATAAGTAGCATTGAATTTTATGCAATTCTTATATAGCTACTAATGAGTATTCTGCTTATCTTAAAAGGTTGTATTCCATAGGCATCAATTTATATCAATTTATATTCACTGGCTGAATGTATGGCTTTTATAGAAGCATTCTTGAGTTAGTGCCAACCCAACTTGACACTACCCTGTTAAAACATTTAAAAAGCTGGGTGTGGTAGCACATGCCTCAAATCCCAGCACTAGAGAGGCAGAGGCAGGTAAATCTCTGAGTTCTAGGTAAGTCTGATCTACAGGGTGACTTCCAGGATAGCCAAGAGATACATAGAGAGACCCTGTCTCAAACAAACAAACAACTTTTTGTGGATGTGCAGAAAGCTAACTAGGACCCTAAGGGGTTGATGCACACCTTGACCCAAGACCAGTTCCAGAGGAAGCTGCAGAAGAGAGCTCAGAGACAGAATAGAAATTCTTACCTCTTTGTGATCAGAAGATAACCAAAGTCATGATTTATAACTGTCAGCCACCTCCAGTGACCCCTTTGTCTCCTGATGCACTGGGATTATGGATGCACACAATCATACCGGGTAGACCAGGTTGGCCTTAAGTTCACAGAGATCTAATCACCTTTGGCCACCGAGAGCTAGGATTAAAGGCCTTGCTACACCTGGCATTTTTATGCAGATGTTGGGGATTAGAACTCTGGTTCCCATAAAGGAAAACAAAACAAAGCAAAAAACAACAACAACAAAAAAAAAACCTTAATACTGATTTTTCTTTTTTTTGATACCACTTTAGTATAAATATGTAATTTGTAGATTGCTTGAACTTAACCCCCGAGAACATTTTAAAATTCATCCAGTTTAAACCTGTTAGCAATCACAGGTAAAATTGAAGTTAATCTGACAATTTGAAGTGTTCTGGGTTTTGCAGATTGTCTTTTATAACATCTGCATTTCTCCAGTGCTTTGGTAGAACTCTCTAGACTTCTTGCAATACCATTGCAAACGCTTCTCATGACCTTATTTCTAGGTGGCCACCAAATATGAAGTCAGTGTCTATGCTCTCAAGGACACACTGACAAGCAGACCAGCTCAGGGAGTCATCACAACTCTAGAGAGTAAGTAATCAAACATTCTAATATTGAAGATCCTTCGGTGTGAGTAAAAGTGAAGGTCAGTAAGTGATCTCTTAGACTACACATTTAATGATAGAATCTGGAGACTGATATGGTAGCTGATCTTTTTGATAATCCACTTTGCACGCCATCTAGAAAATGGCCTGCGAAAACAAAATGGAAGCACTTCACTCTGATGGGTTAAACCCACAGCCGGGTTAACTCTGTTTGTGAGGATTTGCTTTCATAGAGTTCAGTCTGGGGAGGATGAACTCACTTCTGCTACAGGACAGACGGGGCTTACTTAGGTCCATGTCTAGTTCTCTGTTTTATCAATAACCTGATGACCATTCTTTCAGCAATCATGTGCAGTGTCAGTTTGGTCATCTGTGGAATGATGAAGGGAGAAGCTGGTGATGCCTTTTAGAAATGGCAGAGGACTTCTACCCATGCTTGTATTATTACTAAGTAGCTGTGTTAAGGTTCCCACCACACATTTTTTACAGTACAGTGAATTAATCATTGTAACACTTGTTTGAAATATTTCTGGGTACTCTAGATTCAGCCCTGGGAACCACTGGCAGTATTGATAAAGCTTTTCAGTTTCTTCAAACAAAAGGCATAAGAAGTGAATATTTTCATATTTCCTAAATACCGTTAACCTTTCTTTCTGAATGCCCAAGGTGGGTAACTTGCACATTATTAATCAGTGTATCTCCTGAAGTGAATGTATTTGCATAATTAGGAAGTGTTTTAATACATCGAAACATTACATGCATTAATCTCTAGCTATGCTCCTCCACAGATGTCAGTCCTCCAAGAAGGGCCCGTGTCACAGATGCTACAGAGACCACCATCACTATTAGCTGGCGAACAAAGACAGAGACAATCACTGGCTTCCAAGTTGATGCCATCCCAGCCAATGGCCAGCCCCCCATTCAGAGGACCATCAGCCCAGACATCAGAACCTATACCATCACAGGTCAGTGTGCCCAGAAGTTTGACTTTATGTCCCCACAGCAGTCTGTGTGTGTGCCCCCACAGCATAAACTGGCTGGGTAGTTATTCCAAGACCAGTGTTTTATTCGAACACAGTTTGAAAATGTGGTTGCCATCCCATGATATTTTACATCCTGGCTTTCATTTGACCTATAAATGTCACCAAATTTTTTTTCACAAAAATGCTCATTATTGTTTAAAGAAAATGCATACCCATAGTCATAGGCAGGAGGATGTGAATTTGAGACCAGACATAGTGAAACCCTAGTTTGTTTTTTAAGTTAATTCAGAATACAAAAAGATACAAAATAGTAGTATATAGCTCTCTTAGCATTAGCATGACCATTTTTTTAAAAGTATAATGAAATTTATAATTACAAACACACTCCTTAATCTCAGCATTGGGAGACTGAGGGCAGAGGCGGTGGATCTCTGAGTGTGATGCTAACGTGGTCCACAGAGCAAGTTCCTGGAAGACCAGGACTACACAGGGAAAGCCTCTCGGAACCAAAAAGAAAAAGAAAAGAAAACCCAAACCAAAAAACAAACAGCACACAGCACTACATATAATAAAGGTCGAAGTGTATGCAAAGATTAATGATCGGAGGTCAGTATCAGGGACATAAATGACTATGTTTTCAGATGGACTTCCTCGTTAATGTTATTGTCCACACTGTGATACACTGTACTGTTCCTCTGTGGACCGATTCCGTAGCCTACAAAAATGTGGGAGTCAAGGAAACGGCAGGCAAGCATGAGAACAGGCGGATAAAATCAGAACAGATAAAAGGTGTGTCTTTTTCAATTCCAGGTTTACAGCCAGGCACTGACTACAAGATCCACCTGTACACTCTGAATGACAATGCCCGGAGCTCCCCTGTCATCATTGATGCCTCCACTGGTAACTACACTTTCTATTAAGGAAATGTCAGCGGATACACATTGTAATCAGCTATGTAAACTTTAGAACTAATTGGGAAGCTGGAATTTCCTTGTTATTGCTCCCACAACCCTCAAGTTCTTCCTACTAGGTTTGTTAGTTCCTGGTGCAAGTGTGACTAGTTTCATGGCCATTCATTTTCTAAGTCATCATTTTGTTTGCTTTTAGCCATTGATGCACCATCCAACCTGCGGTTCCTGGCCACCACACCCAACTCCTTGCTGGTATCATGGCAGGCGCCCCGTGCCAGGATTACTGGCTACATTATCAAGTATGAGAAGCCTGGATCCCCTCCCAGAGAAGTGGTCCCTCGGCCCCGCCCTGGTGTCACAGAGGCCACCATTACTGGTATTGCTTCCGTGCTGCGATTTTTCCCCTTAGTCACAGATACCCCAAATTCATAATACTCCCTAGGTGTATCTTTGATGCTGTGTCATGAGAATGGGGTGCCTGGCACTCTAGAGGGCATTCTTTTCCTTGGGGACAGCAATGTCCTCAAAAGGTGTGAGTGTCTAAGCGTGTAATTTCTGTGCCATCATATGATATAGCTAGATGCATTACTATCTGATGTAAATTCACCTATTTTTTCATTATTTTTGTTCCCCAAAATAGAATAAATCATACCTATAGTGTCACCAGGGTGTTGGAGTCCCTGTGGAACTCACAGAAATTAGGAATCACAGCTTCCTTGTTGCATTTGTAGAACAAGAAAATAGAATCTGGTATGGGAAGACTTGAGCTAGGTTTTTGCATCGTTATTGAAGGCTGCCAGTGACTAGGTCTAAACAGAAGTCTGGAGTCTGTGATGCACTTTCCCAGATGTATATTCTACCAGTGGCACACAGTGTTGATAGGTTGTCTCCATACTGAAAGACTACTCCAGTGAGATTACCGTGAACTGCTTTTTCAAGTGTCAGCTGTGATGGGAAGATGATTAGCTGGCCAAGTGGCCTTTGTGTGCAGGGTCTCTTGAGTGTAGAGAGAAGAGAAGCTGATGCTACCTTTTAAGACTCTAGAGACAGCGGGAAGGGATGCTTACTCCCCACTAGCCTCTGCCGATCGATGACTCCTGCTTAACTAGCCTAGTCTGCCAATGTAGTGAAATGACTGTATTCCCTATCAGGTCTGGAGCCAGGAACTGAGTACACCATCTATGTCATTGCCCTGAAGAACAACCAGAAGAGCGAGCCTCTGATTGGAAGAAAAAAGACAGGTAAACACTCATAACCAATGGTTGTTTTGCAGGGCGCTGTTCTCTACATTGTGACACGTTTTTCACGGATTATTTTTCTAGCAGTCTGGCATATATATTGTACTCTTTGGCAGGAATCACCTAATATGCCCTAAAGATATTTGACTTATTTATTTGTCTATGACCGAAACCCTTATTCACCTTTCAGAAATTCAAACTAGATAATTTGAATTGGAGGAAAAACTTGTTAATGGTGGGAATTAAACCTTCCCTGTTTGTCTTGGTTTATTACTTGGTTTCTGAAATTTCAAAGCTTAATTGGAGCAGAGATGGGGCTTTCTGTGGGGCTCAGCGGTTCAAAGCTTTGTCTGTATGAGTTCATACTAACATTTTTTTTTCCTGTCTGAACTATAAAGAAATCTGTGAGGAAAATCAAGATTTCTTTCTAGAAAGTGTTTTGTGATCTGAGAACTGCTGACCGTCTAGAAGCCTTGATTGGGTTGACAAAGTTGTTGCCTGGATTGATGGTGATTGTTGCTTCTTCCTTGAGCTTAACACGCTTTGCTTTTTTGGCTCTAACCTCTCTTGGCTAGATGAGCTTCCCCAACTGGTTACCCTTCCACACCCCAATCTTCATGGACCAGAGATCCTGGATGTTCCCTCCACAGTTCAAAAGACCCCCTTCGTCACCAACCCTGGGTATGAGACTGAAAATGGTATACAGCTTCCTGGCACAACCCACCAACAACCCAGTGTTGGGCAACAAATGATCTTTGAGGAACATGGCTTTAGGCGGACCACACCACCCACCGCGGCCACCCCCGTCAGGCTTAGGCCGAGACCATACCCACCGAATGTAGATGAGGAGGTCCAAATCGGTCATGTTCCCAGGGGAGACGTAGACTACCACCTCTACCCTCACGTTCCGGGGCTCAATCCAAATGCCTCTACAGGACAAGAAGCTCTTTCTCAAACAACCATCTCTTGGACGCCATTCCAGGAGAGTTCTGAGTACATCATTTCATGCCATCCTGTTGGCACCGACGAGGAGCCCTTACAGGTAACTCATTTTTTCTATTTGTAACTTTGTCACCCGGAAGGAGTCAACCAGAAGCACTCAGAGCTCTCATGTCAGATGTCTACTCTCCCAGGACTATTAGAAAGATGTCACAACTCTCGGAGTTGTGTTTTTTGTTTTGTTTTGTTTTATCTCATTGTGGCTATGGAGGATAAGCCAGAGAGCATCACTGAGTTTGACTCAGTAGAGAGAATGAAATTGTTTTTATTATTGTAATACACTGGAGGCTACTTAGTGAGGCAGATAAAAAGATGATCGTGGAAAAGGAGAAATATTCTACTTTTATATGAAATCTGAAATGCCACCCTCATCCTTGAAGAGTCACATCATTTATGATGTGTCTAGGATGATTAGGTTGAACCTTTGGGTACCAGCTATTATGAGAGACTGAGTCTCCAAAACTTTATTCTTTAATTTGTCCCATAGATACTAGGATCAATTTTTATTGTGTTGTTTTTAGGAAGTGGCAGAAGTTTAAAAATTGTCTGTGTGGGAGGACATTTGAAGGTTAGGAACTTCAGCCTGGGGATGTGCCGGTGTTTTAGGATGAGCTTGCATCGCATGCACTTATCTCCGACGGTGTCCGTGTTCTGAAGGGGATTTGCTGGGAGCTCTAGGGAGTCACAGGATGCAGGGGAGGCTGGTATAGCTGAGAGTTTCTGGTAATTGTGGACCACCTGGGTAGAAAAATCTAGCAGAACCTCATCTAACATCTCGTCATGACTGGGTGGGAATCCTATATCCCTCCCCTCCTTCCTCTCCCTTTATTCTTTTAAGCAGGGAGGGTTACGAATAGGATAGGGAGATTTATGCTTGTTTGTCACTGTAATGCTTTCTCTCCCAACTCTGGATGTACAGTTCCAAGTTCCTGGAACGTCTACTAGTGCCACTCTGACTGGCCTTACCAAAGGGGTCACCTACAACATCATAGTTGAGGCACTGCAAAACCAGAGGAGGCACAAGGTTCGGGAAGAGGTTGTCACCGTGGGCAACACTGGTAGGTACACTGTTGTCATGTTTAGGCACATGCTTTTTGCTGGATCAACCCAGAGAAGGCTTTATCTATTGTTCCTTGTTATCATTGAACTTAGGAAAGTTAAGGCTGCACAATAGCAGGAAATTTGTGCAATCCTAGGGTGTTCACTGAAACACATGAATGATTGATAGGCTTTCAGTGACAGGATGACAGGCCTTTGTCCTTCCTACTGAGTATCTAGGCAATGGTTTCTGGGTACCTTTTACTATTTTCTTGTCCTTTACTATGGTCCCCTTAAATGTTTCTCCCTGAAACAGAATACCTATAAATAGTCTTCCTTGGCCACATTAAGTGATGGCTTAGATTTTGTTCCTAATGTAAAATGTTACCAACATTGCTCCTTTCTTTTCAAAGAGCTCCCTATTCCAAATTTCAATTTTATATACATCTTTGTTTTCTCCTTTTTAGATATACTTATTTTAATTTTATGTCTATGGGTGTTTTGCCTGCATGTATGTCTGTGTGAAACATGCATGCAGCACCCACAGAGGCCAGAAGAGGGCACCGGATCCTCCAGAACTGGAGTTACAGATGGTTGTTAGTCTCCAAGGGGGTGCTAGAACCTATGCCAGGTCCTCTAGAAAAGCAGCCAGTGCTCTTAACTTTGTATGTGTTTTAATAGCCTTGAATATCTATATTAACCTGTTACACGCATGCAAGATCTTAAAGGTTAAATGGCCATCATACAAACTTAGTAAAGATTAAATGACCACCGTGCAACATCTTAATAAAGGTTAAATGATCACCATGAAACATCTTAATAAAGGTTAAATGACCACCATGAAACATCTTAATGAAGATTAAATGACCCCCCATGCAACATCTTAACAAATGTTAAATGACTCCCATGCAACATCTTAATAAAGGTTGAATGACCCCATGCAACATCTTAATAAAGGCTGAATGACCTTAATCATGAAAATCTTAATAAAAGTTGAATGACCCTTGGCTCTTCTGTGTATACCCTGAGAAGTCTTTTGAAACAGTATTGTGCCATTTGGCTTTCCAAGTTGCAGTAGCTGAAGACTGGCCAAGGAACAGGAGACAGGGAATAACGGAAACTATGAATACCAAGTCTTACACTGTAAGGAACTTCTTCCAGGTAGCAGGACTTCTGTGTAGGACCAGTTGCTTGGATTCAGCCTCCTTCCTCTGAGAAATGCTCTTTCCCTTGTAAATTAAGCAGATTCCTGTCTGGCAGTGCAGAAGTGGGCAGATACTTTGTATGACATCCACAATAATGAGTATTTGCCTTTTGTGGTTTCCTTGGTAAAATGCCACATGAAAGGCATTCTGAAAAGTGTAGGGTTTTCATGGTTTCCCACATTGTTTTCTTGAGGGTGGGGTGTGTTTCAGACAGAATCTTACTGTACAATCTGTGCTGGGCTAAAACCTGCTCTGTAGCTCAGGCTCTGTAATGCAAGAGCAGAATTTAACTCCTGAGCATTTTTAAAATAGTGAATCCCCATTTAAGACTTCCAGTCCCTTCCAACTCCTTATTCCCTCTGTGTTCTCACTTACCAGGTTCTCTTGGTCTTAAAACATTTCAGATTTTTTAGTTCTTCCAGGATAATGGCTTTTGAAATATTAGGCATTTCAAATATTGATTGCATTTATTCTTTTGATTTTTACACAATTAAAAGAAGTACCTACATGGGGATTTAAAAGTCATAGTAAGTTAGTGTACTTAAGAGAATAACTTGAGGTGTGCTGTATTTGTACATACTATAGTTATTTATTTGTTTGTTTATTTATTAGGAATGGGTATTGATGTTTTAACTGCATGTATGTCTTTGTACAATGTGCACTTTTGGTGGCCATGGGATGCAGAAGATACATCACAGCCCCTGAGACTAGGCTTAGAGACAGCTTTGAGTCACCGCGTGGGTGCTGGGAGCCTAAGCCAGCTCCTCTGGAAGAACAGACGGTGCTCTTAACCCTGCCCCCAAACCACCTCTCCAGCACCCTACACACATTATTTTTTTAAATAATTCTCAATTTTAAAAAAAAATTCTAAGACAGGGAGCAGATCTTGGGAGAACCACTGAGATTTTTACTTCTGCATCATGGTGATTTCCTCTTATTTGAAAAATCCAATTTTCTCCAGTTTTATAATACCGTAAAAATCTAGGTTTGCAAAACTATTTTGCAAAAAATGCTGTAAGTGAAGATGTATTTTGATGTTATATATAAATGTCAAAGACGTTTTTAGTATAAGCAAAAAATGGTGTCCAGCAATAATTGTTCATTACTTGTTAACAGTAATTGTTGGTGAGTAATTTCCGTATATTGATAAAGGGATTTCTTGGTTTCATGTAGCTTCTACACGATCCTAAGGATGTGGAGGTGTTTATATTACTATCCTTATTTAATGGATGAAGAAAGAGAGACAGAGAAATGTTGATTAGCTCAAAGAAATTTGGTACCTGGGAGAAGTATCTCTGCCCACATTTGTAGCTGGTTTAAATTGTCTGAAGATCTGTTTAACTTATGAGAAGTAAATTTACTGGAAAAGATCATGTTTTGAAACTGAAGGTGGGAATGAAGGAAGATGGGTTTCTTTTACCCTGCTGTGGCAAGTGCCCATTGGCTACATCAAGGCATTGCTGATGAGAATATCTGTTATTTTTAGTGCTACTAGATTAGGTCATTGCACACAGTACATCTGTTTCTGTGTATGGTCTAAAACCATCAATAAGATATCTTTTTTTCTCTCCCCCCTTCCCCCCCCCCCGCACCTTATCTTCCTTTTCTTCATAGTCAATGAAGGCCTGAACCAACCAACGGATGACTCATGCTTTGACCCTTACACAGTTTCCCATTATGCCATTGGAGAGGAATGGGAGCGACTGTCTGATTCTGGCTTTAAGCTCACATGCCAGTGCTTGGGCTTTGGCAGTGGTCATTTCAGATGTGATTCATCTAGTGAGTAGCTTGCTTTGTCCATCGACTTATTCCTCCATCTCTTCTAGTCTCATGCATTTGCAGTAGTTGGCCACGGAAGCATGTTTGGCAGATGCAGGCTCTTCCAAACATGATGCAAACAAAGTCTACTGTTTGACTCAAAGTAACATTTTGCATCATAGGAGAATGATGGGAAATTTTACTTGTTGAATATTACTGCATTTCAAGACTCGTGTGCTAATCCACTATTTGTTAAAAAGTGTTTGTAGTAGTGATATGCTTTTTGAAATGTTTAGTTATAGCTAACTTGATGAAGTTAAAAACTCACCAAATTCCTTTTGATCTTTAGTGTTAAGGACAGAGAAGAACAAACTCACAAACACTGTCTTTCTCAGCATAACCAGATACAAGTATTGTAATACATACACACTTCTCTCTCTGCCTCTGTCTCTGTCTCTGTCTCTGTCTCTCTCTCTCTCTCTCTCTCACACACACACACACACACAACACACACACACACACACACACACCCCACAGCCAGATATCCCAAACGTTGCTAGTAATATAAGGAAAAATATCCAGGTAATACATTTTTAATTCTTAAAATAAAAATTTCTAAGACAGGGGAGCATGATGTCCCGAGTTTCATCTCTGGAGCCCACATGGTGTCAGCTCCCACAAGTTGTCTTTTGACCTCTATATATGAACTGTAGGACATGAATTTACATATATACATGTACAAACACATGAAAATAAATATAGTAAAACTTTCAAAGGCAACTGGCTGGAAAATTGATCTTCAAATTTTAAAGAGGCTCTTTTTTATTTTCAAATTACTGGTAGAAATGATTCTAATAATTATCTACTGTATCTAGAAATTTAGTATTGGAGTGTATAAACTTTTATTTATTCTTTGTTTTTGGAAGTATAATTATTATTGGCAGTTTGTTTTTTTTTAATGTGGAAATCATTCTGTCTTAAGTACAATCCTATGGATAATTATAGCAAACATTTTCCTTCACTTTTCATGGAATAGCTAAATCCAGACTGACACTAGAAAGCAGTGGTTTCAGTATATGTAGATTTTTATACTTGGATGCAGCACAGTGGGCTCTATACCCATGCTGGAGCTGGGAGGGATAACATTTAGCATTGACTAGGTGGTTTTTCTGTTCTGGGATGGAACTACATTGAATTTTGCATGTTGTTAATGAGTCAGTACTTGATTACAAATGTGCTCCAGTAATTTTACATGTGAGCCTTTGGCTCAACATTCTTTGCTGAAATGTCATAATACTTTTGCTTATAAAAGTATTGATAAAGTGGAAGAAACACTGTATTTTATAAGTGGCTTAAGTGTATTCTGTTCAGTATAAATCTTAGAGATTAAAAGAACATTTTACATATGACATTAAACACAGCTAATGGTGATTAGATGTGTCTTAGAACTCATCTATTTGTACAAGCCTAATTCATTAATTTGTCATCATTTTGTTTGTTGTCACATTTGTTCTCTTCATTTATATGAATCAGGTGGTAGCAGATAGACACCAGCTGATTTCTCCTTAATGTTTAATTAAACTATTTTGTATCTAGGGTCTCTGCAAACCGCAAAATATTTCTTTAATTCTCCAATCCCATTTTAGTTTTCCATAATTGTAAGGTTAAAAAGAGTCAAATGAATCTATGAAATGATTTTGGTAATAGTGTCTTAACACTGGCCTGGGAAATATTAGATATTAAACGTTATCATGAATGGTTCATCATAGGTAATGTGATCTTCGACTTTCCACTCTGCGGATTCATGTCATGTCCCAGTGTTCTGCCTGTCATGTGAGTCAAAGCAGAAGTAACTCTTTCCCTATGATATCCCCATCTTACAGAATGGTGCCATGACAATGGTGTGAACTACAAGATTGGAGAGAAGTGGGATCGCCAGGGAGAAAATGGTCAGCGGATGAGCTGCACGTGTCTCGGGAATGGAAAGGGAGAATTCAAGTGTGACCCCCGTACGTCATCCTAATGGTTTCTAGACACTTGAGTACTCTCACTTTCCTAACTGAGCCAAAACACCCATTTACAGGATGGGCTGGAGACGGTGGGTTTGTCAGTGTTGTGGTTGGGAAATCAGTAGCATGCTCCAAAAGTGAGTCATGACTGAATGTTATGTCCAAGCACTTTGGCGCCTTCACAATCTGAGCACTTTGATCGTCTGCAGCTAAGTGTTATAAGTGGACTCAGCTTTTGACGTATGAATTCCATCCTCCCGTCAGGCCTGCTACACCGAGGCTTTGAAGCATCTCCTTATGATTCACCTAAGTTGATGAGATTGGGCCTGTGCTCATGCAAGTCTATGGCAGGTGCATCAACTTGAACCTGCATGATTGATTGTTCTTGGTCTTACAACTGTTTCTGATTTGTGCCCATGTGTAGATGAAGCAACGTGCTATGACGATGGGAAGACCTACCACGTAGGAGAACAGTGGCAGAAAGAGTATCTTGGAGCCATTTGCTCCTGCACGTGTTTCGGGGGCCAGCGGGTAAGACTGGTGGTGTTTAGAGCCCTGAGGAGCCTCCCGCATGGCTGTGCTGTGTGAAGAGGAGGCTCCCGCATGGCTGTGCTGTGTGAAGAGTCATGCCATGCCTCTTCTGTCAGCATCCCCAGCCATGACTAAATTTCTCAGGCTGGCCTGTTTGTCCTCATCTGAACTGTAGCACTAAGCCTCCAGCTCTGGGCTGATGGACTGGCATTTCATATTTTTAATAATACCTTGATCTAAGAAAATGCCATTTTTTTGTGACCTTGCTCAATCTATAAAAATAGATCTTTTATTAGTCCAGTACTGAGCTGAGTCATAATGGACAAACAGGGAACAGGAAGTGACTCTGGCTCTTAATGACATACTTGAAGACATTCAATTAGCACACCCTGCCAAGCCAAGCTAATCACTAGTTCTGACTAATACTCAGTCCAGCTCTAGATGGGCTGGAATCAGCAAGAAAGCTTCATAGAAAAGAGAAACATAAACCTCCTGGGGAGTAGAATTAAGTGGGGAAGGAAGAAAGCAGAGGTGGCAGTGAGCATACCCCTGGCCTAGGAAGAGTTAGTCCAGATGGGTTACAGTGAGGCAGTGCTCCCCCTGGTGTCTCTTGTTAAGAAGTTAGATTTGAGGAGGAAGACAATTTTGGAGGGCTGGGAAGCTCATTACTTCTCAGCCATTTCTAGTATGTGCCCTTCTTCTACGTAACAATTTATATTCCATCTTTTAACAATTGAAATTTCAAAATGACTTACAACTTAAAAGTCATAGACATACAGCCAGGTGTGATGGCGCACACCTTTAATCCCAGAACTGGGAAGGCAGAGGCAGGCGGATCTCTGAGTTCAAGGCCACTCTGGTCTACAAAGCAAGTGCCAAGACAGCCAGAGCTGTTACACTGAGAAACCCTGTCTTGAAAAACAAAAAACAAAACAAACAAAATCGATTGTAGTATTTATTCATTTATTTTTGAGGCGGGGGCTCCCTCTCTGTTGTGTAGATCTGGCTATCCTGGAGCTCACTATGTAGACCGGGCTGACTTCAGCTCCCAGCAATCTGCCTGCCTCTGCCTCCTGAGTGCTGGGATTAAAGGCTTGTGCCACCATTAAGCCTGGACTTATTTCTTAATTTTTTGGAATTACAAAAGGAAAGTCTCATTCAAGTTAGGCAAAAGATGGCTGCCAAACTGAAGAAGCCCCTCAGTGTGTGAGCTTCGCGGGCTACTCGAGCAGTGGGAGCCAGAGTCTGCACCTCTCTGTGTCTTCCTAAGTGTCCACGTCCCTTTCCCCTAAGGTCCTGCTAATGGTACCATCTTCATCCCGTCAGCTCTGGCCTTCCCTCCTCCCAGCTCAAGAACAACGAGAAAGTGAATCTGTTTCCAGCAAAACTCAGGAAGCAGCATAGGCCCATTGTGGTATCTTCCTGTATCCTGTCTCATCTCTGGCCAGAGCTGAGGCTACAATGCTATAGGCTAGGGAGGTTTTAGAAGGGATCAGAAAGAGAAAGTGGCCAGTTATCCAATTCTTCCTGAGGCCCACTCTGTCCTTTCTGGCTCCTTCCAAGTCATCCCTCTGTTCTGGGTCTGTTTCCTTCCCTGGAAAGTGCTGGAGTTTGTCTACACGTCTCAAGTCCCTGTTAGGAGCCTTAGAGGCCTGGGAGAAATCCTCCACCTAGAGCAGAAAGCCTGCTGAGGAGGAAGGGGGGAGCGGGATGAGCAGAGCCTGCACAGGAAAAGAATCGAGGGTATTTCAGAAGAAAGAAAAGCATATGTAGAAAGATGTAAGTGTAAGATATGGTAACAAGCCAAGATACATTCTAAGAGTTGTAAATGCACGAAGGCTTTCTGTTTGATTAACGGCTTCTGTTACCGATGCGTAAGCTGAAATTCTTTAACTCAAGCACTAAATTATGATGTCCTCAGGTTATCACAGACCCCATTTAACTTCCTGTCTCTCTTCTCAGGGCTGGCGCTGTGACAACTGCCGCAGACCTGGGGGTGAACCCAGTCCCGACGGCACCACCACCGGCCATACCTACAACCAGTATACTCAGAGATACCACCAGAGAACAAACACTGTAAGTGCACGCAACCCCAGTGCCTCTCCCTGAATGCAGTTAGGTGCACAGTAGGGAGTTTGAATAGTTTTGTTTTGCTTTTTGAGGGGACCAAATAATTTTTGATTTTTCGAGACAGGGTTTCTCTTCATAACAGCTCTGGCTGTCCTCGAACTCGCTCTATAGACCAGGCTGGTCTTGAACTCACAGAGATCTGCCTGCTTCTGCCTGGAGGGCTAGGACTAAAGGTGTGCACCACTACTCCCAGATTTTTTCTTTTCTTCACTAAATGATTTTATTTGGAAAGAAGTCTCTTTTTTTTTTTAAAGATTTTTATTTATTATGTATAGTATTCTGCCTGTATGTCTGCCTGCAGACCAGAAGAGGGCACCAGATCTCATTACAGAGGGTTGTGAGCCAATGGGTTGCTGGGAATTGAACTCAGGATCTCTGGAAGAGCAGCCAGTGCTCTTAACCGTTAAGCCATCTCTCCAGGCCCGGAAAGAAGTCTTTTGTGGCTGGGGAGATAACTGAGTGCTGAAGGCACAAATTCAGTCCCCAGAGCCCATGTAAGAAAGCGGGGCACTGTTGCAAGTTTGTAATCTTTTGTAATCCCTTCATTGCGGAGACAGAAATGTGGGGTCCTTGGAGTGAACCAGCCTAGCCTAATTAGTGAGCTTCAGGTTCCTGAGACCCTGTCTCAAAAATCAAAGGGAGGCAGCATCTGCATGTCATACACACACACACACACACACACACACACACACACACACAGAGTCTTATGAATGACTTGCTTGTTATAAGTTACTAAATTCCTGAGCATTGTCTATTGCTCAGCACATTTCTTCTGTTTTTGTTTTTCTTTTTTTTTTTTTTTTTCTGTTTTTGTTTTTCAAGACAGAGTTTCTCTGTGTAGTTTTGGAGCCTGTCCTGGCACTCGCTCTGTAGACCAGGCTAGCCTTGAACTCACAGAAATCTGCCTGCCTCTACCTCCCGAGTGCTGGAATTAAAGACCTGTGCCACCACCGCCTGGCTGCTCAGCACTCTATTGTTAGTCTTTTGAGATAAATCTCCCCTCCATGCTTTTTGCTTTTCATAGTATTTGCTATTGATGCTCTTCTTCTATTTTGGCAGAATGTTAATTGCCCGATTGAGTGCTTCATGCCATTAGACGTGCAAGCCGACAGAGACGACTCCAGAGAGTAACATTTTCAACCCGGAAGAAGTGTCTCTCTCTGCCGAGGTCAATCCACACCCGAGTGATGTTAGCGGACCCTCCGTCTTTGAGTGTTCCTTTCTCCCTTAAGTCTTCTGCTCTGGGGGCAAGTTCTCAGCTTCAGCTCACCTCACAGCTTCTCTAAGCATCATCACCCTGGGGGATGTTTTGAGACTTCTCTCACAAACAGGGCGGGTGATTACCTTGTTTGCCCTGCAGGAGACGGTACCACCCAGTATTGTTTAAGAGAATCAAAGATCCTTGTGATTTGGTCTGGGATCCATAAGGAAACACCAGTAGCCAACCAAGATGAAACACGTCTTGAATGGTAGTACCCCAAATCTGGAGTAGGGACGTTCCCCAAGCACTTTGGCTTTCTTTCTGTAACCATATGGCCTGCAGCGCTGTCAGGAGGCATGTCCTGTAGCTGTGTGTTCAAACACCTCACAGTACTCACTCTGTCCCAACAATTCTAATTGCCTAGAAATATCCTTCTCTTACCTGTTATTTATCAATTTTTCCCAGTATTTTTATACGGAAAAAATTGTATTGAAGACACTTAGTATGCGGTTGATGAGAGGAATTCAGTATAATTATGGTTGGTGGTTATTTTTATACTGTACATGCCAACGCTTTACTACTGTGGAAAGACAAGTGTTTTAATAAAAGATTTACATTCCATCATGTGGAGGTCACTTTCTTTTTTAACATAAGGTGTTTGGGGAGAAAAACCACAATCTTCGTGAATGTCCTCTTCAGTCCAAGAAACATTTGAAAAGCCAGTGTGCTGAGCTGGGGTGACTCCTGGACATGGATCTCTGCCTGGCCCTATGTCCTTGGCTGTAGTTCTGCCTTAACAGATTTAAGTGAATTCAAACATTTGTTAGCTTTGCTAGATAGTACTTCAGAAGTATAACTTAAGTAACCTTCAGTTTTTCTTTTTTACAAGATCTGTTTCCAGTGTGCCCAAAGGGGATGCTGGGTCGCTGGAGAGATGTGTGTTTGAGAAGCACTGGGATTTGAACTTATGACTGAGCTGCACATTCTCTGGTCTCTCCAATCCCTGTCGTTCTTATTTAACTATCATAGGCCTATGCTTCTTCACTTAATAAACACCTATTCAAGGAGATCACTTTCAGGGAAAACAGGATGGCTGAGCTGTGACAATTACTTGAATGGCATAGTATGGAGATTTTCTCCTTAGGAAACCCCGGGCTATGATCTCAGTCTAGCCTGTCTTGACTTGGGTCAACTGCCACTTTATGAGGGTGGGTTGATGAACTCCCAGCTCACAGATCGGCTACCCCTGAAAAAGTCATTTCCTTTTCATTTCACCTTGGAAAAACAAGATTTAGGGATTTTTGAATTTCTGTTTTGAGAATGGGGCATGCGGCTCAATGACACAGCACTTGCCTAGAATGTGGGGGGCTTTAGGTTCACTACCTAACATCTTACATCCATTCCACCCCCAAAATCTGACATTTGGAGTAGGAAATAGTAGCATAGAAAAACAGTAAGAAGTTCATTGTAGTCTTGTGTTCTATTGCTGTGAAGAGACACCATGATCACTAACTCTTACAAAGGAAGGATTTCATTGGAGGATTGCCTACAGTTTCAGAGAATGAGTCCATGATCATAGCAGAGCATGTGGTGGCAGGCAGACACGGTGCTGGAGAAGTAGCTGGGAGTTCTGCATCCTGACCTGCAGGTGGAGAGATGGAAATACCGGGCCTATTGTAGGCTTTTGAGACCTCAAAGCCCAAACCCAGGGGCACACTTCCTCCAACAAAGATGCCTGCCTAATGCTTCCCAAACAGTTCACCAACTGGGGCCATTCTCGTTCAAACCACTACAATTATTATTTAGTAAAAGATTCATAAAATACTATTGCATCATTATTCAGTACAAAGAGTACTTCAGTAAACACCTGGCAAAGAAACAATTCATAAAGAAGTCTTCTTGGTTCATTTGCTAGAAGACATACTAGGGTTACTTTTGAATTGATATGCAGTTTGCAAAATGCCTTGACATTTAGTTCTCATTTGGGGAAGGCTTAATTTTGCAGAGAACCCAGCTCAGATGAGTTCTCTTACAAACCAGAGAGGCCTGGCCTCTGAGCTTTTGCTCAAGATTGCTAAATCAGCTTTTCCAATCCAAGAGTCTGCAAGCTAGCTGCAGCGTTATCTATCAAAACAAAAGAAGAGTTAGACCTGTTTGGCTTACTCCCAATCATATTGTTTAGGAGACTGAAGTAGGAATATTGTCATGAATCTGGGCTACACAGAAGTTCTAGGCTAAGGCTGGGCTTTGACAAGCAAAACCCCCGCTTTCAAACAAAACAAAAGAACAGAAGATAAATATCACGGGATACTCAGTGTGGTGGCACACACTTGTAATTTCAGCACTTAGGAAGTGAGGACAGGAGAATGTTGAGTTCGGAGCCCAGCCTGGACTTGGAATACATCACCAAACTGGACTACATGTCCAAAGTATTACATGGAAGACCATGTCTTAGAAAAAACAATAGGACTGGGGAGGGACCTGGGGGTGAGCGACTGTCTAGATGTATGACGCCCTGTGCTCAGCTATCACCACATAAAATGGTATGGTGGCACCTTTGCAATCCTAGCACTATGGAGGTGAGGTAGAAGGATCAGAAGTTCAAGGTCATCATGAATTACAGAGCTAGATGCCACCCTGGGTTACAGGAGACCCTGCTTTCTCCCACTACCACTCAAAGGCCCTAGGAAGTGGAGCCAGGTGCTTATAATGGCTGTCTGATACGAATGGGCCATAACTTCATTGAGGACTGGCTCACACCAGTCTTCATCTGAAGCTCTCTCTAAAGGCATGGGGGAGTTAGCCACAAGAAAGCTTTCAGCTTGCTTTTGCTCAGAGGACTTTGTAGTTAAAAACAAAGATCAGCAGGGGTGGAAGCTGTAAGCCTAGCACTGGGGAGGGAGAGCCAGGAAGATTCCCACAGGTGGAAGCCAGGGAGACCCTCGCATAAAAGGCTACAAAGCAAACACAAGCAAAGAGCAGGTTCTGGCTGATGCTATGCTCCAGACAGCTTGCCAAAATACAAGCCAAAGCAGGAAGTCCCCGAAACATGGCTAGTTGGACTGATTTAATTGACTTTTGTGCAGAAATGAAAAAAACCACAAGCTTCATGGTTAAGGTTAACAATAGCAACAGGGGGGTTGGAGAGATGGCTCAACTGTTAAGGGCTCACCACTGCCACTGCTCGCACCTACATCCGGGGATTCACCACTGCCCCTGCAGAGTCCTGTTCTCGCACCCGTATCCCGTTGCTTACAACTGTCTGTAACTCCAGCTCCTGGGGATCCAAAGCCTCTGGCCTCCAAAGGTCCCCACATTCGCATGAATATACTCACACAGACATACATGTGGGTTCTGGGAACCAAACCCTGGTCCTCTGAGGGAGCAGCAGTGCTCTTAACCACTGAACCATTTCTGCAAACCCTACAAATAGATAAATACACAAACAAACCAAAAAAGGTCGACAACAGCAACTTGGTCTTTCTGTGGTGCTCCTATTGCTTTTTCTTCTTCTGACTTTTAAGACAGAATCTTACGTGTAGCCCAGCCTGGCCTCAAACATGCTGTAATCCTCTTTCAGCTTCTCAGGTGCTAGGATGAGCGGCAACGGCCATCAGGCCTAGCATTCTGCCGGATAGCCAAAGCAATGCGCTGAACTTACAACTCACTTTGGAATACATGAAGCACATTTAAAGGACCTTTCCTGTTTGGGCAGCATATTGCAAGAAAGGTAAAGCTCTTTCCCACTGATCCTTTCTCAGTAGAACTGCCATTTAGTATTTTCCCAGACCTTTACAGTCTTCACTGACTCACTGCTGAGTCCCCCGAGAACTGCCTTGAACAAGCCAGATTGCCAAGGTCTAATTAAAACACTTGATTGGATTTAGGCTAGATATAGATAATTCAAAGTAATTCAGTTAAAACTAGTAAATTTTAGACTTTTCAAAGAAAGTAACAGTTTTGAAATTTTACTCTACCTGGCCAAAGCTGATTCGTAATGAATTATGTTGTTCTGTATTTATATTGTTTTCAGCTCTAATGACCTGAATGAATTATGTAAATTAGTCTATAATAATGTCGCTATAAGCCTGTAAGGCACACTTTCTAGGGAGGTGAATGAAGAAATGAGGAGGTAGAAATCACAAGTATAGGAAATGGCTCTTCCTATTTAATTATATTTCCATGGAAAATTCTATTGCAGTACTATTCATATGAAACTCATTAAGGTGATTAAGAAACATCACGTCAGCACATTTAAGTGCTGCAATTGCCCTTATTCAGTAAGTCCCCATTACCGCAGTAGGGGAAGTGGCAGGCTACAATTTTTTTAAAGTCTCACTCTCAGGGATGCAATGCAACTGTTGAAAAACAAAAGCATTGTTTGGCAAGGAAGATCTAAAGATTAGCACAGGCTGGAGAAGCAGAAGTAGCAGGGAGACAACCCTGCACAGACTAACCGAGTTCTCGAAGAGTCTAGCAAGGGGGCCCCAGGGTCACTCAGTGAGGAAAGGTGCTGATTGCCACGTCTGACGACGCGAGTTCAATCTTTGGGACCCACATGGTGGAGGAGAGAAATGACTCTTGCAGGTGTCCTCTGACCTCCACACGCATGCTTTACACAAACACGCGCGCACACACACACACACACACACACACACACACACGCACGCATGCGTACACATGCACACTCACTTTACACACACTAAAGATTCTTTGGCACTTTCATTTAAAATATTATTTTTATTATCAGCACCATCCTACTCCATTTCCATTAAAAGATTCTATTTGAATTGAAAAAAAAAACTCCATAAATTACAAATGATAAGAATACTGTTAAGAAATAAAAGAACAGAGAAACTTCTCCAGCTAAAATCCCCGACTGGGAAATTTCTCTTAACATTCCTCAGTAGAGTCAGGTAGGAGATATGAAGGCATGTTTTACATTTCCTTAAACTTCTCACTACTTACTCTTCAGAGACAGGGGCTTTAACAACCCTGGGAGCCAAATTTCCCTCTAAACTAGCAGTCTGGGGTCACTTTCAGCACTGGTTTGGATGGGTCTGGGTCTGCAGTCCCCATTCTGCAGACTGCACACTATACAAGCTCCGTAAGGTCGAGTGTACAGGAGGCCAAGGGTCCTACCAGTGAGCACTTGGCATCTGTGCTTTGATGAATTTTGTGTATGGTACATGCTTATGTATACTTGCATGTGTGTGTTGGGGGTGCGAGTATCTACTACACATAAAAACAAGAGGTTGTCTGGTGTCATCCTCCACCATTCTTCGCCTTATTCCATTGAGAAGGGGTAGTTCATTGAAGCTACCATCTTCTGGCCAGGTTAGTGACCTAAAAACCCACAAATCCTCCCAAATGCTCCAGTCTTACCCCACCCCTCCACTCCTTGAGCTCCCTTTGTAGACCAGGCTGTCCTGGAACTCACTGTGATCCACCTGCCTCTGCCTCTCAAGTGCAGGGATTAAAGGCGTGTGCCACCACTTCCCGGCACAAGTCTTTAATGTGTATGCACTTACTATTTTTCCCGGTCATTTCCATCCATCATTTTCTCCCACTAGCTCCCATACTTCCGCATGTACAAAAATGTGAAAATAAATAGCATCATTTTCTAAACAGTGCTGAAGCTGTGACAGACAATACTCAGCGTGTCCTTTTTTATCTCACTGATTCCTCAGAAAAATACATTACCATCATTGCTACAGCATACAGTTGAGCACAAGGCTACAGGAATCAGCAATATCATACAGCTTGTGAGTACCACTGGTGAGACTTGAACCAGAGGTTATCCTGCCTCTTTAAAGGGGTCCACCTCAGGGCAAAGGAGTTAAGAGTGTGCTGGTTTAACACACAGAAACAATTGACCTGAACAAGGGGGAGCTCTTGGACTTCAGATTGATGGCTGTGTAGAAAGCATGGGACTGACCCAGACCCCCTGAATGTGGGTGTCAGTGAGGAGGCCTAGGCAATCTATGGGGCCTTGGGTAATATTTACCCCTGGCATACAAATAGACTTTGAGTGTCCACGCCACAATATGGGAGGCTCTCTCAGCCTGGACTCTTGGGGAAGGCCTAGACCCTGCCCTGCATGAAATGACAGTTACTGGAGATTCACCATGGAGGGCCTCACCCTCCTTGGGGATCAGACTGGAGATTGGGTGGGGGGCTGGGGGACCTGGTGGGGAGGGAGGGGGAGGAGGAGAGGGAAAGGGAGTTGGGATTGACATGTGAAACAAGATCGTTTCTAACCTAAATAAAAAATAAAGGGGTCCAACTCCATTCCATAGTGTACAAAGTACAGGTTAAGATGCAGTCAAGATTACTCATGCCGGGCGTTGGTGGCGCACGCCTTTAATCCCACACTCGGGAGGCAGAGGCAGGTGGATCTCTGTGAGTTCGAGACCAGCCTGGACTACCAAGCGAGTCCCAGGACAGCCCCCAAAGCCACAGAGAAACCCTGTCTCGAAAAACCAAAAAAAAAAAAAAAAAAAAGATGCAGTCAAGATTACTCAGCTGCTTAGCAGCAAACAAGGTGTTTATCCTAAAAGGCAGGTAGATCAACTCCTGGAGAAAAGATGCGGCCATGATCAAGAAGGGAGACGGTGTGTGTGTGTGTTGGAAAAGTTCTACCTCTGGGCCTCATTGTTGATGTCAGTAGATGTCTCAGATGGATGACTTCTTACAAGTTAAGATAAATTCCTGCCTACCACGGTGTTCAGCAAAAATAATGTTTAAGTCTTCAAGAACAGAAGGCATTTAAAGCCTCTCAGGCTGTAAGGGACACTGATAGTTAGAAAGATAACTCCAGAAGGAAGCAAGTGTCAAGGGACCAGGGAACTATGAGTCTTCACTAATGGGTCAGGGGTGGGTTTCTTCCAGTGCTCAGCGGCTCCAACTTTAGTACACTCATTAATATGATCCAGGCATTTTACATTATGAGTCTTCTGAGCCATGGAAACAAGATCCATCATTGTTCTCTTCATTTAAAGTTTTCATTTCTATTTATTCAAGGCAGTCATCACACATGCAGCTATGAAGTCTCCATTCGTTTTAGGAAACTTAGTTGCTTCACTGTCAAGACTCTCCTGCAGTGATGAACTTCTTGACCTGGCTACCTCCACCAGGTTACCCCAAGTACAAAAAGGAAAACTTAAGTCCCAGACTCAAGGAGGCATCAGGGACATGGACTTAGGAGTGATGTTCTGGCCTGTTGATAAGCAGTAAAGGGACCTGCTGACAGCCCTACAAAACTTAAGATATTTTGTGAAGAATTGATCAACATTGTTGTATGGGGCCACTGCCATGGGTTTACTCAAAACCCTTGTTCCTGAAGGGAGGATACCCGAACTATTCTGCCTCAAGCTTGTGTGATTGCCGGCAAGGGCGTGCAGGAGCAACACACCCATGTATTTTGGAGCAGAATTTGAAAATATGCTGGAATACAAACTCCAACAGAAGCAGCGACATTAAGCATTACACAGGTAATTCCTGACATGAGGGTATCCATAGATGGGACAGAAGTTTATGTAGGGAGTCATGAAAGCACCTGCTGAGAATGTACTCTCAAGTTAGGACAGAGCTGAGCTCTCATCATCCTATCACAAGTTGGAAACAGCCTTCATGGACGATGACCTACTGAACGTCATGGCTTTCCAACAGCACACTGTGGAGGCATTCACTGTCCACATGTAAGCATTCACCTGGGAGTTGCTTTTGCTGCTGTCTGGCCTGAGTGATATACTGAACATCACTGGTGGTGGTGGTGGGAGATCACAATTTAAAACTGAACCCAGTACTTTCAAGTCAAAGAACTCTGTGGAGTCGACTGTGAAGATGGGGATTCTCTTTCTACTTTGTAGCGTTGCGTTGACAACATGGTCCAGATGGACATCAATATTCCCAAACCCTGTCTTAGCTTCCAAGGGCTGGCATTTGTGGCCTATGACATCATGACAGGCAGGTTTTCTACTGGCCAACCATGCTTATATGCGGCTAAAAAATGGTTCCACAAAGTATCGCTATCAAAAATATTAAACTAGCTGGGCAGTGGTGGCACACACCTTTAATCCCAGCACTCTGGAGGCAGTGGCAGGTGGATCTCTGTGAGTTCAAGACCAGCCTGGTTCCAGGATAGCCTCCAAAGCCACAGAGAAACCCTGTCTCGAAAAACAAGAAAACAAACAAAAAAAATTAAACTAATCCATTGTCCTAGCACTGTTTTTATTTGCAGTAATATTATGTGAAAGCTGGAATCCCACCATCCCTTCCCAGGTGTGTGGACACAATAGTTTTAAATTCTCAAAAGGGTTGTGGTTAGAATTACATGTGTAAGCTTAATGAAGCAGTATAGGGTTAAGCAGACAAATGGTTCCAATTACACTTAATGTTCACTTTCAGTCAAGCTAAATAACTCGAGGGAGACAGCACATTTAATAATTTATGAGCCAAAATCTGTACTCACTATTTATTACTACCAAAAAAAAAAAAAGAATTAAAAATGCTGTGGCCAACAGTATGTATCTGTGTCTGTGAATTGGGAATTAAGGAGTTCCTTGGAGGCTGAGATTATAGCTTAGTGGTAGAATGCTTGCTTAGCATGAAGGCCCTGGGTTCTGATCCCTAGTACGGCAACAGATGATCAACAAAGCTCCTTGGGATAGCTAAGACCCAGATGCCCCCCAAGAGGTGAAAGCCAAATGCTGGCAGAGAAGAGGTTGGAGCAGAAAGATCCATTTCTAGGGCATCTCATTCATAAGGCTGGCAGTTAGCATAAGCAAGATGGTTTATTTACTCCCGAGGGATCCCTGCCCTGAGACCTAACAGAAGCCACAGTATTTTAATAATTACTTAAGTCTGCTTTGTTTCAACAGGCTATTCCAAGAGTTGGAAGATCAGTCAGCACATAAATGACTCACAAAGATGACCGTTTATAAAAATTTCTGTGGTAATATATCCTTTAATCACAGTACTTGGAGGCAGAGGCAGGCAGATTTCTGATTTTGAGATCAGCCTGGTCTACAGAGCAAGTTCCAGAGCAGTTAGAGCTAGAGAAACCTTGTCTTGAAAAACAAACAAACAAAAACAAAAACCCAAAACAAAAAAAACTTGTGCATTTTTTATTTAGAGAAGAAGTGGAAAAACAGAGGACTGAGGCTTATTGACCTGAGGTTACAGCTGACCATAGGCGTCCTCCATGTGAACAGTCAGGACCACAAAGGCAGAGACACAGACCCAGTTATGTCGCCCTGTTTGACAAAGGGAGGCACTGACATTCCTACCCCCACATACGCTCACTTTAGATAAAACACTAAGAATACTGGGTCTATTTTGTAGGTACCAAACAAGCTACTCAATAGCTAATATAGGTTTTAAACAGTTCAAGAGGGTTCTTGGGTGCTGAAATACAGACAACTTCACCTAGGAAAGGATTGTCTAGCCATTGGTAAGGATTCAGTTCCCAGGGGATAACTGGCTGTTTGTCAAGGAGACAAACAAGCAAGCTTCTCAGAGGCACGATAAAAGGAGCCCTGTGGAGAGCAATCCCCAGTGGGGATGGTGTCATCATAAGGCAGCTTGGCTTCTCCGGCCAACTTGCCCTTTTAGGTATCTTACAGGGGCTGTCTTGAAAGCTGAGCTCCAAGGAGACATAGATGCTGGTAGGTTCTATATACATAAACCTGTCTGTGGTAACTGGGGCTAGGAATCTATACCTTTCAGAGAGTAAGACCCAACTACCTAAAACCTTAGACCCAATTATGAAGATGCAAACGACTCATTTTTTAAAGAGGTGCTTTTAAAATCCCAGACGATCATCCACTGCACATAAGCAAACAGGGAAACGATGGAAGCTACGATCAGTGGTGGAAGAGCCGGAGATCCGTGTGAGCCAGGATGATCCCCAGTTCATCGCACGCCTCGATCACAACCTTGTCAGCAGCGGATCCAGACGGAGCGACGATGTAGGCCACACCACTCTGCAAAGGAAAACCCCAAGCCCATGCTGACTTTCAAAACACAATGACATGCACATCTAGAAAGAACAAGACTTCCCTCTAGAAAGCAGAAACCAGGAGTAGAAGCGTTGGCTCAGAGATTCCTAGCCACTCTTCCTCCTTGGGCACCGGGCAGGTACACACATACAGGAGCAGTCAAACCAATCACTGTATGTGATAAAGTGTGTTCATAAACAAAAACAAATACATCTTGTTACTAAAGCATAAGCTAACAACGACATATTCAGGAAAAGCAACAGAATTTGGTTTATGCCTATATCACAAAGAAAAGTGAAATAATTCACCATTTGTATCAAATAAACACAGCTGTAATATGCAAGTCTAAGGAACCTAGAAGCACAACTAAGTTCTTGTTTGCAGTGCTGGGACTGGACCTAGGGTCAGGTGCTCTATGCTGCGCCCTCAGTCACAAAAGCAGATGGGTGCCTGAAATTACTTATAAAATTCTGTGTCCCCAATGCACATGGTCCCTCACTCACCCTTTTGGCACGGTCCACGTTATCTCTGAAAGGAAAGAAGGCATCGGAACTGACAGAAACATCTCTCAGTTTGTTGACCCATTCCTTCTTCTCTGCCTCAGTGAGTAACTCGGGGACTTCCTCGAACAGTGCCTTCCATTTCACCAGGTCTTCCCCCTAGAGAGCCAGGGAGCAAGGTGAGCTCAGCATCACCTGTAGCTTTATCCAATGGGAAGCACAAATGCCAGAGACCACTTGGGCATTTTCCTATGACTGTCCACTAAACAATGACACACCCAAGTTCCTATTTTCAGAAGCTCTTTGACACTTAAAAATACTTTCATTAAAGGAAAGGTTATTCTTAGAGTACCAAAGAGATTATAAGCCAGGTGGTGGTGGCGCACGCCTTTAATCCCAGCACTCAGGAGGCAGAGGCAGGCGCATCTCTGTGAGTTCAAGACCAGCTTGGTTCCAGGACAGCCTCCAAAGCCACAGAGAAACCCTGTCTCAAAAAACTTAAAAAAAAAAAAAGAGAGAGAGAGAGAGAGAGAGAGAGAGAGAGAGAGAGAGAGAGATTGAGACTACATCTCATTTTTGTAACTCAGTTTGTCCCAGGCCTACTATGTTCTCAATCTCTAAATTTATAAGCTTATTATATACCTTCGCCAAAGCATTTAAGACAATTCTTCATGTCCAATCTAGGAAGCAGATGATAGCTGATGTTTGTGTAGATGAACTACACATATACACTGCAGGCAAATCAAAACAAATCCATAGTGCTTACTACTGCTTGGATGTTGGTGTTACTTCTGAAGTTTACACTGAAATGTAACCCCAGCACAATGGGATTAAGAAGCAAGGCCATCAGAAGGCCCCAGTGGAACACCCTGTAATCCCTGAGCTGAGTTCCAGTCAGCCTGCACTACACTGAAGACCTCACCTTAAACAACCAAAACTTAAAAAAAAAAAAGCAGTCATGAGAGGACCGCGCCTTGAGAATATTCTTGTTGACAAACAGAAAAGGTACTAAAACCACACGAAATTGCTGATGGCCTTTGTAAGTATGGTAGAAGAGAGCCCCTGGTGATGAGATCATTTACAGTTTAAGTCTACCACACTACTCAATAGCAAGCCTCTACTGACACCAGGGTAAAAAACAGTCCTCGCAGTGACTATTATAACCCGGGGGGGGAGGGGTATGGGCCTACAAAATTAATCCAATACTCATAACTCAGAAAGCAGAGACTTGTGGTTTCAGAAAGGGTACAACAGTGAAGGTGACCACAAGATATTTTAATGATTTCCGACAATCAGGATTTCAAGAAAGTCTCTGTAGTAATACCGTGAAAGTCTGCCCCTAACAATGACTGAATCAACACAGCCCACCTGGAACATTATCAGCCCATACCTCACCAATGGTGTCTGTCACATATTGATCAATGGCATTGGAGATTTCTGCTCTCTTCACCCCGGTTTTAAACTTCATGGAAAGCACTCGTGGATGGTGTCGGAGCCACCACGAGTTTGCCTTATCACCTGCAAGGCGTGTGCAGTGTATCCGAGACTGCTGTCCTGCTCCGATGCCAATAACCTAGGAACACAGACATTTCCTTTAAAAGGACGCCAGTAGAGAAGCGTCCATCATGAGTGGCTTTGCTGGCTCCTCAGAGACCCTGTCCAAGGACCAGTGGCCACAGCTTGTTACGATTTAGTGACTATGAAAGAACGAAGAATCTTAACAGTTGGCATCTATGAAAACCCTGAAAGGCGGGGGCTGGAGAGATGGCTCAGCAGAACCACAGGATGCTCTTCCAGAGAGCCAGGGTTCAATTCAGCATCCACATGGCAGCTCTCAACAGTCTGTAATTCCAGTTCCAGGGGACACAACACCTTCCCAAAGACATATATACGGGCAAAACCCCAATGCATACAAAATAAAAACAAATACTTTTTAAAAAATTGGGGGGTCATCCGCCTTGTCTGCAGCAGTGGCCACAAACCACATAATTTGTAAAAAAATATGTACATTTAAAACTGGTACACTGTGTATGTTCAAATTATTCTTTAATAATAACCCAAGCACTAACAAGGCAGAGGCAGGAGGAACTCTGGGAGTCCAGGAAGCTCAACAAGCTCAGGTTGACCCCGAGCCTTGACGCCCTTTGAACAAATTCTTAAAAACACAACATACAGAGGTGAGGGTGCGTACACAAGCCCAGGACAGACACTCAAAAGGCTACAAAGACTAAATAAAAGGCTACGTAAGAAACATGTCCCTTGTCCATGGAAATATCAGCAAGGGGTGGGTGTTGAGTGAAGAAACCAGTTTCACGAATCCAAAATGAGCCAGCTCACTCCAAGCAAGAGTCAATGTAACCAACTTAATACTTGGCTCTGGCTTAGTACTTGGCTGCTTACTTCGTTCTCATTAGTTTCCCGTCCACCAAAGTATTGAGTAAATACTGACAAACCAGGAAGAGAAACTTGGCAAGTCTTCTCTTTCAAGCGCCCAGTACTTGAGGCGGATGGGTTTTGAATACTGTGAAACAGTGTGGTTACCTGTCCATCCTTGGCGTAGCACACAGAGTTGGACTGAGTGTACTTGACAGCGACAGTGGCTACAATGAGGTCTCTGAGGGCAGACTCCGGCAGCTGAAACATACAGGATGCTTTAAGCTATGGATACACCACCGTGACAGACCTGTGAGGCAGTCAGGGCCCTCAATGACAGCCAGATGAACGAGTCATGCTGCACGCTTTACTGAAGACTGAAACACATCAGCACATCTGTGACTAATGTAGTACAGTGTCCCGTGTGTCACCCTCGAACTAATGGCAACTGTTCAGCAACAAGATGTGAAATACTGCATTTATCTTAAAATGACTATTTTTTGACCAGAATATCCTTAATATCTGAGGATATAAGATTCAGATTCAGAAATAATACTGAGATTAAATTTCAATACACTACTGTGATGTACACACAATCAATGCTGTTTTTGGAAGTCAAATGGTACCATTTTTTGCCTTGCTGAGAACATTTTAAGAAGCTATTTAAAAATATTCTACAAATTCTAAGCCAACATTCAGCAACAAGTCTGTAATAGCCCCAAATGACACTTCCTTTGATACAAATTAGAAAAGAGGATAATGTGCAAGCTAAGTAGATACCAAAAGAAAAGATACATGATGCCTGCTATTCCAGCAATCAGTACCCAGAGGCTGATGCAGGAGGAGCAGCCTAGACTACACAATAAGAGAAAGAAAATGAAGTTATGTTGCTTATGGAAAAAGAGATGTAACTGAGGATTGTGGAAATATTTTGTTTGTGCTCTAATGCATAAAGCTTGCCTGAAGATCAGAGGGTAGAGCTAGCCACTACTTAGCCATAGAAGCCAGGCAGTGGTGGCACATACCTTTAATTCCAGTACTTGGGAGGTGGAAGTAAGAAGATCAGGAGTTCAAGACTACATTGGGCTACATGAAACTTAACCAGTCTAAGAGACAGGAACTCAGTGCCCCCCCCCTTATGTCTGATGATTTCGTAGAAGTAAGAACTCTAGTGTCTGGCTACTCTGCTTGTCTGTTCTTTCAACATTTACCCCAATATCTGACTAAAGGTTTTTATTATTAAGACCAATTAAAATTAGCACTACAAAGGATAATAACATTCAGTGAATAATTAAGTCATTCTCAGAAACAAACATTCTGTTTATGGTCCCTAGATTTATTGATCTTTAAAATCATGTACAGCGTGTAGAATGTGAAAGAAAAACGGTCTAGGGGAACAAAGAGGACTAAACAGAGTAGGACTAAAAGGGGGTGGGACATGGCCAGCATACAACACATACTGTGTGAAATGTCCTTATAATACGCATTGCCATATGCAATCAATACATGCAATGAAAACTTAAAACTTTAAAAACAAAAAGTTACGTTTGGCTTCATCCAAATTAAGCTTCTACTCTGTAAAAGAGGAATGGAATAGAGTATAGGAGACCATGGCAACTGCATGTGAACCTACACTTCTTAAATCTCAAAATTCAAAGTTTAGTTTTAAGAGTTTTTTTTTAAAAGAACTTAAGACATTAATATATCCTTCATCTTTTGTTTGAGCCAACATGTATAATCAGACTCTACAGAAAGCTAACTTCTTAGAAGTCACCTTCAAATATAAGCCCTGGCATTTCCAGTTAGATCAAAGGGTATGAGAATGCCTGTGGGGGTGGAAGGAAAGTCAGCCAGCTGAAGCACTATTTCTAAGAAGGGATAAGACTTCCTGTGGCCAGCTTGCCCTGCCCAGCAATCAAGACCAGCCTGTCTCAGATCTCCTCTATCTTCCACTCTTGCTACAATGCCCTGTTGGTGAAGAGACCAGTCTCCCTCCAGAAGCAGAGAGAAGCAGGTCCCCAAGCTAATGTTGATGGGCACAGATCCAGGGAAAAAGCTACACACATGCACACCTCTCATCCATTTCCCTAGTTTGCAACTTTAGACAAACTCTGTCCCAAGTCTGTAAGTTTTACAATACAGAGAACAGTTCTCTCCCAAAACGTACAGGGACTGAGTGGAATACTGCATGTAAGCAATTCTTCCCAGGTCATCATCCTAAGAAGAGACCTCTTCTACGGGGTGACCAAAAGAAAAAAAAACAAACTTGTTCACATTAAAAATAATTATCAAGTACTGAAAAGGGAAACAACCTAAATACCCATCATGGTACAGATCTCTATACTTGGGTGGTCATGTGGTTTTTCACTAATGCAAAACAACATTCATCAGTACAGAAAAACATCTGTAACCTAATATACGCAGCTGCAGCTGTATGACTGAAGACACATTTCTATGTATGTACATATACAGATAAGCTTCTAATGTGTCAGGCTTACCTGACAACTCGAAGATGAGCTAGCTGCTTCTACATCTACCAATTTCAAATATGGACCTTAATGAATGATATGCTTATATGTACTAAAGATAGACATGTTATTATCATTCAGTTATTTTCAAACTTACATTTTTATTCTTGGTGACAATATTGCTAAATAGCGACTTGTCAATGACACCATTATTTCTCTTCTGGCTTAAACGAAGACCAAAGAGTGTTCGAACTTCATTTTCATCCGGTTTGTAGGACTGGTCCATCTAGGACACAAATTTTAAAAGTTACAAGCATTACATCTATAGTCTCAAATTTTCTATAAAAATTTTCATTCTGGCTGGGCATGGTGGTGTATGCCTCTAATCCCAGTACCTGGGAGGATGGGGCAGGAAGACAACAGGTTATTAGAGACCAGCCTGAGTTACACAGCCAAACCATGTCTCAGAAAACAGAACCAAATACTAGCAAAAGAAAGACTTTACTGTTAAGTTACACCCAATCTCCTAACATGAAGGTGCACGATGATGTCATTTAGTATGGATATAATTAGTACAATGGCCAGGCACTAAAGTCACCATGGGCACACTGTTTTGTTCATCACAAGTTACCACCCTTCAGTTCCTTTCTTGGATCAGCATATAAAACAGACTGCCAGAACAGGCTAAGGCACAAAATTGACATCCTAAAAATATGTTACAGAAATTTAGCTAATAGTTGAATTACAAGTTAAAAATGGGCTCTGGCCTACTGGTATATGTGGGCTACTCTAGCTACCTGGGAGGGCTGACTTGGGAGAAGTAGAGGTCCAAGGCCTGTCTCGGTTACAAAGTGAGTTAGCTCAAGTCTAGCCTGGGCAACTTGGTGAGACTTTGTCTTGTAATAAGTAACAGAAAAAGGGTCGGGGAGTTTGCTCAGTGATAGAGTTTCTGTCTAACATGCACAAGGTTTCCCAGCTCAATTCCCAGCACAGCAAAAATAAATGCAAAAATAACATAAAATGGGAAAAAACTAGAACTATGGCTCGCATGTGAAAAACAGTCCCATGTGAAGAGGGTCTCTCTGTGAATGTGAGAAGCCTCTTTCATCCACCTGCAAAGACGGAAAGTTCAAAAACACCATGCCCATGAGGACATTAAGGTTGCTGCCCACTTTCTATAGGGGCAGCACAAAGTCTCCGACACACACAGCCTGTGGCCCAGTCTACTTGTCTTGGGACCTAGGAAAACCATATAAAGACATGAGACAACTTGCCAGGATGTGAAGCAGGGTACATGAGGAAGAAACAAAGGAAGTGCAGATGAGAACACTGGAGGGATGTGCTCTACTTCTGGAAGGACAAAGCAGAAATCCAGAGTAGTCACTTAAAAGAGTAACAGTGGCAGAAGACAAGGCTGGGGGCTTTCTACCACGTAACAGTGAAGAAGACGGCATGTAAATAAAACTTAGAAAGAAAAGAAGCAAAGGATCTTAGACCCCACAAACCACCTGTATAAAACAATAATAAGATTAAGAATAAAGGAGTCTGGTAGGGTGTGATGGCACATGCCTTTAATCGCAGCACTGGGGGGCAGAAGCAGGTGGTATTTCTGAGTTCTCGGCCAGCCAAAGGCTACAGAGTGAGACCCTGTTTCATAAACAAACAATAAGAGTAGAGGAGTCTGATGCTGCTCTAAGTGCCTAATCCCAGCACTTGGAGAGCTGTGAGTCAGAGACCATCGTGAGCTACACAGTACAACCCTGTCTCAGCAAGAAAGAAGACAAGGTTAGAGACAAGCACACTAAAGAGCTGAAAGCCACCTCTGTAAAAAGAGGTACACAGGGAAAAAGCACAAAATGAAACGGAAGACTAAATTACTATCTAATGTAGGAACTGCTCTGACCTGAAGAACACAGTAGTTTCCATTTTTCTTTTTAGAAAGTATTTTCAAGGCTTCTTCTTCATATCCTGGGGCAACAATACCATCCGACACCTGTAAATACATTAGATGTAATTCTTATTTTTAGAAATCAGAGAATAACTCTGTAAAATATAGCAATAATTAGCTGTCCTAAGTAATGTACCAATACTATCAACAGAATTAATTCTTTATGGCTGACTATACTTTGCAAGCTATCCTATCATATTTTCTGTTAGTTTTAACTAAGAACAAATGGATGATTCACTTTAATATACACATAAGCCTCGGGGAAGAAAAACTCATTAAAAAAAATTTTTTGAAACAGGATTTCTTTGTAACTTTTGAGCCTGCCTGTAACGTGCTCTGTAAACCAGGCTGGTCTCAAACTCACAAAGGTCTGCCTGCTTCAGTCTCCTGAGTGCTGGGATTAAAGGCATGTGCCACCACCACCTGGTGGAAACCACATTCTTATGCTAGTCTCTTCATGGAGTGGGCTTGAGGCCTGCACTAGAGGAATCACTCCAGCCTGGCGCAAGAAGCACAACGCATGGGGATGAGATCCCAGACGTTTGTCATCTTGCAACTCAGAGACAAAGGTGTCTCAGTGTAGGCATGACCTGTGAGTGGCATGCCTCAAAGCCACAGGATTCCCTAAAGTAACTAAACACCATGTACATACAGTCACCCCCACCCCTCCTGACCACTGTCTGATTTCCTCTCTGAGCTGCCTCTTCTAGTTCTGCTTCCCAGCACTAATGGTGGGATGCAAACCTGGTGCTCAGTGATGACGGCTAGTTCATCGAGTAGCTTCTACGTTCCTCTGCCCTAGTCATTCAGATCTCTATGCGTTTATAGCAAGGTCCATTATTATTTCCTCACCGTGCAAGACGGTGCTACCATACACCTTTAATTCCAGCACTTGGGAGGCAGAGGCTAGCCTGTGAGTTCTAGGCTAGCCTGGTCTACAGATCGCCAAGAATGTTACGCAGAGAAACCCTGTCTCGAACTTGGGAAAAACAAAAGTTTAAGGAGCTGGCACAAACAACCACTGTCCTACAGTAATGAAGCCTAGAAACAAGTTATTCAGTTACATCTGGATCAAAGTACCCGAACCTCTACTCACTTCTCTGGAGATAATTTTTGCAGTTGGGACATCACAAACATCAGATAATGCAATAAAATCACCGAATGAAGACATCCTATCAGCCCCTGAAAGTGAAAGTTAAGCCATAAAGTCTCCTTGCATAGAAAAATCCATGTGATCAAATCCAATATTTCCTCTCTGATCCCTTTCTGGTTTCATAAACATGTTGGGGTGTGGCATGTGCCTCCCCAAACTCTGCTACTATGATGTGGGCATACTATATATGTGATGTGGAAACCAAAGAATATAGTTTTTCTAAAGCTTACTTTATTACCTGGAGTTAATATATCAGTCAAGTAACTGGTGAGAAGGTAGTCATTAATTTTACCTTCTAAATTAGCACTTAGCTGTAGGTCAGCATCAGCTACTGAAGGAGGCTAGAGGTCTTCATCCACACAGACTGTGTATACAGAAGCAGGAAGCGGCAGGCCGGAGACCTTAGCATTAGGTTACAGTTGCTGCCTCTGGCTGTAACTGATAACTGTACCAGGTTTCTCAAAATACCTCAGGAACTAGTTAGTCATTACAACCAAGAATCTGGTATTTCTGAGTACGTAAAATGCAAGTCAAACCAAACTTAGTGATTTTAGTAGCCATAGAATTTTTTTCCTAATAAAAATGTATTCAAAATCTATTCTTAAAATGTATCAATCTCATTGTTTCCATTTACTACATTAAAATACTACATGCACTTCTGTACATATACTCATCTTAAGTATTAAATAAAAACCATAAAAGACAATTTAAATCCTAGAATGTAAGCCACAGGTAACACTCTTTGATTCTATTATTGCTTTCTCCTCTAACCGACAAGTCTCTCTTCTGACCTCTTGCTCTTGCATATGCAGTGGCCATAGGTGTGAGAGTTGGGTAGAGGTCGTAGACCATGCAGACCCTGGCCTCGTCTTCACTGAGTGGAATTCCAACAGCAGCACCTGGCAAGGAAAGCAGAAAGTAGGGCAGCAATGGCGGCAGGTAGGGAGAGCACCGAACGGGCACCCCCATCCCACCAAGGTAAAGCACTCACTGACTGGGCTCCCCTTTGCTAGCGTGCATACACACAATTTTTAAAAAAGCCATAAAATAACCTAAAGCTTCAAATTGCTACTTTTCAAATTTGACATCAAAATATTTTTTTTAAAGGGCCAGAGGTGTATCTTAGTGGTAAAACACATGCAAGGACGGGGGGTTCAAATCCCAGAACCACAAAATAAACGAAGAAAGCAAAACAAATTTTAAAAATTCCCATTTTTCAAGGACCTAGCCTGTATTTTTCAAACACCTATGCAGCATATTTTCCAGTACTTGTGCCAACTTAAACAAAAACTACTCAGTGAGGTAAGTAAGACCCAACAAACAATGCAGGGGGCAGGAGCACTTTCTCTTTGGCCTCTGGAAGCAGAGCCCCAAAGCCTGACACTGGCACGCGCAGGAAGCCAGACCACTGCATTTCTGACTCTGCTTAGTGTCCAAAAACAGTTATTTCTTCCTCACTCGTTTCACTTTAGCACCCAATAAATGTGAGGAACAATTATGTGCTCGAGACTGCCAGCAGACCTTGTGACATTATGGATAGCCAAATTATAGAATTAAGGACTTGAAGGTAGAAGCAAAGGAATATGTCATTCAATAAAAATGGGAGCGGAATGGTACAAGAGCAGTCTCTATGTTTACTAAGGAATACTTTCGACACAGAAAAGCAGTTAGCTGGTTCATTACATTATACCACTTCCTTTTCACTTCTAAACTTTCAGAATGACGCTGCAAGAGCCAATAGAGCAATGTCTCTATCTTCAAATAATGTCATATAATTACGTGTATACTTCTAAGTTGCACATAACTGTACCGACACTATTGTCAAGACTTGCCAGAAGTGGTCTACAATGTCCCAGATTATATAACTGGCATCAAAACTTACCAATAATGGAGAAAATTGGAGAGAAAACAAAACAAAAACCCAAGCACTCCAGGGCATTCTGGAGTAGTGCCTCACCTGCCGGGCTGACGTGTTTGAAAGATGCCGCAGCCGGGATGTCCACTGCTTCCCTGAGCTCCTTCACCAGCTGCCAGGCGTTCAGAGCGTCACACAAGTTTATGAATCCAGGGGCTCCATTGAGAACTACACACAGAAACACACACACACATTAAACAGGAAGGTTCAATAAGATCACATATAATGCACATTCCTCCAAAAAAAACGTCTAGGCTACACAACTTGCATGTGATTTCAGTCAAAAGGCTGAGAACTGAGAGTCTACAAAAAGTAATCAAAGGCTGGGGGCAGAGACAGAGGCAGGCGGATCTCTGGGAGTTTGAGGCCAGCCTGGTCTACATAGTGAGTTCAAGGACAGCCAGGGTTACATAGTGTGACGCTGTCTCAAGAACCACCCCCAGCCCCTCAAAAGTAAACATGAGGCAAACAGATATCTATAAACAGCAGTAACCCAATTTCAAAAGCAGCAGAGCAACTGCACTTGGGTCATCTTCAGACATGCACCCCCTACCCTACCCCTGCAACTGCACACTAGAAATACAACAGTGAGAGAGACTGGGCAACAATGACAAAACCAGCCATGTACTACATCCCTGTGAATAAGATTAAATATTCATGGAAACTACAGTGACAGTACATATCACAACTCATAAAGCCTTCAACTAAACAACAACAACAACAACAAAAGCCCAAAAAGACCAATAACTATGGTACAAGTTAAAGCGCGTGGGTGCACAAGACTGGCAGAGGCAGTGGTGTTTTCATCTTTCAGAGCCATGCAACAGAAGATGCAGGCCGGACACAGGGGTGCTCGCCTTTAATCCCAGCATTCGCTAGGCAGAGGCAGGCAGATCTCACCAAGTTCAAAGTTAGTCTGGCTTACACAGGAGTTCCATGACAACGCAGGAAGTCAAAACAAACAAACCACAGACTGCAATGCAAGAGCAGCAGAGCAGATCGGTGCATGCGTGGAATCCCAACACTCTCTGGGGATGGGGATGAGGGGAGACTTTGACCTTGTCTCTAAACAAGTTTCCCCAACCAAAAGAAAGCCACAGGATACCCTCACAGAACTTAGCTAACAGGCGTGGAAGAAACAAAGTCACAGCAAGCAATAAACTGTTACATGAGACACCTTACATGAAGGTGCACAGCAGGGAAAGCAGAAGAAAGAGCAGTGAGCTCAGATCCCATCTCCAGCTCCCACCTCTGTCGGTAGCTGAGTGAGTGTGAGGGAACGCATGCGTCAACACTGCTCAGAGTACTAATTCCCCTTCACACACCATCGTCTCAGAGGTGCCAGTAACTGCTTAGACAACAGAGAGATCTACAGAGAAACGTTTCCAGTTGCTTCATCTATTCACAGATGAAACAGGCACCACCTCAGTTCCGGCCAGAAGAAAGCAGTCACACCAAAGGCAGCCATTGTACTGCATGCCTACAACCGCAGCACTCAGGAGACAGAGGCAGGAGCGCCACACGAGCTTGAGGCCAGCCTGGTGAGTTCCAGGCTAGCCAGGAATACATAACGAGATGTCTCAAAACCAGAGACAAACCAGACAAAACACAAAAGTCAAATAAACACACAAGTCCATCTTTATTCTTTGCTTCAGCTTTGTTCTAGACAGGCATGTACATTTTAATTATACCACTGCCAAATATTCAAACCACATGAAAAGGCAAACTACTTTTTTTCCTGGTGTAAAAATAAGTATGTGTTTGGGAGAAATCCTGTGAATGAATCTCTTGCAAGAAGCTGCTGTTTACATGCCTGGGACCTCCCTGCCATGAATACAAATAATAGTTCTACATTCTGAAAGAATGAAATAGCCATACAAACACATAAGGAACAATGAACTCACACAGCATAGAAGAAAACCATTTTTCAGTGCTGAGTGGAATACAGAGCTTCTCAGAGTACAGGTGACACTCCGGCCCTGGAAATTCTTATGAAAATGCATAAAGACTCCAAATGCAATACAGGTTTCTGCTTCAGGGGCTGTCACCCCAACGGGAGAACCAGTAAAGTTGGATGAGGTGACAAAAAGGGTCAGCCACTCTGGTGTGAGGTGCTACGACCTGAAAAACTGCAGCCAGGACCATGAAGAGCAGAGAGAGGGGAGGAAGCCTGAGTGCAGGGGTCTGTCAATACCAAGACCTAGAGTAGAGGCTGCGCTGTGCTGGGAACAGAGCTAAAGGGGCGGTGGGGAAACTCAGGAAGCAGAACTGAGGCAGCAGGAAGGAAGGCATCGCCTGATGCACACTGCTAAGACTACTTGCTCTACAGAACCGGAAGGTCCAGGAAGGAAGCAAAACAGACAGCACAGTCTGGGAGACTCTGGGGTGACTGAGGGACTTAGGGATCATTAGGTATAAGATGTGGCTGTGGCAGAGCAGTGATAGAACCTGTCCCTCCCTGGAGGGCATCTGAAACCCTCAAACCTCCGACCCTGCTCTTTCCAACCCTTCCTGGGCCGCGACAGCAAGAAGCCAACAGGAAAACATGGACTAGTACAGCTAGCCTCAAGAGTGTGAACGAAGCATGTGCTGACTCTCAGCATGTGCTGACCCTAGAGACAGGGCTGGGGCTCCACACCTAGAGTTCTTCTCTTCCCTTTCCCACCGTCCTCCTGCTCAGGGGGAACAAACAGGGCGAAACACCGAAAATCCCTCTATAAGTCTACAAAACAGCACGTAGCTGTTGCCTCCTAAGTAACCCCCCCCCTTTTTTATGGTTTTTCGAGACAGGGTTTCCCTGTATTGTCTTGGAGCCGGTCCTGGAACTTGCTCAGTAGACCAGGCTGGCCTCGAACTCACAGAGATCCCCTGCCTCTGCCTCCCAAGTGCTGGGATTAAAGGCGTGCGCCACCAATGCCCGGCTCCTAGGTAAAACTCTTATTTGGGACACAGGACTTTAAAAAGGAGGTGAAACAGTCCACCCTACAGCAAAGGTGGTTAAGTGCAGGAAGTTCCTGAAACTGACTAGATTTACCAGGTACCTAAAGAAGCTGTAGGGTCTACTGGGAGACTTAGACCAATTGAGCTGCCTGGAAAGGACACTCTCCAACCTGTTGAGCTGCCTGCAGAACCTCTCCAATATTCTTGTAAGTAATCACAGTAAAAACCACTGGTTCACCACACTGGGCTTTGGTGGTATCTGTGGTCTGTTACTGGTCCCTATCTGGAGTCAGTAGACATGTATGTGTTCACATTTCAACTACAAACCCACAGCTCTAATTCTCAGTTCAAAGAATGAGCCATCATTGTCATTTCTTTCTCTTTTAAATTAAAAAAATTATTTACCGTATTGTATGTGCATGTGTGGGGTAAGTACAGACACGAGTATACTGCTCAGAGAACAACTGAACTCCAGTCGCCAGGCTAGTGTAGCAACTGCCCGTGCTCTTCAACCACTGGTCCATCAACACTATGCAACTTCACACTTCTATTCTGGTCCACTACACCTGCCTTCTAGGCCATCAAGGAAATCACTTCTTGTAACATTTGCCAAACACACAGTAGCTCTCGACGCACTGAATACACAGGTTTTCCTACCACCCCCCCTTCACTGCTTCAGCTACCAATTACAGACACGGCACAGGATTGCTCGAGGCCCTTTTGTGGGAAATCCCAACACTGCCACCTGACCTCATGTCTTCCAAAACACAATGTCCCAAAAACTGCATCGCCAACTTGAGCTTTGTTTATCAGCCAGGACCCGTGGTTTGCCAAGCAGTGCAGGACGTTGTGCCACTCCGACACCCGGTGTGAACAGTCCACCTGGTACCTCGATTTTGAAGGGTTACACTACCAAGTAATCTAGTTTATATTCTGAACGGGAGCAACTTCAGAGGAAGCCAGGTGTCTGCACGTACTCCTTATACTTTACCTGTGATGGGAAGCTTGGGCTTCAGCGTATACAGCTGGGCAGGCGTCTGATGGGGGTTCATCCCATACCGCAAGGGCATTTGGGAAATTCCTTTACTGTACTGCTTTCTGAAGTAATCTGAAATCGCTTCATCATATTGTGCAGTATGAGTAAATGCCTACAAAGAGTTGCACTTTGTGAGACATTAAGAACACTTCCCAAGGATGCTTTTAGGAACATAGCCATACCACTGCCGCCCCCCGCCACCCCCTCTCATAACCCTAAATAGCACAACTAACATTTCTGCCTTTGACTCGACAGAATATCCCTAATACTTGATTTCTCTATGTTTAACAAAAGGACAGACTCCCCAAGCAGAGTGTGGAAAGCTGATATATTTAGCAAAACTGATTATGACTTAAACTAGTACGCGGACTACCTGGACATTACTAGACAGAATTACAGAGGTGCACCCCACCTTCAAAGCCAAGTGGCGTCTGGTCTCCAGGGAGGTGTCCTTACTATCAGAGTTCTGCATCTCTGCTGCCACTGCCACATAGTCCTCTGGCTCACACACAACTGTCACTCGAGCATGGTTTTTGGCTGCAGCTCTGAGTAAGGTCACTCCGCCTTTGAAGAACAAATACATATTGCTATCAGTCAATGATGAGTTCTCTGGTCATTGTGCACAATACTTCTACTTTAATTTCTGACTTAAAAAATTAGGGGACATAGCCCACATGAGCCCGTATAATACACAAAATATTTAGTTTATAGTTCACTTTAATATTGTCTAAGTAGTTTATGAAATATTTTCTAAGCCGGATGTGGTGACACACCATCAGAATTTATGCACTTTGGAGACTGAGGCAAGAGGATCAGCAATGTAGCAAATCTCTGTCTCAACATGAAACAATATTGCAAATACTCAACAAGGAAAACAAAAACAAAATGGCAAAGAGAATTCAAGCTCCACCCTTGTGAGGTGTTTATTCAACTTACCAATATCAATTTGCTCAACAGCTGCCTCAACGGTCACATCTGGAGACGCCACGGTCTTCACGAAGGGGTACAGGTTACAGACAACGACTCTGACAACCAAGGAGAAGCAGCAATGACTGTCAAATTATTTTCTTAAAGACTTTGTTTACATGGGTTTGCCCACATGTGTGCATGCTCTCATACGTGCAGTGCCCGTGGAGGCCAAAAGAGGACATTAGAACTAGTCACAAACTGATGTGAGGGGCCATGTGGGCCCTGGAATCCTAACTGGGTCCTCTGTAAGAACAGCAGGTGCTCTTAACCGCTGAGAACAGGTGTCTAGCCCCAACACCTTGAAACTGATAGAAGTTAGAAGTTATATAGGAAAGAGGTCTGGAGGCACTTGCAGAGCATAGCATCAGCACATGCTATCCCCCCCAGACCATCCTGCAAGTCTGATGCTTGCCCAGCCTTAGCCAGCTATTACTTTAAACCATTCAAATTTCAAAAAAAATTTTTTTTGGCTGGGAGTGAGAATAATCCTAACATTCAGAAGATCAACCTGGGCTGCATAGATAAACTCCCACTTCAAAACAAATTTTGTGTTTGTTTTTCCAGACTTCCTCTTTGGCGGCTATCCTGGCTAGCTCTTGTAGACCAGGCTGGTCTTGAATTCACAGAGATCCGCCTGACTCTGCCTCCCTGGTACTGGGATTTATTTTAAAAAGAAATCAAAATTATAAGAGTATAGAAAAATCTCGTTTCACTGGGCGGCAGTGGTGCACGCCTTTAATCCCAGCACTTGGGAGGTAGAGGCAGGCCGATCTTAGTGAATTCAAGGCTAGCCTTGTCTACAAAGCGAGTTCCAGGACAGCCAGGACTGTTACACAGAAAAACCCTGTCTTGAAACACAAAACAAACATTAAAAAAAAATCATTTTAGACTGTGATTTTTACCTAGGACATTCGTTCACATTTACACTATTTTCCCAACAGACTTTGTTCATGAGGAAAACAGTTCAGCATTCAAAGGGTAAAACACTTGTTTTGCCTCCAGGGACGTCATAAGTATGGTATAACATGAAGGTCAAACGCACTGTGGTCCATCCCAGGATCGCAGTAGGAGCCCAGCTGTTGAAAACCAGTATGACGGAAGGAGGAGGACTTCACAGCTCACCAGATGAAGCCTGTCACCCAGATCCCCATCACAAGGAAACTAACAGGCTACTGCTTCTCATGAAAGCTGACACAAAAGCTAACCTGTCAGCCCAACACAAAAAGCAGAATGACCCCGCAGCCAAGCAGGGCAGCATCCCAGCAAGGCAGGGTTAGCTTAGCACCTAAAACTTAACGAGGGGCTAGTAAGATGGTTCAGGAGGTTACAGTGCTTGTGACCAAGAACGATGACTGACTTTGACACCTAGAGCCCACATAGTGGAAGGAGAGAACCAACTCCTGTGAGTTATCTACCCTCAGACTGTCACGAGCCTCTACAGCATGTGTGCACCACAAATAAATTAAGATCTTTAAAAGACATCAATGAACTCAGGATTGTAGAAGTACCTCAACATGACAAAATGTAATTAAAATCTAACATCATGGTTATTGATTATCTTAGAACCAATATTTACCTCCCAAGATTCAGAAATAGGAATATTCACTCTTAACCATTTCTATTCAGTATGTTGCCACATTTTAGCCTAAGGAATGTATAAAGAAAATTAAAGGGAAGGCAGCAGGATTGGGTCCAAGTGAAATGATATTCATACACAGAGAAAACCTAAGCTGTTAAGAAAACCTATCAGCCTTAATAAATGAGTCCAGCAAGGCTGCAGGGCTTATGATCAATATACAGAAATCAATTGTAATAATACATGTTAGCAAACAACAATCGGAACAGGAAATTAAGAAAACAATGCCGTAATGACAGCACAAAAGTGAATCAAATACTGAAGGATAAAATTGCAAAAACGTCAGACACTGAAAAAATACAAAACAATGTTGAAAGGAACTAAAGAAAATTAATGTTTCTCAAAAAGGAAAGAAATTTCACATTCAGGAGCTAGAGGACTTTTTGCTGTATCAGACAATAATCCCCACACCCTATAAAAGTCCCCCTTGCCTCTCCTACAAGTGTTACATGGAAATCCTAAACTTAAGAGAATGTAGGGGTCCCTGAACAGTTCAAATAGAGTGGGAGGACCCATGGCTGTCTACTTCAGATTTTACTGCAGATCTACAGTAGTAATGTGCACTGGCGTAACCACAGAGACCAAGGATGCCTGAACCACATGGAGCAAAGAACAGCCTTCAGCAAATGATGCTGGGACAATGGGACAGTCACAACCGTGTCAAATTAGATCTCTGCCTCATACCTCTGCGTATATAAAAAAGAACTCAACAGAATTGGGTGCAAAATGGCACACCCCCGTAACCCCAGCATTTGTTAGGTTAGGGCAGGAAGGTGGGGAAGCAGAGGCTAGTCTCAACCACACAGTTGTGATTCTGTCTAAATACAAACAAGCAAACCCTAGAACCACAAAATCATAAGCAAAAAAATCGTCAACATAATGAGGTGTGTTAGGTATGACCGCAAAAGCATAAGCTACAAAAGAAAGAAATTGGACATCATCAAAATAATCAAAACATGTGGCGGTTAAATGACACCACAAGAAACAAGCCACAGAACGGGAGAGGGAGAATCATGAGAAATCAGCAACCAAGTGAGGCCGGACACTACCAAATACAGGGGTGTACAGAAGTGGATGGGAGACAAGAATGTTCTAACAATGAATATGGTAGTTTCACAACTTCTTTTGAATATACTTAAGACCATCAGGTTGCATCTTTTCAATAGGTTGAATTATATAATGGGCAAACCACACCTCAATAAAGCTATCGTGGATGTTTAAAGGAAGCAGTACTTCCGTTTGTTTTATGCAGTGAAATTTAAATCTTAACTTTTGAAAAACAAAGACTGAGGCTAAGGGCTTAATTCAGTGGTGGGATGTCTGCTCCAAATGCACGATAAACAACAAAGCAAAGGCTGTTTGTAACTTAAATTACATGGTTTGGAAACATTAACCTGGCAAAATTAAAATGCTCACACAAGTCACATATCATATGGGAGATGCAGGAAAGGGTTTATATAGCGAGGGCAGGAGACAACAGGTTTAGCACTACTTATCTTTGGTCTTTTAACTCACTCAAACTTCAGTTTCAAACGCTTTACCTTATAAGGTTGAAATCAAGTCTGGCCATGTCAGCAGTATCTTCTGGAATATTTCGTGCCAAGATTCCTAATGTAATAAAATGGAGGTACATAATAAGGTCAGAAACACAGTCAGGCTGGGCCTTGGTTGCGCATGCCTTTAATCCCAGCACTGAGGAGGCAGAGGCAGGTCGATCTCAGCTGAGTTCAAGTCCAGCCTGGTCTACAAAGTGAGTTCCAAGACAGGCTCCAAAGCTACACAGAGAAACCCTGTCTCTCCAAAACAAACAAACAAAAGAAACAGTTTATACTGTGTAATCCCATCAGTCATAAGGTAAACCTTCTAGTATTCTTAGTCTGAGACAGGGTCTCACTCTGTAGACAAGGCTAGCCTCAAACTCAGAGATTACTTGCCTCTGCCTTTCCCAAGTGCTGGGATGAAAGGCATGCACCACTACACCAAATACAGGGCTTCACGTTATTGCCCTGGCTGGTCTTAAACTCCTGGGTTCAAATGGCCCTCCCATCAGCCTTCTAAGTATTAGGATTATAGGCCTGTGCAAATGTACCAAACACCTAATATTCTTAAAGAACATTAACATAGTTGAAGAGTTCTGAGACAAAAATTAAGAGTTTTAACAATAGACACAGAAGTACAAGCCTGTACTCTAAGCACCCAGGTCAAAGCAGGAGGATAGCAGGTTTGACACCAAGCTTGGGCTACACAGCAAGACACTGAAACAACAAACCCAACAACAGAACACCTTTTCCCTCAATACTTCAATCTTACCAGGTCTGGTGGCCCACACCTGCTTTCCCAGCACTGAGATAAGAGCTCCAGCCCAGTACGGAATACAGATAATTTAGGCTAGTCTTGCCTCCAAGAGAGACTGTCTCAAAAACCAAAACAAATCTATCTAATACCTTTTTCTTATGCAAAACACATCCCCAAACCCAGAAAACTGAGTTTATTTTTACACAACCTCTGCCACTCTTTCAAGCTACAGATTCATAAGTAATAGCTCATGGCTGATTTTTCAGGCTTTTCTTCCTTTTACTGTTTTTCGATTTATTTTACTTTATGTGCATGACTGATTGGCCTGTACTATCCGTATGTGCACCACCCATGCCTGGTACCCAAGGAAGTCAAAAGAAAGAGCTGGATCCCCTGACACTGGAGTTACATGGGGTTGTGAGCTGGCTGCCACGTTGGTGCCAGGAACTGAATCTGGGTCCCCTGCAAGATCAGTCAGTGCTCTCAACTGCTGAGGCCAAGCCTTCCCTCCAGGGCTACCTTTCTGGCCTTCTGCTATAAGTCTGACTGTAGCTTGCAAGGCAGAAACACAATTCCTGCTGCTGTTACTGTTTAGAGGGTTTGCTGTGCGTGCTAGACACGTGAACAAAAGTCACATTCTTTTTTGGGAGTCAGTTACAGTGTTAACTCTGTTCTGCAGAAATGTACAATCAGACCATAACATGGGAACACTGCAATCCAGATCAGCTAAACTATTATTAGGTCAACAGCAACAGAGGAAAACAATGTGACCTTGTCTTGTAGTGAGGCCAGTTACACTCCAAGGGGATTCTAATGGATGAAGAAAATCAGACGGCAAAGAAACCAACACAGCATTAGTACACTTTATACAAAACTGTTTTTGAGCTTATGACTTACTTGCTTTTTCCTACGTCCTTGGAAGCTATTGACTAAAATATCTGTTATAATCTGAATGTGACAATCACTTACCAGCATGGACAGCAGGATGCAAGGTTTTCACACGTCCCCCCAACATTTCAGGAAACCCCGTTAGCTCTGACACATCTCTGAAAACAGAGTAATAAAACCATTACTAAATTACCATTTTCCAATACTCAAATCATCTCCCACCAAAACTACTAGATTCAGTTCAACAGATCTATTTTTCAAGTCCAACTTACAAAAGTATATCAAACCATTATTTTTTTCACCATGCTAGACTTGTAAAATTTTATTCATTACAAAAAAAAAAGGTTATGCTTTCTGAATGAAATGTTTTAGAGAATCAATTAGGTGTTAAAGCAGTGACTTTACAATTTCTAGAGAAAGTCACCAGGCATTGGTGGCGCATGCTTTTAATTCCAGCACTCTGGAGGCAGAGGCAGGAGGATCTCTGTGAGTTTGAAGTCAGCCTGGTCTACAGAGAAAGTATGTCATTATCTTTAATCAAGATAATCATGCCTTTAATCTCTGCACTAGGGAAGCAGGGGCATGTGGATCTCTGTGAGTTCAAGGCCAGCCTGATCTTCAGAGCTAGTTTCACGAGAGCCAAGGCTATAACACAGAGAAATCCCATTTCAAAAAACAAAAAAGAAAAGAAGGAAATTCAACTGAATCATTTATAGAGAATTTAACAACAGCAAGAAAAAAAAAGATTAAAAATATCTTTGGCCTAGAAGTGTAGCTTGGTGTAGAGTTTGCTTCCAATGCACTAGGACCTACAGAAACAAAACAAAACCACCCAGAAACCAGAAAAACTAAATTTACAAGAGCTGGGAAATTACTTGGTTGTATAGCATTTGCTTGACTATATGGGACCCTGGATTCAATTCTCAGTACTATGCATAGGGGGTGGGGAATTTAGTGACTCATGGGATGGGGAAGACCTTCTCTGGACTTGGTCACACACACCTGAAATTCCAGGCCTCAGAAGGCTAAAGTCATAGGACCTGGACTTCTAGGTCATTCGGGGCTACATTGTGAGCCAGTTAAACTGGAGTTCCTGGTTCATTAAGAGACTCTGAAAAAGGTACATGCACCTGCCTCAGAGCCTGACAATCTCAATTCAATCCCTGGGCTCCACGAGGCGGGAGAGAACCAACTTCTGCACGTTGTCCTCTCCCCTGCCTACCTGCACGAACAGTATGTCACTAAAATCATAATATAAAATATAAAACCTTGCTTCCAAGTCTGTATGTAGAGAATGCAATTAGCTTCTCTTGCACCCACTAATGACGATCTCATTGGTTTGCTGCATAAGGCAATGGTCAACTTCTGGAGAAAATCTTGACCTCTTAGCTAACTGCACCATGGCCTTGGACAAGCTACTTTTTTGTGGCTCTGTTTCAAATATGTACCTATCTAATACGGACCATCAAGAAAAGATGTTAGAACAACTTGTGAACTAATAATGGAACAAGCCCCCCACTTGTCCACATTCCACTCAGTGAACTTGACTAAGTCAGTCTCTAAATAAATCACTTAGGGGACACACACACACACACACACACACACACACACACACACACACTCACTCTTTGCAGGAAAAGACACTTTCATTCTCAATTTTTAAAAGATAATCTACAAGAAAAGATGTTAGAACAACTTGTGAACTAATAATGGAACAAGCCCCCCACTTGTCCACATTCCACTCAGTGAACTGGACTAAGTCAGTCTCTAAATAAATCACTTAGGGGACACACACACACACACACAAACTCACTCTTTGCAGGAAAAGACACTTTCATTCTCAATTTTTAAAAGATAATCTACAAGAAAAGATGTTAGAACAACTTGTGAACTAATAATGGAACAAGCCCCCCACTTGTCCACATTCCACTCAGTGAACTTGACTAAGTCAGTCTCTAAATAAATCACTTAGGACACACACACACACACACACACACACAGACACACACACACACACAAACTCACTCTTTGCAGGAAAAGACACCTTCATTCTCAATTTTTAAAAGATAATCTACAATCCAACACTCACTCAAGGAGGCTGAAGCAGGAGGATCACAAGTTCAAGGCCCTAAATTTAAATTTGGTTCTAAATTTAAAGTTTCTAAATTAAGTTGGGCAGTGGTGGAGCACACCTTTAATCCCACCACTCCTGAGGTAGAGAAACTATCTACAGCCTGGTCTACAGAGCAGTTCCAAGACAGGCTCCAAAAAGCTATAGAGGAACCCTGCCTCAGGAAAAAAAAAAAAAAAGCTTTAAAAGATGGGTTAGGGATATGGGCTCAGCAGCTGACTGGGCAAGACACTGGAGTCAACCCTCAGTACTACCAGAAGAGTAAGAATCAAAACGCTGCTGGTATAATGGGAGCAAGCAGGGATTGGGCAGCAGCATGGAAATATGAATGACCATCTGATCAACATTTTAAACTGGGTGATACACGATGTAAGAACGCCTTATATTTCAGTTTGAAATGCAACAGCAACAATGGTGGACACCAAGTTGGCCCACAGGACTCAACTGCACCTCACAGAGCCTAACCGTCTTGCTATCCTTGATACTCCTGAGTTCTCATGGGAGTCACCAGAGCAAAAAACGATTCTAACGAAAATATCTTCTTAATAAGTCAAGGCAACTCTTGTCAATCACCCTTCCCACTGTCCGGTCAGGTGATGAGCAGCTTGTGAGCCAGCCAATGACTTGTACTTTCACAGAGATGCTAACTGAAGAGGTAGATGTACATCTTCTCTTCATGCTGTTAAAGCCAGGCCTTGGAAACTTAGAATCTGTGTTTGCTCTGCCTAACAAATGGCCCGCCTAAATTAATGTTTGCAGACAGTGGCTGAGTGCTAGGGTTCTGAAAGTCAAATCTCTCAAGTTCTGACCCAACTTCTGGCCCTTACTGTTTGTTATGCTGTTACCTGGGAGTTTCCTCTTCCACAAATGATTAGGGCTGTAGGGCCTCACAGCGTGATTGGGAGTAGGTTATTTTTCTCACAGTGCCAGGATTACATCTCTTCCGGGTTAAACGTGGTCACAACCTTTTTTTCTCCACGGACTTACCGTTAACACTACCTACTGCCTTACCTGACTGCCAGGCCAGCATCCCTGAGCGCTTTCGCCGTGCCTCCGGAAGCAACTAGACTCAAACCAAGAGATGCGAGGTCTCTGGCAAATTCCACTAGGCCGGTTTTGTCAGACACACTGAACAGAGCTGAAACAGAAGACATTTCTCATTATTCGCGGGCTTCTGCACGCGTCCTCCCGGATCTGGGGGAGGGGACATGCGACTGTAGGCCCAACACAGTCTGCAGGCCCGGCCCCGGGGCTTCCCCAGCTCGGCCAGAGCGTGCAGCACGGGCGGGTGGCGGGGTTGGGGCAGGCAAAACCGGGCCATGCTCCGCGAGGGCCTCACCGAGCTGGCCGGGAGCCATGGCTGCAGCGCAGGGTCGCGGAGAAGGAAGACGGCAGGCCACGTGCGATCGCAGGGAAGCCCGACCCCGCGGTTCAGGAAGCGGTGGGCGGGCCGTGCTGACCCCCACGTAACCCGAGGCCCCGCCCCGCCCCGCCCCGCCCCGCCCCGCGAAGCTGCAGCCTGGAGCGGGAGGCGCCGCTGGGCGGGGCTGCAGTTCATTTTGAGCGGGGAACGTGCACCCGCGGGCTTCCGGCTCCGAACTCAGATCTGGGCGTGGACGCCCGCGCTTCGCGGGTTTTTTTTGGGGGGGGGGGTGCGGCCGAGGCCCGAGCACCGATTCTGGGAAACTAACTATAGAAATAGACAGTTCCCAGTTGGGGGCGAAGTCAGAATTTGCGCAGCCTTCTACCATGCTCCCCTCTTTTACAGGTTTGTGGAACAAGCATGAGACCTACAGATCAGTTGAGAGCCCAAAAGAAGTGAAATTGACCATCACTTGAGGTTTTCGTACCATATTATAAAATGGCCTGGAGTCTACATCAAGATCACCATCTTGCAAATCTGTAAAATGATCTTTTCCTTCAAGCTTGGCTGAGAAGAGTGGTAATAATTAAAAGTTTGCAATTTGAACACATAAGCTTCTTTTTTTTGTTTGTTTGTTTGTTTTTCGAGACTGGGTTTCTCTGTGGCTTTGGAAGCTGTCCTGGAACTAGCTCGTGTAGACCAGGCTGGCCTCGAACTCACAGAGATCTGCCTGCCTCTGCCTCCAGAGTTCTGGGATTAAAGGTGTGCGCCACCAACGCCCGGCCATAAGCTTCTTTTTAAGTGACACCTTTCACACAAAATAAGCACATCTTGCTGTGCACACAGCCCTATTTTTTAATGTTAATATTTTAATACTATTAATTTTATTTTAATCATATTTTTATTTTTAATATCTTAATACAATTTGACAAAAGAATCTACAATTCTACAAAAGAACCCCAAATGCTACAAATCTATTAAAAGCCTAGCTTTTTATTTCCAGTCTAGGCTTACCATCTGTTCAAAGTCCATTTTCCTGTTACCTGGATGCTACTTATTTCTGCTTCTCATTTTTCCCTCTATAATAGTCCAATCTCTTTTTACTCTGAAGGAACCAGATCCTCATCCAGCCCCTTGCTTTGGCAGCCATGACAGGCTGCAGAAAAGACCCAGCACAAAGCCTCCTGACTCAGCTACAAGTGCTGCCCTTATGACCTCAGGTCCAATTCTCCCACCACCTCAGGTGTTGCTGGGGGGTGGGGTGAGGGAGGCATCTCTCTCTTGCCCAGAAATGGCCATTTTTATAAAGAATCTCTAGAAATGTAACATTCTATCTCTCCATAATAGTGATGTTTGCAGATGCAGCTTCTAGTTTACAGTGGTGTAGTTCTAGAATCTTCCAAACTACTTTCTTGTTCTAACTCGATTGCCAACTTTCTGTTTCCAAACAGTTCCCAGACCTCAAGGAAAATGCTTGCATTTCTTAATAAGTATTAGTAGGTTAACCTTCTCAACTCACTTTTTCTACCAAAAGTGGTTTTGTGGAAAAATACCTAGTGAATTGCTTCTTAAAACAGATGTTCCCATTGGGGTGCACAAACCCTTAGTTGTAGTGAACCCAACGAGAATCAGCTTCAGTAGTCCTTAGCAGCTGCCAGAAAAGACTAGATTTGGGAATGGGACAGAAACCAATTGTAGTACATTCAAGATTGGAAAGACACATAGGAAACTTTCCATATGTGTTAATGTGACTTTAGGATCCTCAAACTTCCTTTGGGTGGGGTAAAAAATAAACAAGATATGAATGTATAGGCATTATGGAATTTACCTATTTTTATTGTCAGTCAGTCTGGAATAGCAGCACTAGTGATTGATTAGCTCTTCATGGTGATGGATTTCTCACTTTCAGGATGCTAGCTTGCTTTCAGTTGGCAGCTCAAGGACATAATTGTAAGCTCAGAAACATATCCAAGTGGTCAGCTATGTCAAGAGAATGGACGGAGAAGGTACACTTGTACATTATTGTATTTGCCAGTCAGTTCACAATTTGTTCATTCAGCATTGTAAGAAAGGCAAGGAAGATTCCCTGAAAGAAGTGATTTGTCCAAGGTGATGAAACAACTAAGAACAAAACTCAACCTTTTTCTTTCTGCTACTAACAAATGAAACTACCAGCAAGTGTGTATTCTAAAACTATGAGAGAATTAAACTAATCATAGTAAATAGCTTTAAATAAATGGAATGTCTTAGCTGGGCGGTGGTGGCGCACGCCTTTAATCCCAGCACTCGGGAGGCAGAGGCAGGCGGATCTCTGTAAGTTCGAGACCAGCCTGGACTACCAAGCGAGTTCCAGGACAGCCTCCAAAACAATACAGAGAAACCCTGTCTCGAAAAACCAAAAAAAAAAAAAAAAGGAATGTCTTACTCTAGTATCAGGGGTCTGAGTTAATCCAGTTTAATACCTTGTTTTCTTATTTTCACTGCTCCAGGGTATGCGTCTGTACTTTCCTCCCTGGGCAGCCAATCATGTCATAGTTTTTTTTTTTTTTGTCATCAAGTCAGGCAGATAAGGCTCAATAAATATTTATCAAATTGAACACACACACACACACACAGAGAGGGGGGGGAGAATGTCTAATTTCTAAGCATTATTTATTTCCTTTTACTGTTTATTCTTTCTAGGTTCTATAGAAATCAAAAGTGATCGGCCAAGACAGTTTCCTGTACTGCCCATGAACCTCAACATTTAAGGTTGTAAATATATCCTGAAGACACTGTGATGATCCTAACATATCTTTCTTAGAAATGTGAGAGATGCTCATAGGTCAGAAAAACAAAACTCTTGATTCTGGTTAACAGATGTTTGAAGGAGTTGTTGAGCCCAGGTTCTGACCCCCCCCCCCTGCCATCAAGGCCTGAGGCAGGTGGGAAAGCTGGTCCTGAGGTCATAAGAGAGGGACATCTAGCCAGCAGTGGTGGCACATACCTTAAGTCCTAGTATTCAGGAAGGAGAGGAAGGCAGATCTCTGAGTTCAAGGCCAGCCTGGTTTATTATGGGACAGGCTCCAAAGATACACAGAGAAACTCTGTCTCAAAAAAAAAAAAAAAAAAAAAAAAAGGGGGGCAGGGGGAGCTAGCCCTGTGCCTCATCTGCTACAGCACTCAGGAGAGTGACCCCTACCTCAGACTTGGGTAACACAGTAAAGCAGGTACTGAAGGTGTAGGTGTGGGAAATCCAACCCCAGGACATGAAAGCAGGTGAACTGGCCCCGCCCCTTGCTCTGTCATCACTGCAAGGGGTGAACTCCACAAGGCAATGCAGAAGAGCTCACCCTGATGGTGAGGACAAGAGAGAGCTGGTGGGCTGACCAACCCTGCAACTACTGGCCCAGAAGCAAGGCTATGAGCTGGCCCACTCCAACATCTACCCCACCTGTGAGCTGCTGGAGCACGTGAAAGAACCAGTCCTGTGGATCCATAGCTGCAGGATCTCCGCAACACAGGGCAACAGCAGGATAACCAAGGGGAGTTCCAGTGAGCGCCAGAATCAATAGTGTAGCAGAAACCAGAGGCCTCAAGACAGACCATTGACTCTTTGCAAGTAAAGAGAAATGGACAAAAAGGTTTACTGTGCGACTCACTAAGTCACACCTCAGTTTTTTCTCTTGAATTTTATTGAGGGGGGCTGCAAGGACAGAGTGTGGGTATGCAGGGAGGGGAAATGAATAGGATCAAGATACATGTTGTGAGAGACACGAAGAATAAAAAGAAAGGTTTTTTGGTTTTGGTTTTGGTTTTTGGTTTTTCGAGACAGGGTGTCTCTGTATTGTTTTGGAGGCCGTCCTGAACTCACTCTGTAGACCAGGATGGCCTCAAACTCACAGAGATCCGCCTGCCTCTGCCTCCCAGGTGCTAGGATTAAAGGCGTGCACCACCAACGCCCGACTGTGTTTTTTTTAAAGGCCAATTCCTTGAATCTTTACATCTGACCTAACTTTCTTTCTTTTTTTTTTTTTTTTTTGTTGTTGTTGTTCGAGACAAGGTTTCTCTGTATTGTTTTGGAAGCTGTCCTGGAACTCGGTCTGTAGATCAGGCTGGTCTCAAACTCACAGAGATCCACCTGCCTCTGCTTCTTGTTACCTCTTAGAATATCACTTTAATAGGCTTTCACTAGCCCTAAGGCTCAAAATAACAAGATAACCTCTGAAACCATCCTCCTTTTTGTTTTTTGCAGCCAGCCTACACAATGCCCACGAAAAAATATGCCCTTCCTTAGAGCAGCAGGTCATTCAAGATGTCTTGAATCTGAGCTTCCAAGTCAGCATCACTCATATTGGGTTTAGAATAAACACTTTCTTACTCCTTTAATGCAGTATTTTGTCTCACTACTATACCTATTCTTAACCAAAGATGTAAAGCAGGAATTTGTGTGAGGGCTGGGGAAGCAGCTAAATGTTAGAGTGCTTTTCAGCATGTGCAAAGCCCTGGGCTCCATCCACAACACTGCAGAAATGAGCCAATGAATGAGTGAAGAAAAAAGAAAATGGTCCACGCGAAACCAAATCACAGGTAAAGAACAGGAGGACACAGAGATCTATGGGGTGTGAGAAATTCATCATTTCTACCTTGGTTATATGACTATATAATGAGGTGGGCAACCTATACATTATTATATTATATTATTATATACCTATGCAAACAAGAAAGTATAGTCTGGGTATATGTGTATTTTGTGAGAAGTTAATGTGAGTAGTTGTGCAAATTATTTGAATTTCTAAATGTTGATTTTGAAGCACAAATAGCTGATAGACACTGTTTAATGTCATATGGGAGGGTTTCTGCTGCTGCCACAGAACACCTTGATCAAAAAACAAGTTGGGGAGGAAAGGGTTTATTTGGTTTATACTTCCACATTATAGATTATCACTGAAGGAAGCCAAAACAGGAACTCAAATAGAACAGAAACCCGGAGGGCAGAGCTGATGCAGAGGCTGTGGAGGAGGGGTGCTGCTTACTGGCTTGCTCCATATGGCTTACTCAGCCTGCTTTCTTATAGAACCCAGGACTAAGGGGTGGGACCACCCACAATGGCCTGGGCCCACCCCCATTGG